GCTGGTGGTATTACTGGACAAGTTGCAGGTGGTGGTAGTGGGGGTCGACTCAAGAGTTTTCTGAAGTGGTCAGCCCATTGTTTCCTTTGTTTCTCCTCTTTGGTTACTTGGTTTACTTCACCATTTTTTATTGGTTTCATCTGCGTTGATCTCTTCCTTCCCAGATAGTAAGTAACCTGGTTATTTGGTATAATGTTGTCAGGTCTCTATCACTTGCAGCCTGTTCTGCTTCACTTAGAAGTGTGTCATAGAAGTGTCTTTTATCTTTGCGCGCACTCTTCACTTCTTTGTGTTACGATTTAGAAGGCTGCTATATGCTATCGCCGCTAGCATTCATCAGATTCCTAGTTGATTCCCGACCCGATTAATTAATGCAGAAGACACGGTGGAGAGATTGACCACTCGTTGATATTCAGCGGCGACATAATTCAACGTTTGTTTTGGTTCTTGCTGCAACTGATTTAGCAATCTCATTCTAATATCTGCGAACTTAGGCGACTGAAGGCTGCATATGAGTATCAAAGATTTGAATTGGTCATCGATGATGGACTTCAGCTTGAATTTTTCTCATTCGTGATTAACAATACCAACACGAGTGAGGAAATCATCATTCTCGTTCATGACCAGTTTAAGACAACGATATCTGACATTGAAAAGAGACGGAGGATCACCAAAATATTGTCTTAAGGTCTGTATTGTGGTATCAAAGGAGCGATCTCTTGGGTTCTGTGGCAGTATTATATTGCAATATTGATCTAATTCGGATGGACCAAGTTTTTGAAGGAGGAGACGAACTTTCCATGAATCATCTTGACCAGCAAAATTAACTCTTAAGTGGTCTTCATATCTTCGGAACCAAGTATCGAAAGTCACATTAACATCAAGATCGTAATGAAATTCTGTGATACTGGTTGCAGTTCCGTCGACTGAATTGAGGTGATATAACAGGCTTAGGATTCGATGATTCAGGTTCAGAAATTCTGGACTGAGTCAATAACTCGATAATCTTCATTACTTGTTCGAGAAATTTGTCCAGCTTCGAAGAGTCCATTTTCGATCCTATCCCCGCTGCCACTGTTATGTATTCCGAACGAATATAATACTCACGTTTAACTGACGACGTAAGAGCCTTTGACTGCAACCCGGGACGAATAGAAAGAAGACCGAAGCTGGATGATGGGAGAGTTTTTTCTTTCGAGAATATAATATAATAATCAATCCAAAAACACGTGAATAAGTGCACACATGAAAAATGACCTTATCCGCAATTTGAGACATTGGTGTGGTATGAGTAAATGTTGACCAATCAGAGAATCACATTACAATAGGTGCAGAAAATAAACTACTAGTCATACCGTAAAAATGGGTGAGAATGCCAAGTTAAGTGTTCAGGTCAATGACAATGTTTTATGCAAAACTAAGGCTTAACAACACTTTGTCAAGTGTTTTATTGGTTGTATTCAGTTCCTCTTTTCTTTGTTCGTCCTTGCACTGGTTCATCTTCTGCTTCACTATCTTCCTCTCCCTGCTCTGTCAGCTTCCATTTATCCGAGGAGATCCATTCCTCGTCTCGCTTCTTCCTTCCTAATACGGTTATGCAGGTTTTTTCAGGGATGTTGCCTAATGTCTCCCATTTTGTCTTGATGGCTGGTGTGAAGATGTCGTTTAAAGTTTCGTACTGGGTGTTGAACTTGATTGAACTGTGGTCTATCAGCAGCTTCTTTGAAGGCTTTCAACTTGATTTTGAAGGTAGGCCCCTTGCACTAGATAGTGAGTGGTATGAACCTACATCTGCTCCTCTTCTTGATCTTCTATCAAGTAGACTGACTGCGTCTCCACTTTCTTGAGATTGAGATGAAGTCGATCTGATGTTTATTGTAGTGTGTCCATCTGGTGAAATCAAATGCATATCGCTTTGTGAATATCCTTGTGTTTGTACACAGTGCCAGTGCCTGGCCTCCAATCACGAGATCGTTGAATACGCAGAAGTCTGTAAGCAGTTCTCATTCATCATTTCACTGAGTGTTTCTCGACTGATGATGAGTTCTCTTCCTGTGTTGTCCACTCGTAGTTTGACATTCATCTCAGTCATTAGAATTTTGATGTTGCCAACTGAGGTGGGGTCTTGTCCAGTGTTGATTGAAGTTGTCTGTAGAATTCCTCCTTCTTCTCTTCATCTGCTTAATTATTTGTAGGTGTGTAGCGTAGCATTGTATGATTGTGACTTTGCTTCGTTTTGAGTTGAAGCTTGCTGTTGTGTTGTGATTCTGGAGGAGATTGTTTCCCACTGCATGAGAGTGAGCCTTCGATGCTGTTGAGCGGGTGACAGACGTCATGATGGCCACTCCGAAGCTCAGTGTGCTGGTGTTTTTCGTGTGGGTGACAATATCGGAGTAGATAATTGACTGTGTAGTTGTTGACAGTTTTGAGAGTCTACTTGGAGTGCATCTGCTTTCTCAGATTCCAAGCACTTTAGTGCTATACCTTCTCATGTGTTTTGCAATGTGGGCTGCCTTGGTAGGATCAAACATGGTGTGGACATTCCATATCCCCATGTTTACTTTTGCTTTCATCGAGAGAGAGAGAGAAGACACATTGGCCGACTGGCTTCTCGAATGCCTTCAGCAACTGGCATAATTTGGTGTGTCCGATTCTAGCTAGGAATAAGTTTATTTTTATATTTTGTGTATGTTTTGAAGTTTTTGTAGCGGTTGGATTGGTTTTCCGGTGTAGTGTTGGTAGTCCTATGCTCAACCTTCCCTCTTTATGCGGGCTTAGGACTGACTAGTAACTAGTGAACTCGTAAACTAGGCGAGATTGAAATGTGGTAGTTGGCAAAGGTTAAAGCAATATAATTGGGAGCGGCAATAGGTAACAGACTGAAAGCTGCTACCTTGACGTACTGATCGGACTTGCATATCACAATGACCCAGCGAGCTACGCTAGCTAAAACGCTTCTTCCTTTGAGATCCTACCATACCTGAAAGGTCTGTTGGATCGTATTATAACGGAAAGCAGTCACCGTTATCTTGTAGACCACTACAGTATGATGGGGGTGTGAGGACGAAGTCGTACTGCTAACTAGTTGGAATGTGACAGCAGTAAGGTGTTTTCCTTGGATGACCAGGAGTGACACGCTGATGCTGCCTTCTTAACGGTTAGGAGGTGAGGGGTGTATAAAAAGTCGGATTCAAAAATAACACACCTCTCTTTGTCTCACTGTCTTCCGGTGCTCACGGTATGGTCTCTTTCTATCTGGTGTTCGAAAAACCAAATCTCAAGACAACATCTCACAAGGACCATGTGTGACAGTTACCAAGCAGATGTTTCATGTGCTCTGTGGTCATACATTATCTATTCTTTCTCAGGTACATTAAGGAGAAATAGCCGTCCATGGTGTGAGCAGTCGTAGAGTGTCAATCGCCCGCACGCTTCCAGTAATAGTACATAAGACCTAGTCAAACAAAATTTATCGTTTTCTCTGTCTCCCCCTTTACTTCTCTTCCTGATACCGGTGTTATGCCTCGTACGCTTTACCCGACCTCTCACGCTGCAACCATTGCCTGCAATCAAAATCTCATTCCTAGTCTCCTAACACCTCGCCCGCCATCGATTTCATATAGGAGCTTCCAACGTTCGAACTGTAAATCAAATCTGACAGCAAGCATCGCTCTCTAGGACTCTGGAATTTCTAGTCATGGATGTATGCTGTGACTGTAATACACGTTTATAGAACCCGTATGTGGTTGCTGAATTGAGATCACCTGGCTGTAGTATTGAACCTTCGAAGTTCACCTTAAGGGTTTCCGGAGACCGAGTGACTAGCTCTCGTGGACTTACTGGCGTCAGCAAAATATTAGGTTTTAGTGCAGAAGATGCGCTTTTTGACTGGATACCAGTCAACAGCTGTTTATATGCTGTTCGACTGGATGGATGTGTAAGAACTGGAAGGGACGGTGAGACTAGGAAATACCTACTCGTAATCTCCGCTTATGCACCTGCCTACTGCAGTTGGGATGATGCATAGGATGAATTCGATAAGAAGCTGTCAACCACGCTACAGAGAGCAAAACGTTCAGATGTGGCCGTAACGGGAGTTGACTTTAACTCTCAAGCAGGGAAGGTGAGCTGAGCCAGTCGGAAAAGCATCTTGAGGGTATCTACGGAATCCCATGTCAACAAACAGACAAGAGTGATCGTCTCTTACAATTTTGTTCCGACAGTCACTTATTTTTAGCTAGCACTAACTTCAAGCATAAGGAGGTAGAGACTCTTTCTCATATGGACTTTCGCTTTATATTGTTTACTGGGTTGCGGTCCGTTCTGTCCTGCCATGCGGCTGTAGTCCATCGCCGTTAGAAGTAGAAGATTTGAAGGGCCTACAGGGTTTTGATCAGAGGTGTCCTCGTAGCGTTACTCGCGTTTGATAGCATCATTATGCGAACAGTGTTGAAATAAGGTGAAGACTACTAGGCGAGACAGTCAAATCGATTGGTGACGTTGTGAATCTTCATTCACTTAAGTGGCTTAAACATGTGTTGCGCATGCTGATTCACCGCTCACGTCAATGTGCACGCTCGGAGAGGCTAGATTTGGTTGGAAGTGTTCAAGGTGGCCCTGTCAAGCCGTGGCACCAGTCTATGAAGTCCCTAACTGTTTGTCTGAGTCGTATTGGGAGCTGTAGGCTACTGGACTATGGTCCTTGATACAATAGTAATCAGTGATTGCTGACTCTTGGTGACGTGGTTGGAACTCAGTCACAATGGTGTTAATGTATTCACTCTTTGACGCCTTGTAAACCTTGAATGTTAGCGGTAACCGTTTTCTTCAGATTGTTTATTCTGTCACGCAACTTTGTCTAATTTGATATCAGTTTTTCCCCGCCCATCTGTTGTTTTCATGCTATAATGAATTGAGGTAACTTGAATCGATGCACTTGTGTACGACGTTCTACGGTGATTTTATCTGTGTTTGTCTGCCTGCCTATCTTTCTGTTATAGGTAACAGTTGACAGTAATTGAAACTGATGAAAAAGGAGTCTCTGGCAAAGCGGTTAATCATCAGTGGAACTGTAACTTCGCACGGTGGGTGTATGGATTGACTGGTATAGGAGAGAAACTCAAACAGAGAGTGGGACATTTCAGTGTATAATTGAACTTGACCTAAGTTACTATTTCGTTTTCCGCTATCTCGTTAGTTCCCTTATGAAACATCAAGGTGGACAATGAGTGATCAGCTCGCAACATTTCATTTTCGGTCTCAAGTTTGTAGTACCTATTAAAATTTAGCAGTTAGTTCCAAAGTTCCTCCAAAAACTTGCGCTGCAATAACTCACTGAACTTGTTTCTGTCCTGATATATTAGGAATTCACGCATTTGTCGTCCGCATAAGCGCTTTATAAATTTACATGACACATGTGAACTCATAGTTTTATTTACTTTCTAGTGTTATTTCAAGGTTATGGTATCATTCTTTAATGACTGTGTGTACTCATCTCTTAGTGGAGAGTGGCTTTTATATGTACGCACGACATTTGCTGTACTTCGTGAATGAAAACAAAGTTTGAGGAAAATTTCTTTATAACCACCACTCTACTGACAATTTTATTAAGTAGCCTAAAACTTCGGATGAAATATAATCTGTTTGTGGTTTGTAAATCTGTATGAATCCTGTTTACATTTAGGTGACCCTAAAAACAATTACCGTTATTGTAGGAAGCAATAACAACAAGACTATCCAATCATCACAATATAGTTCGGTGTAGGTTCGTTGCCTGTAAGTGAAGGTTTGTATCTTCATTTCGAAAATTAAAAATAGTTGAAGTATATTACGTTTCAGAACTCTTTACTTGAATTTCCTCAGCTTATTAGTGTAGTCAGTAAAATTTAGCAGACACTACTTTCCAATCGTATGTGAAAGAACGACGTTAAGACATTATCTGATTAATCCTGTCGTAAAACTAACATTTTCTGTTAACTAGTCTGTTCTGTCTTTCTATCTATGAGTAGGTACTTTTTTCGTCGTAAAGAATTTATAGTAACCTTTAGCGTTAATTTCATACAGCTAGTACAAGCACTATTATTGAAACTACACTTAATGAGCTGCAACCTTGTTACTAAGTTTGAACATGTTTCGCTTAGCGACTACGTACATATGTGTATGTATTATTGAGTGTTACGTTTCGTGTATCAAGTTTCGATTTTTAAGTAAATAATAAGTTCGTCCTCTTTAATAACAGAATTGCAGAATAACACATTCACCGTTAAATTTACTGTAATATGTAGACTACATAACTTTCAGCATGTTTTGAAATACGTTTTATATGTATTGAGCATATATTATTCTTTGGTATGCTTTAGTACTGGGTGTCATTGGTACGCATCATGTGTAAAGCCTTATAGAAACTATCCAACAACACCCATTTTGGTGAAAGAAGTAGGTCCCAGAATTGTGTAAATTAAAGTGTAGTGTATAAATCAGTATCACAAAGTTGTTACATGCTAATCTATATAGTCTCTGGTTCAGTATGATCAACACTTACAATGGATTATCATAGAAGTTTATTTAAGCCGGAAGTTCTTCTATTTTTAACTGATCTTAACGAATATCAATCACATTTGCTTTCAAATATTCAATGTCTTAAAATTCCTGTTTAACATATACCAACTGAGAAATGATTGTTAGTACTGTATACAACTTATATCACTTATTGTATTCAACTATTTCGAACCGTGTTACTTTTTATCTTATGAATCAAGAAAACACTGTTTGTTTTTTCTCTTTTTATCAAAGTACCTGTTTGGGACTTACAAAAGCACCTGATGTTCCTCAATGGTTTTGTCCAAAATGCTCACAAAAACCGTTACCTTCAAATACGCACAATAGTGTGAAAAGTAATAAAACTTCTGTTCCCCTTCCTAATAAAGGCAGCTCTCATGGTGCACTGAATTCAAGCCTTACCGCTAATAATTCAGAACGTGAACTTGGGTCCAGAAATCCTACGAAATATAAACCTAAAGGATGATACACAATAGAAGTGAATTATTAAAGCCGTATTACTGCCTTCTATCTGTTTATTATGATATTTTTGCTCCCTGTACATATTTGTATATTACTTTCAGATAAAATAATTTTTTTTTTGATTTATGCTCTTGCAGACTTGTAATTAAAGTTTCAATTGAAACACATTGGTCATTTTTATGATGGTTATTCCTACGCTATTTTCTTATTAGTTTTAATAAATCGTGTTTTTTTTTTAGTAGGTTGGGTACTACTGAGGTGACTAGTACAATTCCACTGTCATACACGATGGGTTAACAGATCTAATTCAAGAAATATGTCTGTCTTCACTCTGTTCTTTTTTCGTAGGTTCATTAACTTGCAATATTCACGCATCATGTTCTATTGATACATTTAAATAATGCAAAAACATTTGTATAATTGTATGGCTTTTCATCGGTTGAAAAACAGTATAATACTCTTTAGGTTATGATGGAGAGCAAATAAAAAAAATCGATTTGTTTCATAATATAGAGAAATGATAACAGAAAATAGTCAAAATCAGGATTGTTTTCTTAACATTACATACGGTTTTAAAGTTAAGAAGTTTTCTTCTTCACTTGATGATAAGTAGTAAGGTATTACGCAGACAAATTCATGCAGTGAGAAGCTTAAAAATCAACTTGAATCAAATTATGGTTACCAAATGAGTGTGAAGTTAATGACACTGTTTCTCTGTACATAGGCTCCAATCGCCTCTGTAAAGTGGGGATAAACTATATGTTTTTGCACATTGGTCATTTAATAGACCCTATCAACCTTGATTAAATGTGTTGTATACATTTGGTGTTTAGTAATTGCATTTGTAAGACTTCATTTTCTTCCAAGTGTGAACATTTTTGAACTTATTCAGAAAATCTTGTAGTTACTCCCTCAATTTGTCGTATATACTTGCTGTATCGACTGTATGTGTATTTGTAATTGCATTTAGTGATGAAAAGACTAGTGTAATTATCTTATTTAGATTAGCCTAATTAATATTATGTGACTGAGATGAAGGTAGCAGCGGGTAAGTTCCAACTTAAGGTTCTTTCGATTTTCTCGATTCATGCAGATGTCTCATACCGCTACTTATTCCATTGCATAAAGTCACTGCATCATTCACTGAGTTGATTTATTTATCTTTCAGAACTTCATACACTTGATAATTTTGAACAAAGAAATAAGCTGCATGTATTTTATTTCATGCCCTTTTTTTCTATTGTGGACAGATTTAACTGTTTTCTGCAGAAGCGAGGTTCAAAATACATAACTGAGTGTGTGATAAGCATTGGCTCACCTCTCGATTACTTTGCACCACGCAACCAATCCGCTTACGATGCGTTGATTTTATGTGTTATTTGGTTGTAGCACTGTCTACTGGACACAAGATCGAAAGGGGGAGCAGATGTAGGTTCAGACCACTTGTGCAAATTGAAAGCCTTCAGAGAAGTTGGAGATGATAGACCACAGTTCAAGTTCAACACTCAGAACACAAACTGAAGGACGCAGCTACAAAGGAGACCTTCACGTCAGCCATCAGAACGGAATGGGAGACGTTGAATGACATCCCATAAGGATTGGGCGTGGAAAGAACACTGGGACTCTTTTAAAGAGATGTGCAAAGAAACCTGCATAACCGTATTAGGAAGGAAGGAAGAAGAAACAAGACAAGGCATGGATCTCGACGGACACATGGAAGCTGATAGAGCAGGGAGAGGAAGATGGTGAAGCAGAAAATGAACCAGTGCAGGGATGAACAACGAGAAAGAGGAACTGAGAACAGCGTACAAAACGCTGAACATCAAAGTGAAGAAAAGTGCTCGCAAAGTCAAAAGACACTTCCACGACACACTGGCAAGTGAAGTAGAACAGGCTGCTGGTAGGAGAGACAGAGACATGACAACATTGTAGCAAATAACCAGGTTACTATCTGGGAGGGAAGAGGTCAACTCAGATGAAACCAGTGAAGGAAACGTAGTTACCAAAGAAGAGAAACAAAGAGAACGATGGGTAAAACCACTTCATAAAGCTCTTGAATCAACCACCATCACCCGCAACTCGTCCAGAAATGCCACGTGCAGCCACAGAACTATCAGTGAACACATGCCCTCCGATTGTGGTGGACTAGATCATGCAGCAAACAATGAGGAGCGAGAAGAAGCGCATGCGCTGGCTGGACCGATAAAAAGACCCTAGAAAATTTGGATTTCGCCGACGATTTATGTTGTTTTGGTAGACTAGACCGATTAACATTTGATATGATTTGCAATTTCAATAAAGAATGCAACATCTTTGGCATTTAAATAGTTTTGTGTAAATCTTCATCAAAAATTGATAAATATCTCCAAGTAATGAGTAAGTTTTTAAAAGGATAGTATTTTGTTGGTCACATGAAAACATCGTATTATTTACGTGATTGTGTGAATCATCGGAACAGTAGTAAAGATTAGGTTGAATCTCCTAGTTCTACTCATTTTTACCTACTAAACATGTTTTCATGACTTGTATAAGAGGTAAAACTACACGTGGAATGATCAGATTGAAGAAATAAATGGAGTTAATATGCTACAATTCTATGTATCACGGGATTTACACATATCAGAAAACCACTGCTATAGGCTGACAGAACCAACCAATAGCAGTTTCGGAATAAATGACAGGTCCCTGTAACCTTGAAAGTGGTTAGTTTCCCAGGTATACATATATAAGTCCTTTATAACTTGTGACGATATAGGCTTTATATACTTAGAAAATATCGATACAGAACACTCATCAGACGGAGCATTACTCAGTAATGTCTGTTCCTATACTGGCCCTATCTCACTCATCAGGTGTGAACCAATTCAAGTTACCACACATCGCAAAGGCAAAGTAAATGCAAAAAGAATGATGTTGAATTATTCAGAGACAAATTAAAATGATTCTCCAAAGGCTAATATACATTGTCTGAAAATTCCAAGGTGATAAAGAGTGATTATATCTACCCCATGATATTCCAGTCTAAGCTACATCATAGAGGATCTTCAAGCATTGGTCCCTAATATCTCATAAACCTCAGCCAGATGCTTCACATCTCCTACACTACTTGGAATATCAATCAGGACCGTCACTGGCTGATGTTATGTAGCCTCACCTAACTTTTCCTCCTTAACCTAATCTTACTTCAACTAACAGATATCAAGCGTGATGATTACTCCACATGCGCAAATACCGAGTCGCTCTAGACAATGAAGGCTCATACCTACAATTTTACTGGCATTCCCCACCTATATAAATAAAGCGACATGTAACTTATTATACTATTAATATTATTTGTCCCTCGGGTTCCTAGTCCAACATAGGGCTTCAGTAGCACGTCTCCATTCCACTCTGTTCCCTGCAATCTTTTGAACCTGGCTCCACGACAGCCCACAAGCTCTCATTTCTTCCTCACACGATCTCCTCTATGTGACCCTAGGACGCCCAACTCACCGTTTCCCATCTAGGTTCCACTCGAGTCCCTGGCGCGTGATGTCCCCAAATGGTCTTTTCAGTGTATGCCCAATCGATCTCCACTTACTTCTGCATATTTGTCGAGCGATAGGTTCTTGGTTGGTCGGTTGCCAGCCAGCCAGAGTTTCTTGTTGCTTATACTCACTATTCTGGTCATTTGATCTTCAGTAACGAGCCAGCGTAGGCAGTTGTTGATGAATATCTGTAGTTTGTTCGAAATCCCTTTCGTAACGGGCCAAGTCTGTGAACCATCATATAGAAGCACTGACATGACATTGGTTTTGAAAATCCGGATCTTGTTCACGCTTTATGCTGAGTGCAGAAGATCTCCACACTGGTTTCAGGTTAATAAACTCTTGTCTTGCTTTCCCGATCCTGGCTTTGACGTCCTCGTCTGTGCCGCCTGTAGTTGAAACGATTCTGTCAATGTGGGTAGGTGAAAGAGACTACTTCCTTTGAGTTTCTCCCGTTGATGGTGATTGGAGCTTGTTGTTGTTGGTGGTGGTGTTGGTTGGGTATCTTCATCACATCTGTCTTCTCTATATTCACTTGAAGTCCCGTCTTCGCTGCCTCACGTCTTCTGTCAACTTGTTAGTTTTCGCCTATAGATCTTCAAGTTTGTGTGACATTAGACACAAGTCATTGGCGAAATCCAAATCTTCTAGGATCTTTTCCCCGGTCCAGCCAGCGTATCCCCCTCTGCTCGCTCCCTACCGTTTGTTGCATGATTCAGTCCACTACAATTAGGAAGATTATAGGTGATAGTAGACAGTCTTGTCTTACACCTACCTTCACTTCGAAGGCCTCACTTAGCTTCTCATTGTGAATTACTTGGAATGTGGCATCTTCATATAGTTGTTGAATGAGGCTGATAAAGGTTTGTGGTATTCCGTAGTGTTGAAACAACTGCCAAATTACTTGTCTGTCGACGCTGTCGAAGGCCTTTTGAAAGTCGATAAAGTTGAGTTGACTAGCATTCTATACTCTGTTCTACGATGATACGTGGTGTAGGCTTGCAATTTGGTCCGCACATGATTTGTAATTCCTGAAGCCTGCCTGTTCGGGTCGTAGTTTTGAATCCAGTGTATCTTTAAGTCTCTTCAAGATGATGCGGCTTAATATTTTGCTTGGGGTGGACAGGAGAGTGATTCCTCGCCAGTTGTTGCAAAGACTTAGGTCTCCCTTCTTCGGGAGTTCGACAAGGTAACCGTTCTTCCAATCAATCAGCAAGTAACTTTCCTTCCATTCCTTGTCTGGCTTCTTCTTCCTTCCGAAACGGTTATGCAGGTTTTTCAGGGATGTTGCCTAATGTCTCCCATTTTGTCTTGATGGCTGGTGTGAAGATGTCGTTTAAAGTTTCGTACTGGGTGTTGAACTTGATTGAACTGTGGTCTATCAGCAGCTTCTTTGAAGGCTTTCAACTTGATTTTGAAGGTAGGCCCCTTGCACTAGATAGTGAGTGGTATGAACCTACATCTGCTCCTCTTCTTGATCTTCTATCAAGCAGACTGACTGCGTCTCCACTTTCTTGAGATTGAGATGAAGTCGATCTGATGTTTATTGTAGTGTGTCCATCTGGTGAAATCAAATGCATATCGCTTTGTGAATATCCTTGTGTTTGTACACAGTGCCAGTGCCTGGCCTCCAATCACGAGATCGTTGAATACGCAGAAGTCTGTAAGCAGTTCTCATTCATCATTTCACTGAGTGTTTCTCGACTGATGATGAGTTCTCTTCCTGTGTTGTCCACTCGTAGTTTGACATTCATCTCAGTCATTAGAATTTTGATGTTGCCAACTGAGGTGGGGTCTTGTCCAGTGTTGATTGAAGTTGTCTGTAGAATTCCTCCTTCTTCTCTTCATCTGCTTAATTATTTGTAGGTGTGTAGCGTAGCATTGTATGATTGTGACTTTGCTTCGTTTTGAGTTGAAGCTTGCTGTTGTGTTGTGATTCTGGAGGAGATTGTTTCCCACTGCATGAGAGTGAGCCTTCGATGCTGTTGAGCGGGTGACAGACGTCATGATGGCCACTCCGAAGCTCAGTGTGCTGGTGTTTTTCGTGTGGGTGACAATATCGGAGTAGATAATTGACTGTGTAGTTGTTGACAGTTTTGAGAGTCTACTTGGAGTGCATCTGCTTTCTCAGATTCCAAGCACTTTAGTGCTATACCTTCTCATGTGTTTTGCAATGTGGGCTGCCTTGGTAGGATCAAACATGGTGTGGACATTCCATATCCCCATGTTTACTTTTGCTTTCATCGAGAGAGAGAGAGAAGACACATTGGCCGACTGGCTTCTCGAATGCCTTCAGCAACTGGCATAATTTGGTGTGTCCGATTCTAGCTAGGAATAAGTTTATTTTTATATTTTGTGTATGTTTTGAAGTTTTTGTAGCGGTTGGATTGGTTTTCCGGTGTAGTGTTGGTAGTCCTATGCTCAACCTTCCCTCTTTATCCGGACTAAGGACGGCCAGTAGTTAACCAGTCGAGGTTGACGTGTAACTTATTTGCATTTATTTACTCTTGCTGGATTGAAGTTGGTTCAGACTTCATGGGCTAATCTCAGTTAGGAATCAATCTTCAGTACGTTCAGTTTGATCCTAGGCTTTGCACTTCTTGACACTTATTGGCAAGTTTATATCTTGAACGTTGAAAAGTGTCAATTTCCTTTGAATATTCTAAGTTGTATCACACAGTGATAAAGCTGTCGACATTTACAATCGATTGACTCCAAGCATTTAATACTATAATTCGAGGAGAGGGTAAACATTTTCAAGTTTGCAGACATATCGTGATCATAGTTATGAGCTGGAAAATATTTTTGGCAACTTTCCCCAGAACATACTAAGTGAAAAACCAATCTGATAGGAGTTTTTTAATGGGACTAATCACGTATCCGGTGCATAATAATCAGCAACGAAATATTTCAAGGTATGGTTTCTTCTAATTTCAGATTCTTAAGTCTGTCCATATGTATCAGAAACAATGTTCAGGAGACCAACAGAAAAACAAAGTTGTTATTTAGGAAGATATATTCATTTCTCACTTATTGATCCAATAAATTCTGTTGTATTTTTGAAATGTTTGACTTCACAAGAAAAGGTGTATACTTGTGAATATCGAATTAACTAGTTAATGACTTCACAAATCTTGGAAGACTGAACTCACTAACTGCGAATAAATCGGGCCTATACAAATAATATACACTTGGTTCAAGATGGTATATATATATAGAATATGAAAGTAATTGTTAGTGGTATGATTGAAGGAGCTCATTGATTTTATACCCCTGTAATTGAATTGAATAAAGCAAAAGGTGTTATGAAATGTTGCCATGGAGTTTCTTCAAATATGTAAACAGAAATAAGAAGTTATGGGATTTCATTGTAGTATGTTTATTAGAAATATCACTCAGTAAAGTAGTTTCATTAACTGGATAACGTTTTGGACATGATTGCAAGGTCAAAGTAGTCAACCCAGAGCCAATTAGAATAGCGGAGCACAAAAACTTAACTAAATCAAGACTAGTAGGTCCTAATGAGATAAGAAATTAAGAAAAAAAAGCTTGGCTATAAACGCACACAATAGGATGGAACAGGGCGGTAGTAATAAAAACTAGCTTAGTCGGCTGAAGAGTGATTGATGACCAAATCTTTGTCGAGTCAACACCAAATACATGCAGTAGAATTGACCCTGTATCTTTCCCAGATGTATGGGAAATTCTACTACCTTTGTCACCAAGAAGGAGAGGAAATTAAACTATATAAAATATTTCTCAAAGTTGTGAAGTTACTTGATATGAATATGGACAATAAATTGTGTTCAGAACGTTACCCACTAAATGATACTGTCTTACTGTGTAACAATTCTAATAAACAGACTAAAATGGGATTTCAATCTACCGCAATGTCCAGGTTATACGCCTATGTTAATGAAGATAAGTGATAACAGACTGCTGCATTACACAGATTGATCAACGTATAAACCTGCAAAAAAGTGCTAAAGTCTGAATCTCTGCATTGTTCAGTAGCGCAGAGTAATGTAGTACTGAATAAATAAATAAAAACAGTCGAAGCTAATTTTTGGTTTCGTTCCAAGAAATTTGAGACCAAAACGGCTAAGTGATTCTTCTGCGGAATTCAGAACAGGAGTTGTCTGAAGTTCAGTACCGTATTGATAAACAGTAATCATTAATAAATTACAAACCTCGAATCTTGAAGTTTCTGTGGTCTTATTGCATTCAAAACACCTTATTGTATGGAGGGCCGTCAACATATAAACAGCTAGCCAGAGGAAAATATTAAAAACGCTTATCCTCAAAGGGGGATAAAAGGCATGATATAAACGGATGTTCAAGGGTAATTGCAGCATCGCGGAAATATCCGAAGTGAGCATGGCAATCGTGGGGTGTTATGGATACTAATATCCTAAGACCTTAAATGACGAGTAAAAAAATATGGTAGTGACCGAAATGAACAAAACTGCGAATCCGGTAGTATTTCGGAGTACAGTAACACACTACTTATCATTAATAAGTAGTACAAACCTTTATACATAAAAGTAGGAGATAGATGATAGATTAGGACGTGACAAAAAGAATTTACACCTTGATATTTTGAGTTTTCGACCAAGCGAGTTGTGAAGGCATCTGAGGTTTCCGTTGCATCTTCCTCTGTATTTCACTGCAATGTTCTTGTTCAAATGCTGTTTTGGTTATATTTTAACTCTAATTAGTTTTCTCAAAAATGTTGTATATATGCATGATCTTATAAGTAGCACGAACAGCAATTTCCTCATGGATGTTCAGCTAGTGATATGTGACTGGTTCATTAGTTGAGGAAGAAAATGAATCCGTGGAAATGTAATATGTTGAAACTCAGCTATTACTGATATACAGTGTGCTTTTGGGCTCAAAAGCATGCCATATTACAGTTTAGCTTTATCCTTTCTTCATCTGTCTACTTCCCTTGACTGTTTTTTGCTTATTTCTCCTTATTTTTTGTGTCTTCTACTTTGATATCCTTATATGAGTTTTGGCAACCCGCACCGTTAAGCAGTTATGTCAGGTCACGTGTTGGTGCTAACTGACTAATGTCAGTAGATTTGGTTACGACTGGTTTCTGCACTTATTTTCAACTATGGTTGTGATACTACCTAGTTGCCTAAACGTCGGTAGGTGTTGTGTTTGAACCTGTGACCCACTGGTTGATAGTCATCTCCCCCCACCACTGAGCCTCAGCTCCCTTGGTCCTCATTATGGATCGACATTATTTAGATCAACTGAACACCAGCTGGCACTAGACAGCCGTTCTATCGTAGTTTAGAATTCACTTGTAGATTTCATCGATGACTTAATAAACGAATGTCAATTCTAAAGGCGAGCACATTACCATCCAACAAAAGTATTTTACATTATTCCTCTGTCAGTTCCGGGAGATCAATATAACATAATTGTAAACCATGAAAGATCATAAAATTTTTTATAGTAAACCAGGAGAAGCTGCTTTCTATGTTATATCTTATCATCAAAATGATGACTTTGAATAGGCAATAATAATAGTGATTTTCCCCGGAATACCTTCCAGAATGAAGCCATTATCGCTGTTATTATTAATTATTGTTATTACTATTACTACTACTACCATTATTATTATTATTAGGTACAAATTAACCTCTTGAAACAATTACCTGACCAACAAAGAAATAACATTTAGAGCACAGAAATTAGAATGTGCAGTTTTCAAATCCGGCTGCTTTTAGAAATGTAGTAGTGTGAGTAGTAGTAGTAGCAGTGGTAGGAAAAACGATGATTGTCATACTTACTGAGAATAACGTGAAGCATATTGCTCAAGTCTATACTCTGATGACTTGTCCATATTATGAGTCAGTTGATCATGGACATTTGATTTTATGTCAGTAGATGTTTCAAAATTATCTATTTGTCATGGGAAATAACAAAGTCTTCATTGTGGTTTAACAGCAAGTTCAGGTTTGACAGATACCTTTTGTGATGAAATTAAATCGAATGGATAGTTATCATTTTCATTGTTTCGACTAAACATTGTCAGCACTTCACTTGTAGGATGTGTTAAACATGGTAGAATGTAGACTTGATTTTCTAGAAATATGCCTTTCATTTGAGTTCTCTGATTCTCACCATAACACCAGCCATTTTTATCTCCAAGTTTGATGAATTGTTCTTGAAGAAATGGTGAATCTATTTTATGCTCACAGTGCAACGAAATGTCTTTAGTCATAGAGATATCTTCTTGTTTACCTTCTTGAGCATACCTATCAAGGATGATTAAGTCTCCACGTTGCATCGTTAGAGATGTACAACTTTCTACAAGTAAATATAATAATGCAAAAAAGGTCATTAATTTACAAAAAGTGGTTAACAATTCATTCAATTTAAATAATGATTATAATGTTGTTGGTTGCCAGCTAACAAGGTCTCAACAGAAGGAAATACGTGTCCTGGACTCCACTATCTGTCATTGAAAATGGTAGTAATATACTTGTTTGAGGCTATCAGTTGAACTTAGGACGCACGTTCCGTCTTGGAACTCGTCAGCTGGTTGCATTTGCATCCTAGTGAGTGATTACGTTTCCGCTGAGACTCGAACCAAGTATCCACGGATTCAAACTTCAAAGCGTTATACGCTAGGCCAGAGGGGCACGATAGCTACCTCTTGAAAAATGGGTATTAATAACTTTTATTCATCGACATACTTTTAATTTTCCGTTGTTATACTGGGTCAAGTTGATCGACTGCAGTTTGTAGGTGAATTCCTTTCCGGATGTCTCAATATTCTCTGAATATTTATTAATATAATTTACTTGTTATGGCTGGCAGTGGAATCCAAGTCACTCATTTCGTCCTATGATAATGAAAATAATGGTATGTGCGTCAAATCATTGAATGTCTACTAACAAACTGAATTTCTTTGGAGAGCTACAACTATTTGATAAATCTATGCACTTCGATAAGTCAAATCAACTACTCTATTTTAATACTTAATAATTCATACTACTAAGAAAAAATCAGTAAACAGATTTCAAACAACAAATAGGCTTGTAATTTGTTTGGTGATGCTAAGTAGTGGAATCTAGAACGCAGGTTACGTCTTGTTTGAGACTCGCCAGTTGGATTTATTTGCAATTCAGTCTATACTGGACTCCATTGTTGCCACCACCAAACAAATTACAAGATAATAATTAGTGATAAAAAGTAATTAATCAGACAATTTTGAGGCATCCGCATAGAAGCTCAAATAATGATAAAGATCGATCTCAAATTCCTTCTTCTCCATATTTGTTGCATGATAGGTTCTTGGTTGGTTCGTCGTCAACTAGAGTTCCTCCTTACTTATTCTTATTATTCTGGCTATCTGATTTAATCTTCACTATCAAGTGAGCGTAGGTGACAGCTGTTGATCAATGTCTATAGTTTATTCGAAGTGTTTTTCGTAACGCGCAAAGTCTCTCAACCATCACATAGAAGCACTGACTTACTTGACTGACATTGGTGTTGAAAATCTGGATCTTGTTCACGCTTTACTCTGATTGGAGTGCAGTAGATCTCCACACTGATTGTTTCAGACTGATGAAGGGAGGCCTGTCTTGCTGTCTTTCTGATCCAGACTAGTTTTGACATCCTCATCCGTGCCTGTGCCGACACCACCTGTAGTTGAGATGATGCTGCCTGCAAAGATAGGTAGGTATGTAGATAGGTGAGAGAGACAATTTCCTTTAAGTTTCTCCCATTAATGGTGATTGTTACCTCTTATTGTTGATGCTGTTGTTGGTTGGATATCTTCATCACCTCTGACTTCTCTACATTCCCTTGAAGGAAGTCTCGTTTTCTGTGTCCTGCGTGTTCTGTCAACTTGTTAGTTTTTGCCTGTAGATCTTCGAGTTTGTGCGACAAGACATTAGACATAAATGATGATCGGCGGCGAAATGCAAATCTTCTTCTGGGGTCTATTCATCGGTCCATCTGGCGCATCCCTCTCTTCTCACAGCTCCTCACTGTTTGCTGCATGATTCAGTCTACCACAATCAGTACAATACTATTTATGCAATGTTTTTATTTCCTTAATTAATTTGTTTGTCTACTTAAATTGAATCACCTGAAATACATATCTTAGATAGGAAATATTATTATTATCGCTTCCACTTTTTCAACCAGTTACTAAGTATGTAAGTGTTGTTTCAATGGATAATACTTTCAACGTTATGTATGGATTATTTTAATTAAATTACTTATACTCTTGTGTACCAATAGTCGAATCTATTATTCAGTCATTTGATCCGGTAACATTTATTTTTAATTGAATCTGTTAACTTTTTAACAGTTTTTCTTACTCATTTATTATGAATCTTTCCTATAAAATCATTTTTCATATCATGGTTACAGTCATTTGTTGATTAGTGTCTTATTTCTTTTACATAGAAATAGTTACACAACAGAATGCTACATTTTAGGGATAAACTATTACAAGCGAAAATATTTCAAGAAAATCGATTTGACTATCTTTATGTAAAGGAGTTCAAAGTGAGCTGATAAAAAAAGTAGAGTTCAAGAAATATTTGTTGACTGATCATTTTGGTTCCTTAGATATATATTAATTACAGTTAGTTACATGGTTGAAAGTATTTTCAGTAGTAGAGTAGAATATGATAAAATTAATGTTGATGTAAATACTATCACTTAGAAGATTATTGTAATTTCATTGTGTCTCATAGCTTATTACTCTAATATCTCCCTAATCAAGTTTTGTGCTTTATTTTCATGTGTCATTTGTTTTTAGATGTGATTTTGTAACTATTACTGGTGTATGAACGTCTTAATTACCTGTTCATAACAAACTTTTGAGGTAACCATGTATTTCAGTATCAGATTAATTTGATTGTGAAAACATTACTATGAGAATGTATGTTTTAAAGCTTATAAGTAAGACGTGTTGAAGAGTATAAGCAAGTACACGACTCTAGTTCTTGAAATCTACCTACTATCCTTAAATATATAACACTAAGAATATTTTTATACTCCATATAAACAATATTTTATAATCTTTATTAACATATGTCTGGTTTTCAGTCATTCGGTATCAAAATTCACCTATATCATCCACATTAATGATTACTTCAAATCTTTATAAGCAGGTGAAGTAATTTTCAACATTTTATGCCTTTACCATTCTTTGGTTGTTTCAACTTTGATCCAATTCCACAATTGTGGTATGATTTTATTTACTTTCATTAACCCATCGATTTGAATGTCAATAAAGTCACAGAAAATTATCATTCACATGCAATTCCACTTCATAATGTAGTTTTATACTCAAACTAACATATGTAACTTTAATCATTAAGAAAATGTACGGTTAATAACATAAATATGCCATCGGTTTTTATCTCGATAACAATTTCAACATTTATCTTACACACATGCGGTAGTCTTTAATAGTCTTATAAAGTAAAAATTCCCAACAACCTCTCAATGTATAAGTCGTTTTGATAGTGGTGATACTAAGAAGTTTAATCAAAATAAGTAACAAGTTTATTGCTTAGTGGCGTGAAAAATATTAAGAAAGATCTGACCACTAGGGTCATTAGTTGAAATAGTGAAAATGTGTAGAAAAAAGTGCATAACTACTCATATTTTACTTGAGATTACTTAGTATCTGTTCAGATATCTGGATGAAGGTGTTTATCGTCATAAAATATATTCAACCGTTATAACGTTAGTGTAGATTTCTTTTTGGTTAATTGTACTTCAATAAAAGTAAACCTACCTTATAATATCTCCGAAATAGATTGTGTGATTGTGAAACCGTGTTTTTGATTATTTGAAGTAAACTTCTTGCTGGGGATATATATATCTTTCATCGAAGCTCATCTAAAACGTTTAAGAAACCCAGGTTTCTTCGAAGACTGCTTGACTCACTAGGAAAACAAGAAAGGTTTGCATAACCTAGACGTTAATGGTCCGAATCCCACCGAGACCCATATTTTCATTTCACTTTCAGTCATCAATGGTATTTACTATGATCTTCTCCCTCCTCAATTCACCTCAAATTGAACTAGAATGAAAAGTTCTGGCTGGCCACCATTGTGATAACGATGACCAGAGGGTAGTGCATCAGAAATTCATATGGCAGTGGGTAAAACCGTTGATGATTAGAATTAAAATGTAATCTAGTCAGCAGCTGGAGTTCATAGCTGAAATGATAGAACATAGGGCCGGCAACCTTAAGGTCGCTAGTTCAAACACTACTTTGGTCAGTGTTTTCAATTACCCTCCATCATTATCCAGCTGACCCTTGTTGGATTAACTTGTGTAGACAGACTTCACGGTGAATAGTAACTAGTGAGAAAACTGAGTTACTTTTATGGATATCACCTGCTGATGAATGCAAAAGACTACAAACTCCTATATTTTTGAGTTTCTTCTCATAAATTCATGAAATTCAACATAATGTAGATGTAGATGTCGTTTGTCTTCATACCTATATTGTTCATTTGATGATAAGGGGATTTAGATCGGTGCTTAGAATCTGACAACTATCCAGTAATTAATTCATAATTTTAATATTTCTTAAAAATATGAAATATTTTATAATAAAAAAAAATTCTTTAAACTTATTTAATTACTGTGTACATACCACATTGTTCTTGTGAATTTCTAATAGCAACAGCATATTTTGAACGTTGTTTTAAACCATTAAGATAATTCATGATTAAATCTTGTATATCTTCAGCATTTTTGCACAGAAATGTGAATTCAACACCTTTCACTGTAGTCAATGTTAATAAATACAAATCTGATGGCGTAGAACTAAAATAATGTAATATTAGTGAATGAATAAATATATTTTATTTCTACTGAATATTACATAATTAATAGTAATAATAATAAATAAAGAAGATAGGTAGATAAATCAACTTCGATTCTTGTACAAAAGTATAACATTACAGGACAGGATGTAGAAAGAAGGTGAATAAAAAGACAAAAGTGTATTAAAAGAAGAATATACAAACTAACATCTTTAGAGATATTCAAGACGTTCGACTCTATCGGTACATGCAATTAGTTACAACTAGATGCCTAATGTTTACCACATTTACTGCAGGTTTTCTTACATATATAGAATGTTTACTATCGTGCATACATTTTGGTTTTTATGGGTTAGTTAATGGGAGTCTCCTTTTGGTTTTGATGTATGCATTTACTAATTGGTCAGAAATCATATTAATTAGTCGGCAAATAACTTTGTAAAGCTACAAACTGTCATAGCTTACTGGAAAACACCATTTATCATGATATCTCTTGGTCTACACCACATTAGTTTTGAACGCTTACAGTCGTTATGCAGTCAGTCATACTTCTCCTTGACATCATCAGGCGCAGACAAATGTGGAAGTGGAACGCTGATTAAGCACAGTGAACAGGGATACACTCAAGACAAGGAAGTATGAGATATCTATGAGTATGCTTCTACTGTTCTTGTCTCAACATACAATACCAACGAAGCACTGCTAGATCTACAAACTTTCACTACGATGCTTAACGGAAGCAACTTAAAACACTACATGACATCATAATGCATGTAATCCTTCAAAAAGAACACGAGGAAAAGTGAAAAGGCAATGGAAGTATGAGTCATATCCACACGGCAGCATCCACTGCAGTACGATAGATGGATCGTAGGCTCGATCATTTGTGAGTGCAGGAATGCAATGTTTGATATAGTGACGTAACCAGACAGATGAACAAGATATTGCTCATAATCATATAAATGTAATCACGCTACTTTCGATATTTGACTTCCATAGTTATGTCACCTTATGTGAGTTGTTTTTTTGGTAGTAATATCCTCCATATCTCTGATATGGGTGTTGCGTCATTTCTACTCCATGTGTTGAGTGTTGGTTGATTCGATGAACAAAGATTTAGTAAACAATCTCTCTCTCTCTCCACCTGATTATATTGGACTTAAGTATAGTGGCTTTATCCCACCCACCCTATTGTGTGGTTGTGTGTCATGCATGCATTGCAATAGGAGAGGTTTTTCTACGTTATTGATCTTATTTAGGTCTGTCATTCTATTATATTTACTAAATTACTATGTTCGGTTATTCCGACTGACACCGACCGACTAGTTTGACCTATATACTTGACCTGACTCACAGTCGTTACATGGTATTTGATAGATTATATCATTTTGCTTAACTGGCTCTATCGGATCCTTAAGCCAACCAACAAGGTTTATCTCTGAGTGAGTTTTTAGGTTTGAATGACACCCAAATTCCAGCATTGTTGAGGATTCTACGTAAAGTTTCTGAGGTACCCTCCTCATAGGATAATACAATGGAGGCTATGAACTCCTTTTTACTCATGTTGTCGTTAATAGTCGCACTCGTATGACTGTTATTTTTTCGTTTCTTGTGTGTCCGTAACAATTTCTTAATAAACTGGTGAGAATAAGAATTAACTATTAGCGCTTCCTTTACATGTTTCAACTCCTTGTTTAGGTCCTTGCACTGACTAGTCAGTTTTCTAGCTCTATTACTTAGATATTTGACTAATCCTGCCTTAAGTGACATTGGATGGGATGACTTGAAGTCTAGATACCTGCTGGAATCTCTGCTATTGCAATGCAAGCATTGACACACAACCACACACAGGGTGAGTGGGATAAAGCCACTGTACTTATATAATCAGGTGAAGTGGGAGATTGATTACTGAATCTTTGTTCATCGAATCAACCAACACCCAACACATGGAGAAGAAATGATGCAACACCTATACCAGAGATGTGGGAAATTTCGCTACCAATAAAAATAACTCATATAAAGTGACGTAACTATAAAAATCATGTGTCGAAAGTAGTGTGATTACATTGATATGATTATGAGTAATGATAATTTGTGCTCGAAACGTCATCAAGTAAATAATACTAGATCACTGTGTGTTATAAATCAAATAAACAAATCTAATATGGAATTAAATTCTACCACATTGCCTAAGTTTTACACCTATACTAACAACACTAATTTGATCGGTTTTGAACCATTTTGTCTAGTCTCCAATTGTAGATGCTTATCATATCCAGAACAATAACCAAGCAATCTAGACCTTCATACACAGGTTACAGAAACAGTTAAAGTATTCATAGATGAATGTTACATCTTGGTTTTGTCGATTCTTAACCGTCTTTTGAACAAATCATAATATTTTGCAGAAGGATAGGCAGTTGTTCAGCATGTTGAATACATGTTAAGTGTTTATATAAATTTAAACTGTTGAGAATCATTAGCCAGTTTGCTTATAAGTATTAATAAACCGTACATGAATCTAATCTCCGAAGTGTTAGACACTTAGAAACAATCAACAAAAAATCTTTAACTTATATTTGGTGAGTTGTATTACTTTTCAACAGTAGACTCATAGAGATTTGAACTTTTATCACCTTGTGTTTCAGTTACCGATGTTATCTTGGACCTATTCGAGACATCATGGACTGAATGTACAAGTGGGTTAGATAAATAAATTTGTCTCCAAAAAATTATCAAAAGCATATTATTTTGACCTAATCGATTACTAGTCTGAATTGATCACGTTTGTAATGTTTTCATTCAGCTAGGTGATTTGCTACTATGGCTAGAAATGATTTATGTTAGTTAGCACACACGTTTTGCGTGTGATTGCTAATAAAAACAAAACATACGTCAACTATCTCCTACTATTTAATGTCAATCATGATACACCTCAATAGTTAGTTTACTATTTTATTGACCACATGTTAGGTAAACAGCCTACGCTCGATACTGAAGATCAGATGGCCAGAAATAATAAGCATCAAGGAACTCTGGTTGACAACGAACCAACCAAGAACCTATCGCTCAACAAAAGTGCAGAAGAAAGTGGAGATGGATTGGACTGGGTATACACTGAGAAGGCTAACTGGGGATATCACGTGCTAGGCCAAGCCGTCGAGTGGAATCCAAAAGGGGATACGACTGGTTAGGCGTCTGAGGCGAGGGTGACATGGAGGAGATGATGTAAGGAAGAAATGAAAGCTTGTGGGTAGTTGTGGAGACAGGTTAAAAAGACTGTAAAGAAGAGAGTGGAATGGAGACGTGCTAGTGAAGCGGTATATTCGACTAGGAACCCAAGGGAAAAATAATAATAAAATAAATAAGGTAAATAGGTAGGATTTGGGCAGTAAGTATACACAATCTGTCGGCTGTGCACCATCAAAGTGTCGGCTAAATGCAATCAGATGCCTACTAGGCAGAGTATGTGAAGAAAAGACTATTGGATGTGTGTGATACTTCAAATGGAATCGAATATTCTGAAAGGTTTATTAATTCATGTACAGCTTGTGTCAATTACAAACGTGAGGCGATGAGAGTTGGAAGGAAATCCATTTCTTTAGATTTTGTGATGGATTAATTTTTTTATAAATGACTTTGAAATGAATATTGAAACACTTCAGTCATATTCCCAATTTTTTAATACTTACGCTCCAAATATTATCAAAACTTAGAAATCTGATCATTGTTTGTTAAAATTTATTTATGATGATGTCCATTTTCTCGTCGTTTACAACTCAAGAGGGATACTGTAAGTGATATCCCATTGAAATGAATTGCTTGTTAAGTAGACATAATCACGATGCCGCTGTTTATCCTTTACTTATCTTCAACTTTCGATCCAAAACCCAAGAGTACCTTACATAATCTAAGCTCATAATCAGGCATATGTTAGTTTAAGAATTTCTATGGAGCGAGTAACACTTAGTGTATGATTTAACTGGTACATCTCCAGATACGAAAATGGAATAGATGAAATCACTTCCCCAAAAAGTGTTATACCAGAAAATTTAGTAGATATTTAGGACCGTGTGGATTCTGCTAAAGCTTCTTCTACTATGAACTGGACTCCGAAACAGTACCATGTACAACTTATCCACACTTTCCTTACACAGCTAGAGTTGTGGTAATGAAGTTGACGAAGAAGAAAATCTACAATCAGAGGGAATATGTTCACGCATTACTCTACGTCTGACCTTTCATAGATTAAATGCTCTTTTTCTCATACCAGCATTCCTCTTCACTTTCAGCTTTCAATACAGTTTTAATTTTGATATTCTTCCTCCTTAATACTTATTTTACCAATCCTTTATGTTCCTTTCCTTTCTTTAGTCTTTATCTTCGAATCCATGCGCAGACTAGTATTAGTGATTTCATCATTATTATGACTTTCCTACTACTGTTAGTCTTAGATGAATACCACTTCAGTCTTCTTGCACATCCGCCAAATTATAATTCATACTGCACTCAGTTTTATTGTCTTCCGTTATATTCAAATGATTATCTCTATTACTATTTTGGAAATTTGAAGCAGATGAGCACGTCAAAACCAGTATGGATCAGAAAGACAGCAAGACAGGCCTACCTTCATCAGTCTGAAACAATCAGTGTGGAGATCTACTGAACTCCAATCAGCATAAAGCGTGAACAGTATCCAAATCCTCAACACCAATGTCAGTCAAGTAAGTCAGTGCTTCTATGTGATGGTTGAGAGACTTTGCACGTTACGAAAAGCACTTCGAATAAACTATAGATATTGATCAACAGCTGCCGCCTACACTCACTCGATAGTGAAGATTAAATCAGATGGCCAGAATAATAAGAACAAGTAAGGAGGAACTCTGGGAACGTACGAACCAACCAAGAACCTATCACGCAACAAATATGGAGAAGAAGGAATTTGAGATGGATTGGATTTGGCATAGAGTGAGAAGGGCGACTGGGGATATCACGTGCCGGGCCTGGCCGTCAAGTGTAATGCAAAAGGGAAATGACGAGTTGGGCATCCAAGGCGAGGGTGACTTGGAGGAGATGATGTAAGGAAGAAATGAAAGCTTGTTGGCAGTCGCGGCATCAGGCTCAAAAAACTGCAGAGAAGAGGATGCAATGGAGGCATGCTTCTGAAGCCCTATTTTACACCAGGAACCCAAGGGGAAAACAAAAAAATACCTCCTATGATAAATTCAGACAGTATAATGAGATGAAGAGGAATATCTGAAGCATGTAATGTGTAAATGGCTATATATTTTGAACAATCTCATTACATATGAATTTGTCACTTTACTGTTGGTACAAAAATTGAAATCAGTACTACTAATATATTACTGCTTTTGTGAAATATATTAAACACTGTCTAAATGGCAAACTCATGACTAATTTCTAGTATTTGTTTGGCACCTTATCGCGCTTTTTGTATTATTCGAGGTCATTTGCTTTTTAAACTAATTGAAAACATGTTCGACCATCTTTAATTACATGTTATGATTACTCTTCTTTATGCATTTGTGTTTACACACTTATGAAAATTCATTATTACAGTAAGATGTGATACAATCTTTTATGTATAGTTGTGGTTTGTTCTGAAGCATGGACTTTGTACTTTCTACAAGGATGACCTTGACGTCTTAGCAAATCTTGTTGATTTCCTTTCCAAGTGTTTTCTTTTCACAATCAGCCATTTGAATCACCTGTTAGTAGTAAGGATATATACATATTTATCTTAAGAATTAAGTGTTGAACCGGTTTTAGTGCTACAGCGAGACGATCAGTACTCACGTTCATCTTTTTAGGTAACAGCTATTCTCTTTTTATAAAGTAATCAAGTGATAGTTGTCGGACAATACTTCAAGGCAGATGTGGACAGTACACAAAGAGTTACAATAATTTTTCAAGAAATGATAGGTAAGACTCAGTTAAAAATCACAATCTAATAGCATGCATGAAGCTAGCCTTTTTATGAATGAGCGGTCAGCTACTCCTAAATAACACATCCAATTACTTTATTCATTGACACTTGTAATTCCCCATTTTTATTCTAGATCGAAATGATGGGTGTCTTTCTGCTTGTAGGCTCGTATATGGTTGCTTCAACATTGCCTGGTAACGCTTTGGGGCTTGAAGCGGGGGTTATGGTTTCGAGTTTCAGTGGAAACAACATCATTCACTGGCGTGCAGGTACATCCAGCTGATGAGTATCAAATGCACGGGTCCTGAATTCTATCGCAGCTGACCACCAAGTAAATTACAGTATTGTGTTTTAGCTATTTCTTACAATAAAAAAATATTACGGACAGTAAATATCTTAGTGTTCAAGACTTACTCAGTCCTTGAAATCCAATAGATTTCAGGATATGATAAATTTCGCAAAACGTTTTGCTCCTGATTAATAATATATAAACCAGTTCCATTTATTGCCAATATAATATGATCAGTAAATATGTCTGGACCTGTGAACTGATGACCTTCATAAAATTGCGAAAAAGACAAAGGCCATTGAGATTTTGCTAAATTAACAACTTCTTGTCTCAGAATATCAGGATCTCTTTGTGTTCTTAAAACTTCATTTTCTTTGATTACCTTAAAATGGACAATAAATTTAACTGTAAGTATTTGTTCTAAAAAATGTGAAAAAAAGTTAGCGTAAATAAATAACCTGTTTTCTAAGCTAACATCCTAAACTAAATTTCAACCTCTAAGCCATGTCATGGATTTTATTCAACCAATCACAGTCGCGATAGCCAATGAGTACCATTAACCTTCACGAGATACTTGTCATTTATAGCCAGTTGTATAGAACTGTGCATCGTTATTCAGTGACATTTTTCATTCTTACTTTTCTCAACATTCTGTATTGATAAGTACTTCACTACAGCACCTTGAATAACTAGAGTACTAGATACTACTAATGGAATCTCAAATTCTGAATTATGTGTTAAAGATCTCGTCTCCCTAGATCACTTAGTGGCTAACAATTGACATCGTTAAGGCTCCGATCATTTTTAAACAAATATGTGTTGGAGGCTGAGGAGTAAGCATTTTTATTACATGGATGATTTCAGTGAATCTGTTAATATATATATATATTGCCAGAAGAAGTACTGTAATTTAATAGGATGTAACGTACATAAAATGGCAGTTTATAAGCTTATGAAAATGTTGATAAGAAGCAAACCTTTGTACCATCAATTTATGTGTAGTTGAGTTACTTTTAGAAATTTAAGTGATTATGTTTGATCAAGATTTTGATAGAATTTTGCTTCTCCAAAAGAATGCCCTTAAATAGGTCAATTTTCTGTTGGTAAGTTTTTCCAATTTTGGTCAGATTATCAACCTCAGTGAGTAGATTTGTGGTTTTTATCAGTGACTAGAGTATGATAATATGTTGTGCGCACAGTATTCCACTATTCACGGATAAACCTAAAGTTTTTATGAGCTTCTATCAAGCCTTTTACCTGTCATTAAACTCTGAGGATTTCTCTGGGTGTTTAATCCTAAAGATAATCCATTTTACATTCTGTTGAAACTTTGAGAAGCTTAGCCTTTTCCTCAGAAGCATGCCAAGAGTTTCAGTTCACTTAATCTCACTTATTTAGCTTCAAAATGTGTACTGTGGTAAAAAACACAGAATAACATCAGTTCGTTGGCCTGCATTAGGAAAAATTCGTACCTGCAAAAACACGATATAGTGTTTTCGAACAACAATAATAGCTAACCATTCTGTAATGACTGGTAATGGGACCTAGTAATCTACGAGCGACATGAAACTTACGCGCAAAAGAATCTTAACTAATTACTAATTAGAGCGTCAACCATCACAATAATACCACTAACACACAAAGACAAGAAAAGAAGATGGACTGCTAGTAGAGAGGTATTAATGTCTAAACAACAGTCAGAACAGTTGAGCGCGATGCAAAATATATACATGCTAAATGACCTTGACAAACATTAAGTTCGCTGATAAGTTAACAGAGTTAACAACCAATGAGAGTTCAGCCTTCAGAGCAGTGGAAAAATTAGAGCTAGCAACGGCGTTAAGAAGGCGAGAAAACGCCACTAGTAAAGTTATTTTAAGTTGATATCAGCCAAAAGTTAGGCAAACTGAGGAGTATATAACACATTCATCTATAAGATACTACAAAGTTGAAATCTCAATATACTGAATGATCATGAATCATTGTGCTGAATTTCTGACTCTTTATCCTATGCGTTTAATACCCAAGGTTGTAGACAATAAGTTTTAAAAGTTATATCCTATCCTTTGAAACAACATCATAGTATTGTAAATAATTAATTATCTGAGTTTGAAGTAATTTTTTCTATTTATGGAAAGACATTAACCCAGACTACATGGTTAACTTCGGGTGAATGATCTTGATTTTTTAATGAAAACATTGTAAGTTTAGAATAATTCATAGATATATCCTGATACAACTCTCTACCACTTAGATGTTTTATTATGTTTTCATTGAATCATTGCCATTTTTCTCCCAGGAGACTTCATAAGAAAAGCTCATGTTCTCAAAATACATTTAATAGCTGACGTCATATCGGGATTACATAAGAGGCATCAGCACCATAAGGCTGGAGAAATGTGATGTAAAAGATAATTATGTAATACTCTGAACTTTAAAATTTTCAGATAACTTATTTTGAAGTAAGAACTATTTTCTTTATTGCAGTATTTGTTTTAATATCTTTTGGCAATAAATCTCATTTTATGATTTGACTATCTAAGATAGCCGTAGCTTGGCAGACTAGTATTTGTACTACGTGATGATTGAAGGTGAAATAAAAATTCGGACCGCGGCCGAATTCGGACCAGCGACTACAGTGTTACCAACCCGGTGCTCTACCAACTGAGCTACGAGGTCCGACTGCTAGCTGACCAGAATTTTATTTCACTTCAATCACAAAGGGTTTCGCCTGACTACCATGTGAATTCGTGACGCGTTACTATGATAATCAATATGATGCTCACTCTCTCTGATCCAGTTAGATTGGATTGGGATGAGAAGTCCTGACTAAGTAGCTAGTGTGAATACGATCAAGCGGCAGTAACACGTCACGGATTCACATGGTAGTCGGGCAAAACCCTTGGTGATTAAAGTAAAATAAAAATATGGTCAGCAGTCAGACCTCGTGGCTCAGTTGGTAGAGCACCGGGCCGGTAGCCCAGTGGTCGCTGGTTCGAATCCGGTTGCGGTTCAGATTTTTGCATTTTGGTTAACATTGGTTCTTATTTGAATAATGGGACCTTCAGAAATCGTTAATGATATGTTGTTTATAAGTAGCCAGTTGCTGCTAGCATTTCCTTGCAATATATTCAGTTCCAAAAGGTTTCATTTTTGTGGTACCTTGTTCTTAACAATTTTAATGCATTTACTAGTTGACCCTTTGCGTTTTATCTACAGAATATTTAAAATGGTGGGGAACATTTGTAGCACAGGGGGATGGTCTTGGTTGTATTGTATTCTCTGAGCTTGGTTGCTTAGTCGAGGAGCTTCCATAGTCTTTCTAGACGACATCGTCAGTACGAACTTCAACACGAAATGAGCTTTCAGTATATGTTCTGAAGTGATTCAGTAGCTTGCCCTGACCAACTAGTTTGTCAATGATTGTTTCCTTCGATTGTTGTGTCACTGACTGTATAGATTTTCCTGTTGCCTCTTCCTCTGCTTGACCCTGACCTTTCTTTCGTTTATCGATTTTCTCATTGGTTAATAGAATGGATCTGTGTCAATACATCTACTGATTTCAGACTGACGTGAATGTCAAGCTTCTAGGAATTCTCCGATTTCCTTTGTGTTTCCTCTGTCCAAAAGTTCTACAATAGAAAATTTAAGCTAAGGCGATATGAGCATAACATTTGCTAGTTGACGAAGTCTTATTATAATTTTCATACACTCCAGCGATAAATTTGTTCCACTTTTTTCTACGATGTCTACCTCTAACCGAAGTTGTTCTTCCGTCGGGAGTTATGTTGTTTGAGTTGGTCATACTTAATAAACCTAGTATAATTTTATTATTTTTAGAGATATAAGTTTGTGACTCAATTTTTTGAATAAATCAGGACAAAAACCATCTTCGAAATAAAAAAAGCGCATTTTAGTTCATCATTTCTCATCAGTTACAAAACAGAAAAAAACCAAAATGAAATGTTTGAAGAAGTGTTTAAGGAGACCAGTTCGAATTTTGTAAGATCACATGCTTCCATTTGGTCTTCAATAATCACCCTTTTCATCAATAAATGAAAGGTGGAAATTTCTATCGTAACAGCCATAAGCACGATTTTATCAAGTCACTATTCGCTTGAGTGATCAAACTCTGCTCAAAGAATAAATTGGGAAGATTCAGTACTAGGGATAATTAATATCCTAGTAAGTTTATTTTGAATATATCTAACCATTCGAAAGAAGCCTTTTTGTAATTATGATATGTGCATTTAAAGGTGTTAAAATGTCTGAAATATTAAACGCAAGGATAAAAGGTGAATTGAGAATGAGCTCCACTGGCACTAGATTGACTGCAATTCACCATACTATATGCTCCCCAAATTAATCAGAAACAGACGACTCCCCAGTCTACATTGTCTGCCGCTGGTCTTACCATTCTACATGTACTTGTAGAATCAAGCACACGGGAAGGATTGTAAGAATAAACTCTACCTTATTTTTTCATGTTCTTTGTCCATTTGTCTGTCTATTTTCTGAACATCTCTCTAGAAATCGTTATTTGAAAAGGCAATAAGACTTCTAATGGTGCAATTGTCAAGAGCCTGATATCTCCCCATCTTTCAGAACATTTGATAAAAATGGCATGATACGTTTACTAAGTTTTACCGATGTTGTTGGTATCAAACTATTTCAGACTGACAGCGAATGCGGGAAGCAACTACAATTAACCTTTCGTTACGCTCATGTCTGTATATTATTTGACCGCTGAATAGCTTTATCTCTGATGACGGATACTGTAGTATTTTTGACTTATTCAAGTACATTATAAGTTGCTAGCTGTTGACAACTTCCCTTACATCCGTATGTTACAACTTTTTATCACTGCAGAATCTATGCCATGATGTAAACTGTCTTTTCTCAACTTTGTGTTCTATCGTTACTTCTAGATATTGAGCTTTAATCCGCTTTCATAAGCTTGAAGAATGCTATAAAATTATTACCTGTCATAGTCCATTTTGATTTTTGGCTTCGCTAGTGCTTGTCGAAACCTCGCCTGGTTAACTAGTTCACTAGTTACTAGCTGGTCCTAAGCCCAGATAAAGAGGAAAGGTTGGGCATAGGTCTAGCAAACCTACCCAGTAAAACCAATCCAATCGATAAAGAAACTTCAAAGCACAAAGAAGGAAGAACAAATCATATCCGGATCAGATTGCAACACTAAGCATCATCACTGAACAGAGCATAAAGTGGCAGTCAACTCAACTTCATTGACTTTGTAAAGGCTATCGATTGCGTCGACCTACAACTATTTTGGCACTTGCTTCAACACTACGGAGTGCCACAAATCTTTATCAACCTCATTCAACAGCTATATGAAGATGCCACGTGCCAAGTGGTCCACAATGGAAATCTCAGCGAAGCACTTGAAGTGAAGACAGCAAGGAGTAAGACAAGGCTGTCTACTATCACCCATGATCTTCCTGATTGTCGTCACTGTACTGGATCATGCAGCAAACTGTGAGGAGCTGTGATAAGAGGGCATACGCTGTTTGATGGATGAAGAGAGCATAGAAGACTTGGATTTCACCCACGATAATTTAAGTCTAATGTCTCGTCTCACAAACTCAAAAATCTACAGGCAAAAACTAACAAGTTGACAGAACACGCAGGACACAGAAAACGGGACTTCCTTCAAGAGAATTTAGAGAAGTCAGAGGTGATGAAGATATCCAACCAACAACAGCATCAACAACAAGAGGCAACAATCACCATTAATGGGAGAAACTTAAAGGAAATTGTCTCTCTCACCTATCTACATACCTACCTATCTTTGCAGGCAGCATCATTTCAACTACAGGTGGTGTCGGCACAGGCACAGATGAGGATGTCAAAACCAGTCTGGATCAGAAAGACAGCAAGACAGGCCTCCCTTTATCAGTCTGAAACAATCAGTGTGGAGATCCACTGCACTCCAATCAGAGTAAAGCGTGAACAATATCCAGATTCTCAACACCAATGTCAGTCAAGTAAGTCAGTGCTTCTATGTGATGGTTGAGAGACTTTGCGCGTTACGAAAAGCACTTCGAATAAACTATAGACATTGATGATGTAAAAAGGAAATGATGAGTTGGATCTCTGCGTCGAGGGTGACATGGAGGAGATGATGTAAGGAAGAAATGAAAGCTTGTGGGTAGTTGTAGAGACAGGTTGAAAAGACTGTAGAGAAGAGAGTGGAATGTAGACGTGCTAGTGAAGCGGTATATTCGACTAGGAACCCAAGGGAAGAAAATAATAATGATTACTGCTTGTCAGAAACTATGAAAACAAACCATTAAACGACTTGTCCCCCGCTTTGTTAGTTTAGCCTTTTATCCTTCCTTTATCACTGTTATTGTTATTATAATTGCCTTCGCTTTGATTAGTTTCCGATGTTATTTCACTTAATTGTCTTAATCTTCTTAGAAAACATTTATTTCATCTTGATCAACTTGTTTAATCTTATTGCATAATACATAATTGATTTACCACTTTCATCAATTTTTTCACCCTGTTCTGAGTTATATACTTTCTTTGAACCATTCCATATATTGCGTAATCTACTCTGTTATCATTCACACTTCAATTGTTATCATGATCAGAAATGTCTAAGTCATCATCCGTTCTATTATTATTGTCATCATCATCATATAGTGTTTAGTTATCCTCACGGGATATAATGTTTCAAATATCATATATATAAGAATGTACAGCTTGAAAAGAAATTCGTCGAAAACAGTCTCTTGGCTGACTATCTTGTTCTTGATGTTACAGTGGGAATTATTAAACTAACTAAATGAAAAAATATCTATATGAATAGGCTAAATTCCTAATGGTGTAAAATATCGTAGAAGCTATTGTTATTAATTTACCACTTCAAGGAATGCTAATCCATTTCAAAACTTACTTGAGTTACTAATTCTATCCATTTAGAAGTTTGTGGTAATTTACGCTTCTCCAACCAGATTTGTAATTCATTAAGTGTTTCAGTGAATAAATAGTTTTTCTCAGGTAACTCATCTAGTTTGTTTACTATCCACTCACACGCTAATATATAAGCTCGTAAATGCTGTAAATTGAAATAGGGAATTTAAAGCAGTAAAGGATTATAAGTAATTTTTTCTATATTGACAGATATTTTCTAGCAGTGGAATCCAGGACTTGCATTTCTTCCTATTTGGGGCCCGTCAGCTGGATGTACCTGCCTCCCAGTGAGTGATGTTGTTCCCACTGGATTCCGAACTCCGAATCGACTGCTTCAAACGCCAGAGCATTATCCAGTGTGCTACTGAGCCACAATAGTAGCTTCTTGTGAGACGAATAAAGTTTTTAATGTTGTTGATTGTATTACCTCGTGACTTGTGGTCTAGTGGATAAAACTGTGGCGTTTGAAGCGATCGATTCCAGTCTCGAGTCCTATTGAGAACATCACTCACTGGGAGATAGGTACACCCAGCAGGCGGGTCCCAAATAGGAAGAAATGCGCGTCAAGCTGGATTCAACTGCTAGCCTCTATCTGTCATTGGTATATAATTAAAACACTGGCAATATCGAGGCACCTGCGCAGGAGTCCGTATGTCAATAGAAGTCGATCAATTCGGTCCAATTAACGACGGTATAACATAGGCAATAACATTGGAAATCTTTCCTGCTTTTTAAATATTTGATAAATGGATTCCGTTATGTTTTTGTTTTAGGTAGTGTTTCAAGGCTACTCTAAGTTTTGCAGTTATGCTTGGGCTAAAAGCAACTCAAAAGCAATGTTGGCACTACCTACATTACATTAAAAGTATTCAAAATAAGAAGGATCTAACCGCAACATGCGTGACATTTTTAAGAAATCATCAAGTTGGCTGTGAGATTTGTTCAGCGCATGATCGCTTATTTTGCTACTTCTACGTTTGACTGTTTGTAACAATCTAGTTGATATATATATATATATATAATTGTATCAGTAAATGAATTTTGTTTACACCGGTTGTCAAATCAGAAAGCAAACTAACGGTAACCTTCTGAAATAGTGAGAATTATTTATCTGTGCCTTCTCAGAGACTCAAACAATTGTTCCCAATGCCTGGTTATGCATATTCTTTGCGTAGTTTCGACACATAAATACATCGTTTTAATACCTCCCACTTCATAAACTGGCTAAAGATGTACTTCTGCAGCAACTTTATTGATAACTGACATAAGCAGATGGCTGTGGAGTTTGTTTCATAAGAAGGTAAGGCTATTTCAGTTAACTGACATATTTCGACGATCTATACCAATGTGTTAGTTTGTAATTAAAACAGTCTTCAGGTTTTCGAGACATATATAGCTGAATTTATTTTAATCATTGTCAAAGGTTATGAGAGTGAATTAAAATATTAATTCTTCAATATTTCATGAACTTCAGCATGTAGTAATTGATTTTGTACTTATAAACGTTGTAGTATGTCCACATACTTATTCAAAGGTATCCATTGTGTAACAGAATCTAATTATGCTAAGAAAAAAACTTAAATTGAATTTAACGCTCAAGAGAATTGCAGCTGGTTAGCTAAATACTTTGTTCTTGGATCACTGTATCAGCATTTACGTTGATGTGAAATTTTAAGCATATAGTTTGCCAACCATAGTATGTATATGTATTTGCCTCCTCAGAGTCAATATGGATCTTGCTGATTGTATTACTTCTTTTTAAATGGAATTTGACTGGTTAGATCTTTCAAAATAGAAAAGACATTCAGGGATGAATGATGTTTAGTTGACAATGGATTCTGGTGCATGTTTCATTTCTAGCGGCTGTCTGAACACAAGAGATGGTCATATTGTTGTATTGAATCCTTTATTCATTGCAATGAAAGTTACTTTCCGTCAGATATCAGTTGCATAATGCAGAAAAGTAACAGCTTTATACGAACTAGTCAACGTGGGGTAACAGATGTTACTATCAACTCCTTATCATCTAGCATTGGTGGACGCCTATGGACAATTTACAATTATGTAGGTAGTAGCTTAGCTTACGCAACATATGTTTCAGTTTTTTCAGTCATAGTATATAGATGACACCATCGATTGGCTTAAATTCTTTCCCGAGAACTGTATTCTTAACTTGATTATTACTTATTGTCTGTTTTTATTATACACCAGTAATGCTTGGAAAGAATTTGGGTTGGTTATAAAGCGCTGGTTTAACTTTCAATAAAAATGCCAAGATTTCATCATAGGAGAATTTTTCAGCTACAACACTACATACTTTTGTATGGTCTTCCTAGGTACTGGATAGCTTCTTTGAAAATTCAAGGATAACAGGTTGTGATGATATCAATTTTCATGTGTGATGTATGCCTGAGATAAGCAATGTTTTTGTTAATTGGTGATCAGATTGTTTGACATCATAAGAATACGTTGAAGAATACGTGAAATATTTATCTTCTCAGTGTGATATTAAGGTTCTCTTTCTAAACTTAAAGGAAGTAGCCTCCTTCACTTATCTAGGCAGCACTGTTTCAATTACAAGCGGCACAGACAAGGACGTCAAAGTCAGAATCGGAAAAGCAAGACAGGCGTTCATTAACCTGAAACCTGTTTGGAGATCTGCTGCACTCAGCATGTGGAACAAGATCCGGATTTTCAACACCAACGTCAAATCAGTGCTTCTGTATGGTTGAGAGACTTGGCGCATTACGAAAGGGATTTCCAATAACAACAACTGCTTATGCCGGCTCGTTACTGAAGATCAGATGGTTAGAAAGAATGAAAAATAAGGAACTCTGGGAACGAACCAACCAAGAACCTATCGCTCAACAAATATGCACTGGAAGTAAGTGGAGATGGATTGGGCATACACTGAGAAGGCCTATTGGGAACATCATGCACCAGGCCCTCGAGTGGAATCCCCATGGGAAGCGACGAGTTGGGTGTCGGAGGTGGGGTTGATATGGAGAAGATCGTGTGAGGAAGAAATGAGGGCTTCTGGGCAGTCGTGGAGCCAGGTTCAAAAGATTTCAGAGAACAGAGTGTGCTGGAGACGTGTTACTGAAGCCCTATGTTCCATTAGGAACCTAAGGGACAAATAATAATAAAATAAAATAATGACTAAAACTGAGGTGATTTTTGAACAAAAACATTGGGTTTACCTGTTTTGAAAAACGGTAGATGTTTGTGTTCTAATACTGAATTTAAAATATGCGAGTCCTAAATAGAATGAAATGCATGTCCTGGATTCTACTGCTGATCACCAAGATGAATACAACATCATAATATCTGGCAGTATTGAGGCATTCGCATAGGCGCCTGTCTGCCAACAAAGGTCGAGTAATTAGACCCTGTATAGCAACGGGAAATTACAAGTATCAATAAATAACAACAATAGATACCCGTTGCACAAGAGGTGTCTCTCATCCCTTAGTGGCCTAATGGATAACGCATCGGTATTTAAAGCTATGGGTCCTGGATTTGAGTCTTAGTAGGAACAACATCACTCACTGATATGCAGGTGCATCAAGCTAAGGAGTCTTAAATATCACGAAACGTGCGTCCTAAATTACACTGCTAGTCATCAAGATCGATATGGATAGCTTTATATTTATTAATTATGTAACTATATGCATACTATGCATTACAAAACTGAACATAGTGGAAAGCACTAACACATTTCAAAGTTCAGAGACAGTCCTAGACAAAACTAACGTGATAGGTGTTATCTGTTTTATTTTTCGTACATTCTCTATTATTCATATTATCAATAAATTGGCATCAAATTTTTATAACTCATTAACTGACTTGAACAGTCATCAACATTTTCATTCGATTTAGAGGTTTCTGGCTAATTTTTGTGTTTAAAATTGTTTTCACTTTATATTGACATTACTCAGAGAATCAATAAAATCTGAAGAGTACCTGATAGTTATCTTGTCCTAATTCAGACTTCTCATGAGGGTCCACTGACGACCTCATATGGAATAGAGCCTAAGACCATCAGGCATTTCGGCGAACCGGCTACCATTATTAGTGACTTGTGAAGTCAAGCAATACGATTATTTTAATTGGATACTGACCAACCTGATTAACAATGACATTTTGAACTATTTCCCATGTGTCTTCTCCTCTACTTGTTTTTGTTGTATTCTGTGTTAGTCCTCATAGGATAAACAAAATTTGAGATGTAAAACACATACTATCTTGGTGAAACTGACTCCCTAATCATGGATGTATTTACGTTAAATTTAAAGGTAATCACCAGCAGTTACCATTCTATGCCCGTATATAACAATTATTCCAGGTTTATGCTTTGGTGCATGAAACGCTGAGATTAATATATATATATATATATATATATATTCTCCCAAGTATTTTGGGCAGTAGGAAACTTATTTACTTTTATTTCTACAATATTATTCTTATTATTTTGTTGCTGTGACTTTTAAAGAAGGTAATGTATTGGCGATGAGAAATAAAATAAGAATCCTATAGCCTACATCTGTCTGTGTTGAGTTTCTACTATCACGTTAACATATTACGGAAATTAAAGGATGGAAAGACTTGAAGACATTAGCCAGAATCCAAGTCTTTACATCTATTCTCCAGGAGGTCTACACATCAACAGTATACTAGAAGAAATCATATGACATTTTATCCAGCTAACCAACCGAAGTGGTGTTTAAGACAAATCAATAGCTATTTGTTTAGTTCACTTTTAGTCCTATAACCAAATATTCAATACACTATTGTCTTGACCATCTTATCCTCTTATTTCTTTACTGAGTTTGGTAGTATTTTAATGACACATCAGTAAAGTACTACGGCAATATGAAACTTGGAGTTAATAATCGACACGAAAGTCTAATAGTGGTCTATTATTACTGCTTTGTTGTTGAGTGCTTAAATGTATCAAAAATGTATGTCTGAATAGAAATTTATAAATTAAGACAAATTTATAAGTGTTTCAACCTACATCATCGCATTGATATTCATTGTATGACATTTCATGAATGACTTGTTGGTAAATTAATCTCGTCGATATCATATCAATAACAGAATCATGCCATGGAGAGAAAATTTCTTTTCGAAAATACAATGTCCATTTTCTATGTTCTTCAAGAGTTCCTTTTTGTATTGCATAATTTTCACATTGACTTATTGCATCCATTAAATGATCTTTCCCATTGCCAAGTGATGACATCTGACAAAAGATTATAAAACTGTTAAAGTACAACAATCTGAGTGAAATTTAAAATGTGGGTATTAATATTCTCCTGTTAAAGTCATTTATAATCAAGAAATGGAGATACTACCATCAAGTTTACTCCTTGTTTCTTAATCCATCATGCGAATCAAACTTTGAACTTTTCATACCGTCGGTTTCCGTTGTAAGCTTGAACAAGGAAAAAATGACTTCCTTTACAAACAAAATCGAGTCAGATCGGTCATCTGTAAAACATATTATACAGCCAAGGTCATCATCATCTACGTTACAGCACAAAACAAAACAACATATAAACGATTACACCACATCCCACGATGTTTATTTGTTTATATGTATGTGTGTTTCCACACATATATAGAGAGGGGTAATCGTGAAACGAAGTTAAAGAAAGTTGAACATGTACCTAAATGGCTTCAAAAACAAATGCCCTCAACAGATCCGATAAGTGCAGGTGACAAACATCCTTCTTTGTCTATCGCTAAACACATACTAGAAACTAACCAACCTGTAAAGAAGTGCATAAAAGTCGTCAGAGCCGAGTGCTCAAATTTATTGGTGCTCTTGCCATCCATAAATTCAAACCATCCCTCGATGTATACAAAAACAATTTGTACTCAAGTTGAACCTACCTTGGTAGTATTGATTTTAATTTTCATTAACTTCATTAACTCCATTGACCTTTTTCGTAAATTTTCACATAAGTAGCTCGACATGTCCATGTGTGATCAGACTGTTCAAAATGTATAGCACTAATACATCACGTGTTTCAGATAATCTTCGTCTTCTCATTACGCAGGTTAAATTTATCGAAGGGACCAGTTGCCTTGGTTTAGTTTTAATTGAAAGCTGCTTACCGGTTCATAGACAAAGTAAATTCACATAAATCGTTCTTTTGGTGCTTACAGATTTAACTTCCATGCCTAATGTGATGAATGAGGATAGAAATCTATCTGTCGGATTTAAAATATGACCACTTAGCTTATTTAGCCAACATTCAGTTGCGTGGAATTTTGCGTGCTATGGGCCGATCAGTGAAAATAGGTTGGCTAAATGGTTTACAAAATACACAGTTCACTTTGACACCTATCACGGCTGAATCGTTTTCCAAGCAGCCAACCATGGCATCAGCAGGGTTTCCGTTGAAAACCTTGTGCCATGGCAAGATCACAAGATATGACCTCTGACACAGAAGTGTCATAAACTGACGGAATATACTACATGTGAAACCCTGAGGTTGATCTGCAGAATTCAACAATCAGATCACTGGATGGCCGTTTCACTCATTTGGAGCCTAGTTCATCACTGACATATCCTAACAAATTCAGCGTATAGAACCGAACAAGTTCAACCACCTGAATCTAATTAGCCACCTTACATGGACGGACTTACGTGAACCATACGATTTCTAAATAATTCACAAATCGATTGATGCAAGTCAGTTAGCCAGATTCAGCTGGTCTGAAGTAATTGACTGCATAAGCTGAAATTATTCATGTTTACTACTGATGAGTTCAACCACAAACGAGCGAAACAGTTATCGGGTGTTTACACTACTTTAATCTGACTTGTGAAGTATACAGATCAAACTGATTAGTTTCTAACTACTGAAGTCATTCAGTAGTAGTGGTAGTATGATGATGATAATGGTGATGAATAAAAAAACATCGTTAATTAACTTCAAACTTGAAAATCCATAATTTAAAACTATTTTTATCCAGGAGAAGTAGGTAATAAATTTTAACAATTGAAAATGAAAGAAAAATCTGAAATTCATAAGAACCTACTGAGTTGACAATCGAATTAAAAAAGTAATCTCTATCATTGCTTATTGACATATGACGAAAGGATATGTGAAAGAATTCGGAAGTTAAAAACTGTTTACAGAAGAAATTAGTAGTGAAAATAGTTATTACCTAAGTCATTAGTGAATCGAATTTAGGGATTCTGAGCATGAAGGACAAGTTAATGTGTTTTCATTCTACTGACATACATTTTTAATTCTTTAACTCCAGTTTATATGAACTATTCAACCGTTATTTGTTGACATAATGCCTCCCTTTTAAATGCTAATAATAATAATCTCTCATGTATAAGTAAGTTTTGTTTTCGATAACTTTTTCGCTTTGGTTCCTGTTTGTGTTTTATTTATTCACAAATAGGATACAAAGCCTAACTAAATGTTCATTGTTAATCTCTGGTGTTCCGTAAGAAAAGAATGAAACAGCTCAATCATAGTTATGCACCTTGTGACGTATAGTCGCTCATTTAAATGAGACAGAGTGACAGCCTCAGGAAATTAACTTAGGCTACACCAAGGGGATATTTATAGCTGAAGCTTATTTTATTGGATAGGTAGAAAACACTTTTGATATAAATGAACCAATATACGTTTATTACCCTTACAATAAAACAATAAATGAGATTTGAAAAGTTTAATTTATGCCTCAAAGCTTTAGACTTATCATGATTCAGGCCAATAAATTGCTTTTGAAAAGTTATTTAATACACAGTAGTACTGCATCGTGTTACGAGTCTTATAAATTAATTAAAATGCCAAGATACTCCAGCATAATGACACAATTCTGCTTTCAAATACATCAGCGTAAATCAATTATTTAGCTTTTATCCCTAACAATTGTTAGTAATTTATTCTTTCTTATCATTTCAAGTTGTTATTAATCGCAGACTGACATCATTTGGAGGAACAAAGGAAACATGGGAGCACTGGACAGCTGTTTCGTCCTAGTATGGAATTCCTTAACAGTGCGCACTCACGACCCCACCAGGGCTCGAACCCGCGATCTTCATGTTCCGTGGCTAGCACATTACCATTGAGCCACTGGGTCAGAATCCAATGGTCAATATTTCCAACTTCTGTTAGCTCACTATATAGCGCAACTGCCACCACCACCCAATCTCATCGTTGAGTAACTGTCCTCACGACCATTAGGCTTTGCCCCCGTCGGTCATGACTTCTCATTGGGACTTCGGGAATACCTCTCGAAGCTAGATCTGGTGAGTACTTATGGAATAAAAGCTTATTCATTTACCTTTGAAGTTCCTTTTTTCTTGAATCGCTTAGTAAATTTTTAAACACACTATATTTCTTAGTTGAATTTTAATTTAGGACGAGAAAACAATATGCCTTAAAAACCTTATATAATTGGTAAATGGGATATATTGTTATGTGAATATCTTTGTCAGCGATAGAGAATATTCATCGTTTTATACTGTGCTTCAACTACTGGATGTATTGGTGTTCACTGTTGAAGCCCTTGTTTTTTCCACTGTTCTTTTAGTTTATTCTTGCTAGCAAATTTTAGATATGATGGATAAAGTACTAAGTTTGGTTCGTACCGAGAACCAACCTTCGATGAAGTTTACCTGTTCAAAATAGAATAATTTAACTTTTTTGAAGAGCTGAGTGGGCATAAATATTATACTGATGATTTATCGTCTGACTACACACTAGATTGTACAATGGAAGTGAATACTAAGCTTAAAACGTTTACACTACTGACTCACAATGTATGACTGTCAACTACTGCATGGTCCATTTGGTTGTAGTCAAAAAATATGACAAATGTAATGTGATTACAAACATAAGACAAAAAGAGTTGAGGGCAATATGAAGATTAGCTTGTACCCAACTAATGCTTTCCTACAAATGTAGCTTAATCCCCTTTACGAAGTAATTATTAAAATTTAACTAGCTGCTAAATTATGTAGAGAATATACCCATAGTATTAGTGAGGATAAGAAAAATTCGAGTAAGTACGTACATTTTGTTAAACTAAGATGGCCCAACCTTTCAATACCAAAATCCTTTTTATGAAAGAATATACACATTCACTAGTTAAAACTTTGAAAGTCATTGCACAGTTAACTAACATTTCGGCATTAAAAACTACGTAACACATTGTTTTCCGAAGATTTCTACAGTGAGTGAGTAAAAGAACTAACAAGTTTAGAAAATCGCTCATTGAATTCAAAACAATGTGTATTTAGGTGATCAAAAAGGTCAAATAAATGAAAATCGACACGAAAATACTCAACGTAATAGCAATAAACATGAAATCAATAGAAGTTACACACATAAAGTATCTACAGAGGTGAATCGAATATCTATAAGTCAGATTGAAACTAAATTAGTTGATATCTAGTTTCCTACAAAGCCAATGAAATATATGAATTCCTTTTCTACATATGATTTCGACTTCAGTACTTTGATAGCAATTAATTAGACAGTTTGTAGATGACTAATTTTTACCGCCTTCGATGATTAGTTAGGTATCTCAATAGTTACTGAAAAGGTGGAAGTTTTGTCTACTATACGGCGGTTTCGATTAAGTATGCTTTTATGTAACTAGTGACAGTCTTTATTTTGTTAACCATACAGGCAAATACTGTATAACACTTTTGCGTCAGACACTTCCTTGTGTGTCCCACATAGCTTACTCCATAAGAGAATTTCAATTAATAACCATTTATGGATGCACATATTAAGCCACATCATCCTGGAGAGACTAAGTGAAGCGCTGGAATCAAAATTACGACCGGAACAGACGGCTGGATTCAGGAAGTACAAATCATGTGCGGACCAAATTGCAACGCTACGCTACGCATCATCATATAACAGAGTATAGAATGGCAGTCAAATCTCTACCTCAGCCTCATTGACTTTGAAGATGCCCTCGGCAACGTCGACCGAGAAGTAATTTGGAAACTGCTCCAACACTACGGAATACCACAAATCTTTATCACCCTCATTCAACAGCCATATGAAGACTCTATCTGCCAAGTAATTCACAGTGGGAAGCTCGTTGATGCCTTTGAAGTGAAGACAGGAAGGAGGGAAACAAGGCTGCTTAATATCATCCACGATCTTCCTGAATGTGGTCGACTGGATCATACAGCAAACAGTGAGGAGCTGTGAGAAGAGAGGGATGCGCCAGATGGACCGATGAATAGACCCCAGAAGAAGATTTGCATTTCGCCGCCGATCATCATTTATGTCTAATGTCCTGTCTCACAAACTCAAAGATATACTGACAAAAACTAACAGATTGACAGAACACTCAGGACACAGAAAACGGGACTTCCTTCAAGAGAATTTAGAGAAGTCAGAGGTGATGAAGATATCCAACCAACAACAGCATCAACAACAAGAGGCAACAATCACCATTAATGGGAGAAACTTAAAGGAAATTGTCTCTCTCACCTATCTACATACCTACCTATCTTTGCAGGCAGCATCATCTCAACTACAGATGGCGTCGGCACAGGCACAGATGAGGATGTCAAAACTAGTCTGGATCAGAAAGACAGCAAGACAGGATTTCACTAATCTGAAATCAGTGTGGAGACCTACTATACTGCATTGCAATGCACTGCACTTAGCAAAAAGCTTGAACAATATTCGGATTTTCAACACTAATGTCAAGTCAGTGCTTCTATGTGATGGTTGAGAAACTTACCGCGTTACGAAAAGCACTTTCAACAAACTACAGACATTCATCAACAACTGCCTAGGCTCGTTACTGAAGATCAGATGGCCAGAATAATAAGAATAAGTAGGGAGGAACTCTGGTTGACAGCGAACCAACCAAGAACCTATTGCTCAACAAATATGCAGAAGAAAGTGGAGATGGACTGGATTGCGTATGCACTGAGGAGACCATTCGCAGACATCACGCACCAGGCCAAGGTGTCGAGTGGGACCCAGATGGAAAACGACGAGTTGAGCGTCCCAGGTGAGCGTGACATGGAGGAGATGGTGTGAGGAAGAAATGAGAGCTTGTTGGCAGTCATGGCGCTAGGTTCAAAAGTTTACAGAGAACAGAGTGTACTGGAGACGTGCTACTGAAGCGGTATGTTCAACTAGGAACCCAAGGGACAAACAATGATAATATGGATGCATGCACATAAGAAATCCTGTCTTTCTTCCCAGAACAGTACTATTGTTTAAGAAGTAAACGTCAAGATACTTCGATGGACCTTATTTTTACTTAATAACTGCCTTTCCACCCAGTCCCGTAAAAAAAGAGGTAGACTGGCAATGCTGTGGTGGTGACATAACCAATCGAACTGATCATTACACAATGAATTGAAGTATGAAGGTTGAAGTGTCACAAGGATGATGAGGACAGTGTCTAGCAGTGTGTATGTGTATGTTCTTACGTAATTGGTTGGATAGATACCAAGGGACTGGTTTTCTAAACGACTTTGTGTAGGTCATGTGCTTGACTTATCAATAACTTCGCATCAGTCCAATCAAAGAAGAGATAAGATGACTGATGATTGGTCAGAATAACTTTACATACACACAAACACAGAGACAAAGATCCATACAAGAATATGAAAGCACTTGCTGTGTGCATAAACGAAACAAAAACTGTTAGGGAGATGAAAACATCATTACTAGTGACCAACTGAAGTCAAATGTTTAAAAAATAAATTCACCTCATGTTCCGGTTTTTCCTTATTTTCGGATGTTGATTCAAAATGTTTTAACACTTTTCTTTAGGCTTTCCTAACATAAAGTGTAACTGTCCACAATACGTATGTTCTATACAACTGTTCTGTTTCAAACAGCTAAGAAAGGCATATAACGCCGGACTATAAATATTTACTTAGTTTAAGAGGACTAGTGAGGTGAATCTGTACGACTCATTCTGCTGTTGTGTAGTCACTGGATGGAAATACTCCGTAGACTTAGTAGTGTGGGTTTATTGACAAGCCATGATTAATAGGCTCTATTATTCAACAGATTTTAATACACAGTCATTTATGGATCACTGTAATAAGTGATCAGACAAAACAAATAAAACTAGAGACGTATCAATGTAAACTGTAGTCTTTGCGTACATCCTAGCGAATAAAAGTTTGAAAGATACAAAGGAGAAGCTCTAAGTACAGTCATCTAGCAATAAACAAGAGATCAGGTATATTAACGTGATCAACCGAGTAATATAAATATTCACTTAAGGATTCTATGTTAGTCAGGGAAATAGTTAGGTGGTTCCAGACAGGCAACTTGTCTGATGAATCTTTAAGGTGTTTCGCTAACTTCAAGTATACTCCAACAGCTGTTTAGTGTTGAATGAGTTTTTGGCTACTGATATCAACCTTACAATGGACATCAGTCGATAGCGCCACTTAATTTCTTCTCTATAGAGGGTAAGAACACGACTTCTGCAACTTATGTATTACCCTTTCTGAACCTTGTCACTGCATTGACTAGGGAACAGAAGTCTAGTCTGTCTTGAATCTTTGTTTCAGCCAACTGATCTTTGCAATCATTTCTCAGTAATTCCAATTTTCAGTTTAAGTGAGATAGCTACGGATTACTAGACATATTTTATTGAAGCTATGTGATGACTGAAGGTGAAATGAAAATCTATGCCGTGATAGGACCATCGACCCCTGGGTTACCAACCCGATGCTCTACTAACTGGGGCAGAAAACCCAGTTGCCGGTTAGTTAGCAAGGTTCAACGAATGGGTCTTGTAGCTCAGCTCGTAGAACACCTGTTCGGTAACCTGGAGGTCGATGGTTCGATTCATGCCACGACCCAGATTTTCATATGGGAGTTAAAGGTAAAAATATACGAAACTTACAAATGTTCGATTACTGATGTCTTCAATAAATAGCCTGTGTTAAGTGCAATCTTCATTTGACAAGCAATAAAATGACGTCGGTTTTTGGTAAAAGTTGTTAGAAATCATCACACACTACATTAATCAAACTATATTTCAACCCCTCAAACTGCCACTTATCACGACAGTAAAAGAAGCCAAATGTGATGAGTTAAAAAGGCAACAGTAAGCCCCTAGGTTAAGGGATGTAACAACATTCATTCCGTATTCTACTACAGGTAATGATGATACTGCTTTTGGATGATTTATCATCCTATCTGCATTTGCAGTATCACATATTGTTTGCCAGGTCCTTCGTTTTACTGTCATTATTTTAGCTCTTTCCCCGATGATTTCATCCTTTCCAACTTCTTTTTTTGCAATCTGGTAACTGTAAAACAGTATACAGAAACATTCAACTTTTATACTAATAATTTCGAAGTATGTGTTATTTTACCTCATCAAATAATTCAATGAAAAGTGAAAATCCAAATGAATCCTTAAGATTCAATTTCTCTGCCAAGAATTGGCATACTTCTCCGGCTGTAGTTGCTGAATCAACAGGTACACAGCGATTACAACCATCCATGCTTGTCACAGATAATTCAATATTTGATTTCAATATATTGCACGTAATTCTGTAAGACTTGGTGGTTGATTACGTGCACCATTTATTAGTGTTCGTTGGAGTCGTTGTATACATAATCTAGTGAAATCAGATGGGGCAGATTGAATGAACTGACAGATCGGTTTTAATAATTGTTTCGATGGTAGAAAGCATCCAATACACAATGAAAGCAGAAACCATCCTTTAAAATAAAACCAAAAGAAAAATCATAGTTTAGCAGGCAAAAAAATCATTAACGCTGAGTAGATTTGATAAGCGCTTCCTCATGTTTAAACCACGCAAGTTAACTTAACATTTATTCAAAAAACTTGGTTCACATTTGAAATGGTGGAGAATAATATTTATAACTCAATTGAATGATCTCAGTCTCCCTTCATACTGAAGTAAATGCTGATATTGTCTAGAAGGACAATGACAATTCCGCTATCAGATCACCAAACTGAGACACCGCAATACAACCAAGTCTATATGTATATTTAAAATCATGAGCGTTCAAATTTACGAAGAGTATTTAGTTCGAATCATAACTCATCAGCTGATGTGTTGGCACCTGTCAGGATTTTTTAAGTTGGTATTCATCATGGACTGACATCAGTTGAAAGAACATTGGAAATATGTGAGCGCTGGATGACTATCTCGTCCTACTATGAAACCCCAGCAGTGCGCACCCATGATTTTGCCAGCAGTAGGAACCCAGCATCTTCAGGTTCCGTGATCAGCATCTTACCATCGGAATCCTATGGTCCATATTTACAACTTCTGTCAGTTCATCACATAGCGCTACCATCACCAACTGTCATTGTTCAGTATTTTTCCTTACGTCCACCACTTTTGCCCCGTGGGTCATGACTTCTCATTGGGACTTCAGGAATCACCTTCTGAAGATAGTCATCAATGAGCACTAGTTCAACTGAATTCAGGAGTTTGTGGGGATTTGGTGGTTTTTCAAGTTGGCATTCATCATGGACTGGCATCAGTTGGAGGAAGACTGGAAATCTGGGAGCAGTGGATAGCTGCTTCATCTTAGCATAGGACTCCTCAGCGGTGCGCACCCATAACCTCTAAGGATATCCTAACCGAAACTCGGACCCACACTGTTAAACTTCTGAGATTCGGAAATTATTTCTAGTTTAATCTATCTGAACTATCAAAACAACCTAGGTTGTCCTCATTGTTGGATTTACAGGACTAGACTAATTACACTCTTATGAGTTCCTTGTGCAGATTCTTTGGTGCAACTTTGTGACTTCCACAGCAAGAAATATCAAGCTGCATTGAAAATGATATTGAATCAGAAATGTAATATTGAACGAGAATAAATTATCGCTATACCGTCCGACAAAAGCAGAAGTCCTGAACGCTACAAAGTTACTTACAGCCGGGAAAGAAGCAGGACCAGATGGAATTCCTCCAGAAGCACTGAAAACAGGCACGAAGACATCAGCAGACATGCTCATATCACTACTGAAGAAGGCTTGGAAAGAAGGAAGGAAAGGTACCTGCTGATTAGATGAAGGGTTGCCTTGTCAAACTCCCAAAGAAGAGTTGGCAACCTAAGTCTTTGCAAGACCTGGCGAGGAATCATGCTCCTGTCCACTCAAAACAAAATATCAAGCTACATCATCCTGGAGAGACTGAAAAGTGCACTGCATTCAAAATCATGACCTGAACAGGCTGACTGGCTATAGGAAGGAAAACCATGTCTGGATCAAATTGGCAGTCAACTCCGCACCTCAACTTCATCGATTTTCAAAAGCCTTCAACAGCGTTCACCGAGAAACCATTTGGAAACTGCTCCAACACTATGCTTTTAGTGACACAAACACTTATCAACCTCACCTAACAGCTACATGAAGATGCCACATGCCAAGTGATTCACAGCACAATGGAAAGCTCAGTGATGCCTTTGAAGCGAAGTGAGGGTAGGAGTAAGACAAGGTTGCCGCTTACTATCACCCATGATCTTCCTGATTGTGGTCGACTCGAGTGAACTGGATCATGCAAGTGATTGTGAGAAGCGAGAAGAGGACATACGCTGACTGAACTGATGAAAAGACCCCAGAAGAAGAATTGGATTTCTCTGGTGATGATTTATGTCTGTTTTATGTTGCACGAACTAGAAGATCAACAGGCGAAAACTGACAAGTTGGTAGAAGGGGCAGGGTAGAGAAGAAGACATTTCAATCAGGTGAACGTAGAGAAGATGGGTGTGCGGGGGGGATGAAGATATCCAACCACTACTACCACCACCACTACCACCACCACCACCACCACCGACATCATACATGAACAGCTGCTGTCTATCCTCACTAGATACTGAAGATTAGATTGGATTGCGAGAAAGAATAAGCAGCAGTGAACTCTGTCAACCCTGACAACGATCCAACCGACAAACAACCTATTGTCCAAGAGATATGTGGAAGAAGAAAGTTGAGATGGATTGGATGGGATTGTATTGGACATACACTGGAAGATGGACTGGGGATATCCGATGTCAGGCGAGGCCATGGAGTGAAACCCGCATGGGAAACGATGAGTTGTGTGTCCCAGCTGATGGTGACATGGAGGAGATTGTGTGTGGGCAGTTGTGGAACCAGGTTCAAAAGATTGCAGAGACTGGAGTGAAATGGAGGCGTGCTACTGAAGCTGTATATTCCACTAGGAACCCGAAGGACAACTAATAATATTTATAATAATAAAAATTATCTTCATAAATTTAAGAGCAAACAAACAAACTAAAAAACACTATTTACCATGTATTTGACTTCTGTGACTGGGATTCTTATTGATTGATTTACATATTTGGCAATAGATTTCATCATGCAATGATGGTCTCATAATACCATGTCTAATAATCAAATATAATTTATTATATTTTCTTATCAACGGTAAATCTTCACTTGAATAATTTACTGTATTCGCTAGTGGAGTTATACATTTCAATTGACTCGCCTGTTTTTCCTTCTCATCTCGTTTAGGACCAACTATATGGTGTGGCTTTTGTGAAGTGATTGCATTTATTTGAACTCTTGCAGTATATTTTGAGTTCTGACACCTTGTAATGATTAAGTTTTGCTTTATATTTGGTTTACATTTATCATGTATTGTTTGTTTCTTTCAGTTTTTTCAATAATAAATAAAACGAAAACAATACAGACAAAACTTTAATAAGTATCATCAATGGTTACAGAATAAAAATAACGGAAACTTTTTTATACGTTGAGTATGAGGTGTTTAAAGTTAGAAAACCGGTAAATAAGTCCATAAATATATGAAGGTAAGTTTACCTTGATTAGCAAATTTGTGATGGAACGGATGGAATTCCCCTTCATTGATTGAACGAAATCGATCGGTCACTATTGGCATATAAGCTATAACATTAAAACTGGATGAAAAATGTTTTTAAACTTATCTTTGGTTTTCATCAATCTCAGTAGTCAGTTTAACTGATTCTCAAAGCAATTATTTATGTTTTAACTGAAACGGGTATTTTCGTAATCATGATCTTTTCAGAAATCAGTGAATAACAAGTAGTTTATTTAAGCTCATATAATGAGCTATCCATGTATCTAAAGGAGTAGTGAAGATGTAGTTAGCAACAGAATCTTGTTGCTCATTTGATAGAACTCTAGGTGGATGAATCGCAGACCGCTGCTTTAAATCTTATCACAAACCAGGCTTTCATTCCCCCCTTAAGTCACTGGCCGTATTGGTGAGACTTTGATGCCACTTCAGTGTGAAAAAAGATTGGTGAATGAAAACAATCTTAACTCATTAACAAAGTGTATGTACTGTAAAATGGTATTTTCCTATTCTTTCCATAACATGCAGACACTTTTGATATTATGATATAGTTTAATATCTTCCTTTCTCCACCAACCTGGAAAGCTCAACTGTTGCAGATTTTTCTTTGACTATCGATTTGATGATGTTTGTAAATTGGCTTTTTTCATGTTGAATTCATAATTTGAGAATAAAATGTTTATTTGTTTATCAATAACATCAGAATGTTAATCCAAGATTATGTCAGATACCATCCCTTAAAAAATATTTGTCAAATGTACATGAATTTTACGAAAGGGATTCAGACACCATTAAGATACCATGAAAAGGTATATGAATACAGTTTCCCTTCCAACGCATTTAACACTGACATACATAACTCTATCTTGTATTTTTTTTTTACCACAGTCCGTTGGACAAAAATAAAATATCACTTAATTTATAATCAGTTAAGTACTGCCAAGGATGGAAAGTTATGAGAACAACAACTTATACATCTGAATAACACGTTACTTAATGTACTAGCCTACACTTCTTGTGGTAAAAAAATTCATAAAGAGCATTACTTTTAAAATTCAGACAATTCTTCCTATTTATCAACTTGAACAGTACAAGAACAGCAGGTGTAGAAAGGTATTATGGGCTGATTTTTATCCATTTGAGGATTGTACTCAATGCTTTATGACCTTAATGATGTTGAAATGCACACTTTACAAAACATTGCACATGCTTTTATCAAGCTGATAAGAAGTTGTTGGCAGGATCAATCAATGATATAGATAATAATAATAGTTGATATGCTTGTAATTCCACATTGTTTTCACTGGATTGAATTATTCGACCTCTGTTGGCATATGGGCTCCTATGTGGATGACTTGATATTATCTGAATATTAATTGTGATAATCTACTTGGGTGTGGCTAGCAGGAGAATCCAGGACATTCAGCTGATGAGTCCCAAGTGAGACGAAACGCGCGTTCTGGATTACCCTGCTAGTCACAATCAAGTAAATTGCCGTAAATAATAACAGTTAAGATGGAAAATATTGTTAGGGATATGAGACGAAGACTGTCTTTAAATAGGGTAATTAGATGGATATTCTTGAAATAGAACGTCATAAATGAACTTAAACAATAACTGACTGTAAACGAAAATTACCATAGATTGCGTAACTGTAAAAGTGTTTCGAATTTATAAAAGTTTGAAATGTGATATCATCAGGGTTCACACAATGGATTATGATTTATCAGCTTGATACTTGTGTTCACTTATTTGTAATGTATACGTTTCAATGTTATCTGTACTGTAAGGAAATGAGGAGAATCCTTTTAATCACTAAAAAACAGCTCGCATCACAGTGTTGTAATTACTGATCTTGTGTATTTCATTAATTTATCTGAATAAACGGGTGAACAGTTAAATAAGATAGTAAGAATCCACATTCATTTCAATGCCCTAACGATTATGCAACAACGATTACTGATAAATGCAAGATGAGAGCCTTAGAAGTGCTATTTTCGTCCCAAACTGCAGCTCATGCATTGCGTACGACCCTGGGTATTAGAAGAGCCACACATCCATGACGGCTAATAATGATAAAAATAGATGTTGTGAGTTTTAAACTAACTACCTTGTAGTTGACAGCTAGGCCCTGAGAAGTGGTAATACCAATATCAGTCAGGCAGAATCAGTCGAAAGAAGAGACAATCTTCCCAGGTATTTAGAATACTAGCGTCTGACAGTTGCATCATCAAACCAAAGGTCTATATTAGCGAGTTTCTCATGTAATGAATGGAAAACTGTTTGATTTTAAATACCGCAAATTCTTAATATGTCATCTTCAGCATTCTTAGTAGTGTACAGCCAACAACTCTGAGAGAAATCGAGTCAGTGGCCATCACTTCTCATGGTGAGAGCACCAAGATCGAAAACAGATGCCCACCAACTATAGTAGATGATGTTCTTGTTCCTTGAAGTTCCAGGAGCAAGCTAGTCCCTTCAAAGCAAGATGTTAACATTTGAACTTTTACCCAGTACCGGAATGGTGATATGCTTGCATGAGACTTGAGGATATTGGGCTCAATGGTTCACAAGGAAATACGTATGCAGTGCAGAGTTGTCACGAACAGTATATTACTTACAGGTTTTCAATGGTTTACCATTGCACTTGAGAATGCTTGGAAACCGTATCTTTAATTTTATTTAGCCCTCTGACCTGAAATCACTTACAATGTGTGGTAAAGGAGTGGAATATAGACACTGAGACTTAGTCTCCAATATATGTATGTTAGACAGCATTGAATGTTATGTTGCTTAGGATACGGTATGGATATACAGTACAGCCGATTTATTATTCTCTCATTTAGGCTCATTCTTCTCATGTTAAAAAAACCTCTGACAGTTTATGCCCTTTACCTCGATCCAAATATTGCTAACAATTTTCTTGATGAAAATATTGGCATTCGATCAATTAATATTGGATAAATATTGCCAAACCAGCCATTTTAAAGATTTCATGGGTAGGAATAAATATTTTACTATTTATGAAGTTTTCCTCGCTTCCTGGTGTTTCCAACAGGAAATTTTCAATAAGCCACTGATTAGGTGAAATGAGTTTCTACAAATGATGCTTATTACAACGTTATTGCCCTAATCGACGTTATAGGTGTAAGAAACTATTTGTAGGACTTGTTATACTAAACATTATTTTTTAATTATCTCCTAAGGGAGACATATTATGTACAGTGAGAACATAAGATAATTTACAATATTATTAGACAGTAAAAATAGGCAACGTACCATAACACTTCTTGCTCCACGAGATGCATCAACCGACTTTCTGTGTTGTAAAGTTGGACAAACTGCACATCTTGTTTGGGGCTGAGAAGTAATAGAGTAATCACGGCTATTTGCACAGTGTTCATTCAAAATAACAGATGTCTCAGATTCAGGTAAGATCTCCATGAAACGTAAAATTGCCATCCATATTGTTAAGGCAATCTACAAATGAAAATGAAAGTCAGTCAAACGTCTGTGTACATATCTGAAAGACTTTTCATCGCAAATCTGTTGTAACTTTCCTAAAGGCATGTAAATTGCTCTGAGTAGGAAATTTCCTATGGCTGTTTTGTGTTGCATTTATTTATTCAAATGTCATCAAGTCACAATGAATTTATCGTACTCTGCAAAACCTGTTGTGCTTACTTGAGTTATGTAACAAATACTTTGACGTTGACTGAATTAATTCCCTTTTATAAACTTCGACAAGACAGTAAGAAGACATAAATTGTTTGAGCCGTATAATGTATTTGCAAACATATTTTGAACCATCTGACATACGTAGATGAGGATGATGAATGCTTGCCTTTCTTGGACATATTAGTTGGTCGACGGCAGGTTGGATCCGTAAAACTTTCTGTCTACAGAAAACCCACGTGAACTGGGCACTATTTGGAGTATCATAGCATTTGTCCAGTTCAGTACAAACGAGCTTTAATTAGGTACTTATTCAATAGAACTCAATGAATATACACCTATAATACTTTGGAAGGCGAGAGAATATTGCTTGAAATACTGTTGGAAAATAACTATCCATCAAAATGTATTGACCAGCCACACGAAAACCTGATATTTCCTTTGTCCCAAAGGAAAATATCCTCATCAGTCTTCCGTAAAAAGGTGACTATCATAGAGCAGTTCTCAAGCCCAGACTTAACACTGCTGTTAAAATGACTAAATATGCTACTGGGTTTCGACTGCATATTCTCTTAAACCCTGACAACATGTGAACGACAATGTTACATTCCATTGCATCTATCAATTCAAAAGTGACCGGTACATAGGAAGGACTCGTGTAAGTAAGGGCCTCGGGACATATTTCAAAGTGGCTTCAGAAGCAAATTAAATCACTTGAACTCATAAACATTGGTGACACATATTTAAGTCCTTCGATCACAAAAAATATCGTTGAGACAAGTCACTAGAGCGAGGCGGCTACTTCCTTTAGACCTATTTGCAAAAACACGTTAGAGATGGATCGTTAAATTTGTTGAGGCCTTAACCATCGGGAAGTTGAAACCAACTCTATATGTTCAAAAACAATTTCTTATGACATTAGGTCCCCGTTGGTGAATTCAATTCTGAAACCAAGTTCGATGTATTATTTTCACTCTTTTGATTTTCATTGTTATATGGCCTTTAATTTAACTTTCCTACTTGATCACTTTTGATATTCTCACCCCTTATCTATATGAATTTTCACGTAAATATCTGTGATAAGTAAGTGTGTGACTAGATAGTTCGAAGTGTGTTACGCAAATACACAACATGATGCATACAATTTAGGTCTTCTTATTGAATTCAGTTTCCGTGCTATAGCACTACTTTTAGCTAAAATGTAGGAACTGATTCAGAAAAAGTATGTTAACTATTTATATATTCATCTACAGACAGTTCGTGCTAAACAAAAGTAATGCATAAATGTCTGAAATCGCTGATTTTTCGGGATAATGAATTATGAGTGAAGTTTGAATTTACTTTAGAGGTTTATGGGGATTTTTTTTATTGATTTCAAGTTGGTATTCATCAAGAGCTGATATCACTTGGAGAGGCATTGGAAACCTGACAGTACTAGATAACTGGTATTCCTCAGTAGTGTGTATACATGACCCCACCAGAAATTGAACTCTGGACCAAATCGAAATTTGAATTATTTTCCAATTTCATTAACAGCATCACCTTAAAACGGCGTCTGAAACATGCCGCTTATATGGTTTAACTTTCAGTAAATTTATATGATGCATTTTATAATATAAAATCCATCTTTGAGAAAATATAAAACTTTATGTTTTTCTCCAGGGTGTGTAGCAAACAGTGGCGCAGATGTATACACACATTATCCTCATCTTAACAACGCTATACCGAATCTCACTATTCTGTCACTCCTCTTTCCTTTCTTCTCGTACTTTATATTTCTTTTGACTGCATTCACTTATCTTCATCCTTCGCCTCACTACCTTCTTACTTGATGTGCTGATATGAGGTGTGGCAACTCGGACCGTTACGCAGTAATGCCTGGTCCTATGTTGATAATGATGATGTAGCAGACAGTTGTTAACAGAAATATCACTGAATTTAATGTATTTTTTCATGTTTCAAAATAACATTCGTCTAGATAATTCTACTAGGAATGTTAGTAGATCTAAATAACTATATTCTGCATCAACCTATTTTCCATTCTTAAGCGTTTTCAAGGTTGACTAGGAAAGGAAGTAATTCATTCATTTCAACAGTTATCTTAATCTGAAGATTATATTCAACGTTAATAAATATTTTCAAAGGAATCATAGGATGTACGTGTTTTCTAACCATATTGTCCATTGAACAAAGCTAACAAGTCCTCATTATTGAGTTTCAGCCTAAAATGCAAGAAGAGAACCTTAGTGGATAACACTCTAACGTTTGAAGTACTGGGTCCAGGGTTCAAGTCAATGCGAACAACATTACTCACTGAAAGCCAACAAGTCCAAAATAGGGTGAAACTCGCGTCCTGGATTCTGCTACAAACAATTATCCATCATAACTATAAAAAGAGAACCTTAATACTTTCGCTGATTATTTTGCCAAGTTAATTTATTTGTTAAATATGCACAAATATTTGAACATTTTGCATAGACATCCGAAAACAATAAGAAAACGACATTTTTACATAGCTGAAGCATTACGTATATAAAAGTTTTAAAAGAAGTATATGAATCCCTTTTTTCCACTGTGACCACCATAAAGGACAAACTGATCATTTTAGATAATTCCCTCATGATCTAATTACATTTCATATTTTCGTAAACCTTCGTTTTATTATCCAGTAAATTTCCACGGTTGATTGGAAATTATTCTACGATGTTGTATCTTTTTGCACTATATGCTTACGAATCAACAGCTAACTGAATGAGTTCGTCAAAAAGAAAAAAGTTTCTTCGTCATAATCATCTTTTAACCTCTAATACTTATTAGGTCAAACTGTTCATCATTCATTTACTTCTGTGTCATCAGAATGTAATTGACATTGGTCGACCAATATTACTTATGTATCTCATCAAGCAGTCAGTGTATGCTATTAAATAAATCATAATTATATGGTGTAGTCGGATCAATAAACTTGCTTCTAAAACCGATGGCTGCTATCTTGACATGGTGTTCAGATTTGCGAATCAAAGTGACCTAAAGAGCTGCACTGACCGAAACTCTAGTTCCTTGAAGTCCAACCGTGCTAGAAAGGTCTGTTGGATAGTGGTAAAACAAAATGCAGTTAAGGTCGTAGTGCGAATTGCTACGCTATGGTGGAGGTCCAAGAGCGAAGTCATATTGCTGGCTGGATGAGATAAGATGGCAGTAAAGTGGTTCTTTCAGATGACCAGAAGTACCATGTTGGTGATTCCTTCTCCATGATCATGGGAGATTAGGAAAAGTTGCATTCGAAAATACACACTGCTCCGTGACCTGAGGTCTTCCGGTGCTTGCAGTGTCGGTTTTGCTCTTCCACCGTTAGAACACGCAAACCTCAAGAAGGTAATCTTCATAAAGTTGTTTGATAGGCCTCAAGCGAATGTCCGATGGGGTCTTCGGTCACACAAATCGTTTTTTTTTTCAGGGATTCTGCAGAAACAACTTACATGGTGTGGGCAGCCGAGAAGTTTTAACCTCCCGTACGCTTAAAGTGGTATACGAAGTTCTACTAAACACGACCAACTTCTCTTCCCTTTGTCTCCTACTTTGCCTTCACCTCTAAATACTGATATTAAACCTGATTCAGTTTACTCAAGCTCTCATTCTGCTACTGCTGACAAAGATCCAAGACAGAGAAACGCCATTTTTAGTCTTCTGAAGGTCCACGTTTTATGTCAGATCACACAGCATGCATTGCTCAACAAAGCTCTAAAATCTCAGGTCGTAAATATGTGTTGTGTTTCTGAAACACGTATACAGGACCGGACGATGGTCATTAACTTGACCTCACCTAGTCAACCTGACAACAATCCTCATCCTGAGGAAACCTGGTGTGATATAAAGGCAGTGGTTCAGGCGGTCAGTAACTAAGAGAAGCAGAAGTCAGTGGATTTTCTCAATCTCATTAGAACTGATTTGTGCAAGAAGATTGATTCCAGCTGGCTCTAACCACACCTACTGACTGACAAAATAAAGTTAAAACCTCACATACAGGTGCATCAACTAAAGTTGCCACTTTTCACGGTAGCACATAAAGTCTCCGCAATGATCACAAGCGATGGCTGGTGACAAAAGAAAGAGCCAAAAAAGGATTCAGTCTTTGGGTAGCACGCAGCAACTATTTATGCATATTAAGGAGACTGGGCAGACAAAAACGACAGTGAGTGAGACCATCACTTAAAACGGATGGGATGCTGATAACCTCCAACGGCAGGCAAACAAAACATTCTACTAAACACCTTGAAGTACACTTCAACTGGCTCACAGAGACGCTTCAATCATCCAACATACAGCCTGAATCTCAATGAGATGTAGATACGGTCCTCCAACTCTCCTTCAAATTGAGTGGACAGTATCAAACTCGAAGCGATGAAAATTAGTAGAAGCCGACAGTTTGCCATTTGGCAGTTTGAAGTAAGGAGGTAGGAAATCTGTAATTGGAGTGAGGGAGGTACTGTGTAGGTCATGAGAATCAGGGGTAGTTTTGTCAGACTGGTCTACTTCACTGATCATCACAGTCTATGAGGAGGTAGAAAAATCTTGTTATGGTAACTGTAGGGGAATTAGCTTGAGTAGTATCATGTCCAAGATTTTGAGTTCCATAATTATCTGATGCCTTATTAAAGCTCATGAGCATCAAACTCGATAAAACCAAGCAGGTTTCAGACAGAGCTGGAAGAGGGTGATGTCTGTAGACAACACCGTCTTGCTAGGTGAATAAGTTGACAAAATGTAGTGTCTTCCCAACTGAAAGCGTTGAGCAGAAATCTGGGTGTTCGGCACGCATTTCTTGGAAAAAATTAAGATGATTCCCTAGGACTGATCCGCTACAAGTACTCTTGATTTAAGGGTGGGGAGTGAAGTTATGGAATGCGTCGACCACTCCCTTTTCTTGGGGAATTGTATCAGCTCGAACAGGGTGGTTGGTGATGAGATTTTAACTTGGATATAGCCCTTTGGCTTCAACCTTGAATCATCTGTGGTGCCTACTGGCGTGATATCCGATTACTTGTCACAGGGTAATTATACTGTGCTGCATTCCCTTTTGTTCTGAAACGTGACTATCGAAAGTATTGGATTCAAGAATATTACAGTTTTCTGATTACACGTGCCTTCGTAGAACTTCTAGCGTTTGATGTAATAATCGTGTGAGCTATTTTGAAGCAAGGCGAAGGGTAATAGCTAAGTCAGTAAATGAGGTTGTGAACTTGAAGCAATTAAGTTGGCTTAAACACCTTTTGTGTATGCCACGTCACCGCCTACCTCGGTGCACAATGTTAGCAGAATTTGAATTATGTTCAAAAACAGGTTAATGTGGCCAAACTAGAACATCACATCAGTTCAAGAAGCCTGTGGTTATTGCTGTAATCTGTTTAGGGGAGTGCAAACTGCCTAGTTGGAGCCCCCAAAACGATAGGAATCAGTGGTTTATAAAGCTCAATGTCATAGATGAAAATCAGTCACAATGGTGAAGATGTATTCACTCCTTGAAGATCTTTAAAACCCGAATATTTCTACTAACCTTTATCTCATAACTGTTTTATTCTTTCATACGCCTTTGTCTACTTGATATCACTTTTTCTACCCCCTCATACTTCCCATCCTAGTGTGAAGTGTCGCCACTTGAGCTGATGCACTTGTGTGCGAGGTTCTACTTAGATTTAGACTGTTTCCCTGTCTGTCTTTCAAGTCTAAATGCTACGATAACATTAATCTTGTTATTATCCTGTACAGTTTTCCGGTGTTATATTGGAGTTGAGTTGGGAGATTAACTGAAAAATTAGATTTTATGGGTTAAGTGGCTTGACGCTGTGGAACTACGTCTCAGGTCTACCCATCAGCAAGCTTAACAGCACCCACCAGGAAGATGATTTTCTCTAAGTGATTTTAGTCCACCCCACTCAGTGTTAAATTAAGAGATCAACCAACAAACTTCGATCACCGCTGATCAGTAAGGACTAGACAGCCACTACGGTTACGAATTATGTGCTAAGTCATGTTCTGTGGGAAGTCGGTCGTGGCCAAAAGAACCAAATGGCTAGGTTGCCGACTTCATTACTGATTCGTGCAAACTGAGGTTGCCAAGAGAATGACAACTTCCTCATGGTACTGCTGATGAGTACCAACAAGCCTTCAGCCTATGTCCATGGCTTTGTACCTAGCACACTTAACATTTAACCTGCAAAAATCATTGGACACCGTGGTGTCGTATCACTCAGTCTAGTGGCGAAATCACAGCACAAAAGTTCATCGATCCAAGTTGCCACACTTCACAGAAGCATACAAAGAACCAGTGGATAAGCGAGGCTGTTATCCAATTAGACAAAAGTGTATAGGGGAGAATGGAATTTAGAAATTATAGTTAGTCAAAACATTATTCTAGCCTTAGAAGACATCAAAGAGTGAATACATTTATGCCATCGTGACCAATTTTCAGTTCCGTCACCAAAAGTCCTTAATCACTGATTTCAGTGGTCTCAGGGACCTCAGCCTGGTAGTCTACACCTCCTCACACGGTTCAGATAAACAGTTAAAAACTTCACCAACTTACATCAACTCTTGATCTAGCCACTCTGGACCCTCTTCCAATTTATACCAACCCCCCATCCCTACCATAGCATGTCAAGGTAGGTAGAGGCTTGATATGCGCAGTATGTCCAGAAGCACCAAACTAATCAACAGAATTCCGTCAGTGCCAAACACTAAAGATTCAATGTGGATTATATCATTACTTCTTGTTTTTTATAAATATATAAGCTGTTATTACTTGGGGATAATGGATCAAATGGCAACGCAACGCATCATCGTAGAACAGAGCATAGAATAGCAGTCAACTTCCCACCTCAACTTCATCGATTTTCAAAAAGCCTTCCACAACGTTCACCGAGAAATCATTTGGAAACTGCTTCAACACTATGCTTTTAGTGACACGCACACTTATCAACCTCACCTAACAGCTACATGAAGATGCCACATGCCAAGTGATTCACAGCACAATGGAAAGCTCAGTGATGCCTTTGAAGCGAAGTGAGGGTAGGAGTAAGACAAGGTTGCCGCTTACTATCACCCATGATCTTCCTGATTGTGGTCGACTCGAGTGAACTGGATCATGCAAGTGATTGTGAGAAGCGAGAAGAGGACATACGCTGACTGAACTGATGAAAAGACTCCAGAAGAAGAATTGGATTTCTCTGGTGATGATTTATGTCTGTTTTATGTTGCACGAACTCGAAGATCAACAGGCGAAAACTGACAAGTTGGCAGAAGGGGCAGGGTAGAGAAGATGACATTTCAATCAGGTGAACGTAGAGAAGATGGGTGTGCGGGGGGGATGAAGACTCTTTCACCTACCTACCTACCTACCTACCACCCCACACCTACCTACCTACCTACCTACCACCCCACACCTACCTACCTACCTACCACCCCTAACCTACCTACCTACCTACCACCCCACACCTACCTACCTACCCACCTACCTACCACCCCTAACCTACCCACCTATTTACCTACCTACCTATCTTTGCAGGCAGCATCATTTCAATTACAGGTGGCGGCGGCACAGGCACAGATGAGGATGTCAAAGACAGGCTTTCATCAAGTTGAAATCAGTGTGGGGACCTACTACACTGCACTGCACTGCACTGCACTCAGCATAAAGCATGAACAATATTCGGATTTTCAACGCTAATTCAGTTAAGTAAGTCAGTGCTTCCATGTGATGCTTGAGAGACTTGAGGTGTCATGAGAAGAATTTCCAACAAACTGCCGACATCATACATGAACAGCTGCTGTCTATCCTCACTCGATACTGAAGATTAGATCGGATTGAGAGAAAGAATAAGCAGCAGTGAACTCTGTCAACCCTGACAACGATCCAACCGACAAACAACCTATTGTCCAAGAGATATGTAGGAGAAGAAAGTTGAGATGGATTGGATGGGATTGTATTGGACATACACTGGGAAGATGGACTGGGGATATCCGGTGTCAGGCGAGGCCATGGAGTGGAACGCGCATGGGAAACGATGAGTTGTGTGTCCCAGCTGAGCGTGACATGGAGGAGATTGTGTGTGGGCAGTTGTGGAACCAGGTTCAAAAGATTGCGGTGATTGGAGTGAAATGGATGCGTGCTATTGAAGCTGTATATTCCACTAGGAACCCAAAGGACAGATAATAATGATAATAATACTTCACGATAATGAATTCTCTTATCTAAGTGTTATCTATCTCCAAAATTTTTATATAGAGTCATTTGAATAGACCGTTTTGTGGATCAATTTAAAACCCAAATAAACCTACTTTATTATCCTCTTCATTTTTATGAATTAATAGTGGTTTTGATAATAGCTGTTTCGTATAATAAGGTGTAGCACCAGCTTGAAAATAAGTTGTAGCATATCTAATAAATTTTGAATCATTATCTATATTATCATCACTGGACACTTCAACATACGAAATAGCAAAATCATTTGCACAAAATTCCAACTTATGAAATTTAGTCGGCTCTGATTTAGTATATTCAAAATTTCTCCAATCTGTAGTATGTTTAGTGAACATTTTGTTGGAACCATTAACAGTGGTAAGTAGATGATCTGGTGTTTCATAATCACTTTTTTCATTAAAACCCAAAAACCGATCATGTGTAATATCAATTTCATCTTGTTGTACAATGTTTAATACTTCTCCTACCTTTGAAAAAAAAAAAGAAAATAGAAGACTAGTTTACGATTTCATAGGTATTCGCAAAATATGATCAGTAAAGAAATTCGGAATAGTTGTTATCGAAATTTTTTCGATATATGTTGTTCTAGTTTAGTTCAGTTCGTTGTATTTCTCAGTGGAAATAAACACGAAATCTACGATAAAAATCGATCATTAAATTAATCCACAGGATTAATGTCAATCGAGAATGAGGTAACAAAAATCTTCAAGGTGATGAACAAAGTTCTCGTCTTACTAATACTGTCAGACACCAGTGACTGCAACTAAATGAAATATAATCATTTGTTATATGACTTTTAAATGCAATAATTCTCTTGACATACCATTCCAAATGAAAGCAAAGTGAAAAGAAGTGATCTGAAAGACAGAACATGAAGATGGACTACATGTTGGTCTGTTAACTACATGAAACCAATGTTTACTTTAGGACACTCTTCATATTCATCTTTTTATGTATTTAGTTTAATGTGTTTGGGGTATGCGTTGCCTGAATACTGTTGAGTAAAGAAGGTTTCATCGCCTAATTATAACTGACGACTGAATTTAACTGAGTGAGCTTGTAATGTAACCAACAAGATAGGGAACTTAATATTGTAGTAGACTTTGGTTTTAAGAGGTTGACGACATTAATCCCAGCAAAGAGCTGCACTTCCATCACTTGGCACTTTGATCAAAGACATTACCATTGACCTATTTATCTGACCTAATGTAGGGACGGTTTTAACACACTGACTAAAAAGTGCATTTGCCGACATCAGTACAGTTTGAACATCTTTAGGGTCACGTCTATTTCGGTAGTTACTTAGAATCTGGAACTACATTTTACCAACGTGTAGTAACAAAGATGCCACCTAAGTCAACCTGAGCTTCTTGTCTATTATGTATAACCCCTCTAACATGTATGCACTTTTGCTGTATGTTTTACTACACTGGTAAATACTGTTAACATACAATTACCTATAGCATTCAGAATTTATAAAAAATTGATGGCAATACTATTTGATTTTCTGGACCATGAGCATATTTAAGGAGATTGTATGGAAACTTTAAAAAATGACTAACCTGAGGCTTAAAAATACTGATGTCTATACAATTACAAGGCTATGATTAGCAAACACACGGAGAGTATGTGGATAAAATGGGAACTAACATTTTAAGTCCTTAGCCGATGAGGTAGAAATTTTCGTGCTTCAAATTTTGATATATGTTACTGTGCGGTTAAGATGAATCTTATTGGACAGTTTCGTACTTCATGTAACCAATCACAACAAAGTATTTTGTCTCTGACCTAGAGCATTTTTATATTTGTGAAAAATTGAAACAACGTGTTTTTCTTGAATGAAGTCACCCTTTCAGTTAGCTGCTAGTCTTTCTCTGCTGGTCGTTTCGTGACTCAGTGAAAACATGTTAATTTATTTAATTCAGGTGTCCTTCTAAGTTCAGTATCCTTGTTAGCTCAACATTTTATTTTCTTAGTTTATTTGAGGTACCTGAGTGAAACCAAGTTTCCAATCATAATTAGTCGTTTCAGTAGTCGAATCATTTTTATTTTTCAAACGAATACATATAAATGTATAAAGATTGCATATCAATTTTTCATACTATTCTAATTTAAAAAATTGAACGTACTAGAAAAGATTCATCAATTGGTTCATATCGTTTGCATTCAGTATCTTCTTTCTGAAATAATAGAATACAGACGTTTGTATGTGTCTCACCTCCATCTTAGTTTAATAAGTTAAGCTTTGTACCAGTAATTGAACGAAAACAATAGACTGAAGAAATATTGTTTATATAAATGATCATTCTTTGCTTCATGTTATCTGAAATATTTTCACTTAGCTGACTGCGTTATTTAAATAACATAAATGACTAGATTCAATAAAGAATGATTCATTTTGTATGAGTGCTACTCGTCGCTTACAACAACAAAAAAATGGTTATTCACTGAAATGGTAAATCAACAACTTTTGATTTAGGTTCAGATATAACTCCTATCTTTCAAATTGATTTTCATTTCTTAAACATATGCTACTAATATGGCGGTGAAAAATTGTATCTCAGCTTGTATACAATGAGGTTGGTCAAACCAATCATAAGTTCTCATCAAGATTGAGTTTTCATGGATAGAGCTTACAAAATATGTCTAGGCTTTATATTAAATTCAGTTAGTGTATGTTTCATGATTAGTTCACGGAGCTATTGAACTTATTTAAGTAGTGATCAAAACTGACTGCCTTCTCTATTTCCTTTAGTTCATTCGCTAATTATCACTTAATATTCTTCTGTCACTGCCACTGCAATCATTTACATTCAGCTCAGTAGTGATTCCCTTCAACTAGACAATAAATGTACTTCTAAAAAGTTAGTTGCAGTTTCACCCTATCTTTTAAGCTGAGATAATTCCACCTATTCTTCCCATTCACTGACTTGACTACTGGTTGACTGAAAAGCTTTTTATTTAAATCGGCCTAGTAACTGATATTTGGTTTATCGGAGGAGCAATTGGTCATTTCATTTGAATTCTTTGTTTTTAGCATAACATAAATTCTACTGTACACTTTATCTTAGTTTTTTATAGTCTTCTTTGCTTAAGTTCTTCTTCTGTTTATTTTTTAAGACAGCTTTTTTCGATTCTTTTGAAATTTACTTGAGAGTTGAAAGCTGTACTACAAGCATGTTCGTAATAAGTGAATGATTTTGGCAAACTCTACATGTTTATTAACAACTTTTGTGTCTAGCTGAAATGCTAACTGGAACTATTGAATACTTTTCAAAGTAGCATTGTATGACAGTTTGATGTTTTGTTGAATAAATTTATTACCTGCTTAGTCAGCTTTGTTGTGAGACAAAAAATTTCATATTCTGATGCTTCATCATTATCTGATAAACAGAGACGTATTGGATGGCAAGCCTTTAAGAATATTCATCATAATAATTATACCAATTACTGTAGTTAATCGTGGAGATGGAATTTATGTAGTCTTCCCTACATATCAGAAAATACTTTTACGTGGAACGTTTCAGAAAGTTGCTATCAATTAGTACATAAAAAGAAGATATTGTGATTTATTGCAGCTGATTACTTGGCAAGAGAATACTTTAAAATGATATTTCTTGAAGAATAGAATAATTAATTTGCAAATAGTTCACTAACTCCACGGTCTACGTTGACATTCCTCACAGTTGATTAGTTTTTCAACTCGCTGATAGTGGTATCAATAGGGTTTCCACTGGAAACCACTCAGTCGAGATCATAAGGTGTGATCTTTGGCACAAAAGTGATACGGTAGTAAAATATACTACTACTGAACAAATTGAGTAGTCAGAAAATATTCAGTTTGATCTTTGGTATTTCACCAGCCAGATCAGAGTGACCTAAATACCGGGCGGCTGTTTCGTTCATTTGGGACAAAGCTCATCAGTAGTGTACGCGGACAAATTCAGTTCAAAAAGCCGAATTAGTTCAGATCATTTGAATCTGGCTAGCTAACTTTTATAGCTCGATATACCTAAAATACCTAAAAAATACCTTGAGAAATTATTCCTTCTATTTCAGGTATACCGATCCATACAGGCCAGCTGATCAGATTCAGGTGACCTGAATTAATTCGGCTTTGTGGACTAACTTTGTCCAGGTACACCGCTGACAAACTTGACCCCAACGGAGTAAAACACTCGTCCAGTATTTAGATCACTCCGATCTGGTTAGCGAAATACTCCAAAATAAACTGAGCGGTTTTCTAGCTACTCAAGTTCTTCAATAGTAGTATATTTCTTGAAGAAGTTTTCTATTTGGTCACTTGTTGAAACTATTTACATGGATTCATTTTCTCTTAGATTTTGTAAAATATTCCACTGTAGAAGCTTCATGGGAGTTAAAATAATATTGTTATACAGATTTCATTGAATCTTTTTTTTCAAAGATTTTCACAAGAATAACAGTTAACATGGAGTGAACTTAAACCAAAAGTTACAATGTTTTAATATAAAAATAATATTTTGATTGGTAGTTTTCGGGGACTGATTGATTGATTTTAAGGTGCTATTTATTACAGACTAACATCAACCTGAGAACTACAGAAAATCTTGAAGCATTAGATAGTTATTTCGCCTCAGTAGTGCAAGTATATAACCCTACAAGGGATTAACTGAAAGATAATTAAGTCTAGCAACAAGGATGTTATCATTCAAAAAAAATATTATTTCGTGAAATCAAATGATAAATAATGTATCACTTTAAATAAGTTGTTTTTATTTTAATTGGTTTACATGACATACTAATAGATAAAATAATTCCAAAATGTCATTCAAATCTGTAACATTTTGAAGTGAAATTTCTACATCTATATCAAATTAATATGCCTATTATTATTTAGGGTTACTGACATCAGAATACTGTTAAACGTTTCAATTTTCAGGTAAATAAAATATGAAATACCTTTCAGATGAACTCATTATCTCATTCCGTTAACCATAAGTTCTAGTATCATTTTATACATACTGTAGTACTTTATTCACTAAAGAATTAATAATTTTCTAATATAATAATCCTTTCTAATGTATGCGAAAGTGAAACACTATTGTTACCAGATGATGTTTCGAGCGAAATTTATTGCTCCTAACCACATCAATGTAGCTGCAACTTTCTGATTTGCTTTTATAGTTCCATTGTTTTTCATTATTTGATTCAGTTGGTGATAAAAATTTCCCAAATATTTTTATTCCTGTCACTTGTTTCGATAAAAGAAACTTCAATTATCAATCTGTTTCACTTAAGCAGATTGTTGTTTTGAAATTGATAATTAACCTCATAAGGTTGTGAAGTTGTGTAGGTGGATTTATGGTTTTCTTAGCTGATATTTTTAGATATCTTATCTTGCAGAGGTTTATCATTCTACATTTAGCTAGGTTTCCAAGTTCAGTGGACTTGACTTATTCTAATTTATTAATTGGTCTCATAGTCATTACACGAAGTTCGGTAAAATAATCCAATTTGCTTAATAGGTGTATTAGGATCCTCTAAAAAAACACACTGTCTCTTAGGCGGCTTTTAGGTTTAAATGTCATTCTATTTACGGTCTTATTGAGAATCTTTGTTCCTCCAACTGATGTCAGTCTACCATGAATAACAACTTGAAGTAATTCCAGATCTCCACAACTCCCTCGAAATTTAATCTTATATAAGTCTTCTGAGGTCCCTTGATTATATGGTAAAAACGTAGAGCTTTAAAAAACCCTTCCCTATACCTTTATTATTATTATTACTGTTTGTGTCTATCGTATCATTATAAATATTTTTCCTACAAACTGTCTTCTATTTCTAGATCAAATCACAGAGTTACTCATTAAGCAATAGTACTTCCTCTTTACTTCTCACTTTCTGACGTTGATTATTTGCCTTATAAGTTAATTTCTGTGGCCTGCCATTATATTTTCTACTAAAACCGTTGTGAAACTTACTGATATTTTTAGTTTAGTTAAATTCTTTTGTAACATAAAGGTTCTGTAGGCCTGTTGGATGCATTTTGCTGCCTGCTGACGACATTTCATTTCTTTTCTGATCAAATAACCTCTTGCGACAGCTTGCAATTGAATGATCACATTTTCAGTTACTTTTGTTTTACGTTTATAATGGCGATGGTACGCAGCTTGGATCTTGAGAACTGCACAGCGAATCTGTTTTAAATGAATGACATTAAGATACGGTTATAATACTGTTTTCAATAAATACTACATTCACACTTTGAAATTAGATGCATTTGAGTGCGACTGGAATTACTTGTGTCACTAATTGATTAGGTTTGAGTAAATCCTTAGACGAGATAAGAATAAAGGCTACATTTATCAACACTGATAGATTTATAAAGTGTGTGACACAAATATTTCCAGATTTTACCTCAGTATGCTATTCTTTACAACAAATAAGTAGTGAATTTGTCATTTATACGAATCCATGCAAAGCATTCTTTCCTTAATTTAAACAGAGATCTTAGGAATACGTTTTATGAACTTCAGGTTCAAAATTCGATCTGATATGGTTAAAGAAGTTAAGCAGTGGGTAAACGGATTATAAATGAAATATATTTGGAAAATTGCCATGAGATGGAAAAATAAATTTCTGACGTTTCGCTACTTCGTGGGAATCACTTTTTCAGAGAATAAAACCTATGCAAGTTATCGACTACTTGAACAGTCACGGAACGTCAGAAATTTTATTTTTCCACCTCAATAGGACTTTTCAAATATATTTAATCTGTAAGGAATATATGTTTTGCATAAAGTTACTTCAACAAGATTTATATAATCATGTATCGGTCTAACCAACCTGTACCCACTCCCGAACCTAATTCAGCTTCCTCTAGCATGGCACATCAAAGTAGACCGTAGATTGATATATGTAGTATGTGTCCGAGGTATCTCAACAGGTGACCGTTCACAGCCACATTAATCAACTTGCCTGACTTGCCTAGTACTGCTTGCCTGACTCTAACGTTGCTCACACGGTAATTCCAATAAACGAGAGCAATGATACGAGGAAATATGTAGTCAAAACCCTGTATTCGCTTCGTGTCGACTACTTTTAACGACTGTGGCTCATAGACGTATAACCAGATAGAACAGACTGCAGTATACTTGTCTTTTGATAGAAAGTCGGATATCTCGCCAGTAGGCACCACAGATTATCCAACTTTGATAACTTTGATAAGCATTATATACATGCTCTGTACTCCCTACACAGTCATACACCTCGGCAATACCTCACCACCAACGGAGTCAAATGTCGACTTCAGGTAAAGAAATATGACTAACGTCGGCCACCCATGGGTATGTCTTCGTTTCATGACTTGCCAAAAGTCTTTGTTTCTCGGAATAGGTGCTCCCGAGCTCCATTCAGGCATCGAATAACTATGCACCCTAGGATCTTGGACATGATACTACTTAAGCTAATTCCCCCACAGTTACCATAACAAGATTTTTCTACCTCCTCATAGACTGTGATGATCAGTGAAGTAGACCAGTCTGACAAAACTACCCCTGATTCCCATGACCTACACAGTACCTCCCTCACTCCAATTACAGATTTCCTACCTCCTTACTTCAAACTGCCAAGTGGCAAACTGTCGGCTCCTACTAATTTTCATCGCTTCGAGTTTGATACAGTCCACTCAATTTGAAGGAGAGTTGGGTGACCGTATCTACATCTCATTGAGATTCAGGCTGTATGTTGGATGATTGAAGCGTCTCTGTGAGCCAGTTGAAGTGTACTTCAAGGTGTTTAGTAGAATGTTTTGTTTGCCTGCCGTTGGAGGTTATCAGCATCCCATCCGTTTTAAGTGATGGTCTCACTCACTGTCGTTTTTGTCTGCCCAGTCTCCTTAATATGCATAAATAGTTGCTGGGTGTTACCCAATGACTGAATCTTTATCTGTCTCCCTCATTTTTATCACACACCACTACTCATGATTATTGATAAGAACCTTAGTCAACTTATGTTTAAGTTGATTTTTCTTTTTATTGTGGTCACAGCAAGCTAGAAACAGTCTTCTGACACCAGTCAGCCCGGATGACATCACGAAAATACAGTGACCTTTTCCTAACCTTTGGCTGCAGGTTACCAATTTTCTTTGTCAGTGTTTCTACATCAGACTTAATGATATGCCAGATCTCCCCAGGATGCGCTATGCTGCCAGGTTCAGCTAAGTGCCTAGCTAACTTCTCTCGACATGTGTACTTGGCGTCGTCATTTCTCAGTTGAGTGCAGTCAGGCCGGAGTGCATTTTTATTTTCTGCAGCCTGTAAGGTGCAGACATACATGGGCCCTTACGAGTTCAGGATCGGAGCCCAAATTGGTACTCCAAAAAGAGCGGCAATCCTTCACGGATCCTCTTTAATGATGGTTTATAGCGTTATGTCCATTTTTGTTTCATGTCACTAGTCGCCTTGTGAGACAGTGTCTTTCATTATTCTTAAAGTCGGTGCTGGCCAAAACAAGTAGATGTCGGAGTAAAATTGCAACGGACATTCACCGTTGTCGGTTCGTGGGGATGTGATTGCTCAAATACCTCCAAGTTGCATTTCTAATTGACTCAGCCTCCCTTCATGAGCGTTAAAGATACCGGCCAATATGACTGCATCTTAACCATTTTGTTTTCGACAGCAAAACTGAAAGCTTCTCACGGAATTTACTCTTTTCATCATCTGAGTTACAGCCAGTGGGTGTATAGGTGGAAATTACGAATAGGCATCACCTTGCTTCATGATACTTCCTAGTTCCTACAGATCCAGCTAGTCATAATGCCTATAAACGGCTGTTTATCGCTTTCTAGTAGAGAATTTCTCTTTCTGCTGTATAGCTCAAGGCCATACAGACAGCAGCGAGTCCACGAGAGCTAGTCAGTGGATTTCCAGATACTCATAAGATGAATTTGAAGATTCACTACCATGACCAGATGAAGACAGTTCAATAATCACACTCGGATCCTCTATATGTGTCTCAGAGATATATCATACATCCATGATTAGAGATTCCAGAGTTCTGGCAAGCGATGCTTTCTATCCAACTAGGCGTAGGGTTCAGATTTTCAAAATTTCTACATGAAACAGATGGTGGTGTCTCAGGAGGCTAGAAATGAGGTTTCGATGGCATTGTTTGTTTGGAATGATTTCAGAATAAGGAGTTAGGGAAGGTGTAAGAGGTCAAATACTAAAATTAGGAGGTGAAGACAAAAGAGGAGACTTGGTTAAGGGGGATAAGTCTTGTGTACTACTAGAGGCGTGTAGACGGCTGACACCTTCTGGCTACCCAGAAAGTGGAAAGCTATTTGTTCTTAAGATACCTCAAAAAGAAAAATATTTGAGTGACCGCAGAGCCCATGAGACATTTGCTTGAAGCTAGTCACATACAGCTTTTTGCAGGGTATTGTTTTAAGGTTTGGTTTTTTTAATGTCGGATCGATAAAACCTATACTACCAGAACTGGAAGACAATGGGTAACAAACCTACCTGCCCATTGTTGCAAATGTGTCATAACGACGAAAGACTATGCAAAATGTAGGTCCATTATTTCTTGCAAGTTGACTCCTAGGAAATGATTTTCTTTTCAATGAATAATTTTGCCCACGACATTACCATTGACCAACTAGGTTAAAATCCAGTGCTCCATATTTCCTGGTGGGGTCATGTGTTCTCACTTCTGAAGAGTCCCATACCAGGAAGAAACAGTTGTCCAGTGCTTCCGGGTTCTCATTCCTCCTCCAATTGATATCAATCAGTGATGAATATCGACTTGAAAAGTCACTAAATACCCACAAACCTCCAAATTCGATTGATCTAGCGCTCACTGATGACTACCTTCGAGGGGTGATTCCTGAAGTTCCAATGACTCATGGGGCGAACCTGGTGGACGTGAGAACAAATACTCAGCGATGACATTGGGTGACAGTGACGCTATGTTGTGATCCGACGGAAAGTGGATATATAGACCGAAGGATCTCGACAGAGTGGCTCAGTGGTAACGTACTGGCCACAGAAGCTGAAGGCCTTGGGCTCGAACTATGTCGGGGTCATGGATGCGCACTTCTGGAGGTCCCATATTAAGACGATATAGCTGTCCAGTGCTCCCATGTTTCCAATGTTCCTCCAACTGATGTCACTCCATGATGAATACCAAATTTTAAAAAAATACTTTTTCTGAAAAGTCAAACATATATTTCCATTGACAAATTTGAACAATGCAAGAATAAAGATATTTGCAGAACAAAATGAACTCATTTTATTCCATGACCCTTCATCAGCTATAAACAGCCTACAACTGGAATGAATCATTAGGGGTAATAACAATATAACATACTTTGAAATAAATGGAGATTTGAAATCTATGATTAATAGTAAGGCAGTAAGTCAAGGAAGCACAGGATTAATAGTTAAATTCCTAGTCAAAATCATTGGCCATTTATATCTAGTGAATACCATCCTGACTAAACCATTGTTATATCTGACAGGACAGGAACTATGTATATGTAGTCTTTTGATTGTATCGTCTCTTCATTAATTACTTACTGAATATTTATCACATAACGGTTTCCCCGTTTTTCATGTAATTACGTAACCCATTAGTTCTTATACAGTCCCTTCCTTTACACTGATTTTCGTTTGTTGTCCGTCTACTAAACAGCTCTAGAATTTTTTTATTTCATTAGATATAATTAGTCGTTGATTTTGACTAATATTTGTAACTATTAATCCTGTGTTTCTTTGACTTACTACCTTATTGTTAATTATGGATTTCAAATCTCCGTTTATTTCTGCGTGTATTATTATTACTAATAATGATTCATTCCAAGTGCAGGGTGTTTGTAGCTGATAGAATGTTATGAAATAATATGAGCTCATTTTGTTCTTCAAATGTCTTTATTCTTGCATTGTTCGAATATTTTTTTAATGTTTTTTAACCTGATTGAAACTTCTGTGTATTTTTGTAGTTTATAAAGTGTAAAGAAATATTTCCAACCATCCCATATAATTCATGGCACTCATAAGAAGGATATATGATATCCTGCTTTAGTTTACCATCCTTCTAGTCATAGCTTGCGTATCATAACAAATCAGAAGCCTAATATATTTTTCTACTGGTGGTTACAGTACGCACAAAAGGTATATGAAGAAGATATATTTTTAACTAAATAATTTTAATTACGACTTTTACTATCTTCATGTATCTTCGAATTTCCCAGAAAGAAAAGTGATTAATTCCGCCTTCAGATTATTACACCTGAAGTTAGTACATTATATGGATTAGTTACAAAAGCTGCCATAACTTTGAAGAATTTGTGAACTCCAAAGTTATGATTCATTTAATCATGATGATTGTTGCGTTGCTTTTCAACTATACTGACAGTTATTAGCCTGCTGTTTCTAATGAGTTTATGCGGACTTAATTAATATATTCGCCTTACAGTAGTATTCATGTTTCAGATTTACATTCTTTACAACCTTGAAACAGATATCTGATCACTGAACAAGAATCAAAAGTTTTTTTATATCGTAGCCTACTTTTATTTTACCACACAAAATACTAACCTGTTTATATGATTTTCTTGCTATCCATCCCTTTACGACTGCTTGTAGATAAATGACTGACTCTTTCACCTTTGTATAATTTCGGTAAGCATTAAATTTACGCCAATTCGTCTGAAGTTTTATAACAGATTGATTTAAAATACAATCACGTTCATGTTCTAATTGTGTATCATGTACATACTAAAAAGAAAAGGGTTGTAGATGAATTTATTAGTTCTCACGATAAGGATAAAATAGAACATATATAAGTCAATTATGAACAAGTAGTCAATTTTCAATCATCTTATATTTTCGTGTAAAATGCGTTTGAATTTTGAGGGAGTTGTGGGGATTTGGAAATATTTTGACTTGTTATTCATCGTAGACTGACATCAGTTGGAAAAACAAAGGAAACCTGGGAGCACTGGATACCTGTTTCACCCTAGTATGGGAGTCCTCAGCAATGCGTACCCACGACCCCGCCTGCCAATGATCGAACCCGCTACCTTCAGGTTCCTTGGTCAGCAAGTTACCATTGAGCCACTGAGTCAGAATCCAGTGGTCCATATTTCCAACTTCTGTTAGCTCACTATATAGCACAAATATATGGACCACTGGATCCTGACCCAGTGGCTTAATGGTAACTTGCTGACCAAGGAACCTGAAGGTAGCGGGTTCGATCATTGGCAGGCGAGGTCGTGGGTGCGTACCACTGAAAAGTCCCATACCAGGACGAAACAGCTGTCCAGTACTCCCAGGTTTCTTTTGTTCCTCCAATTGATGTCAGTCTACGGTGAATAACAACTTAAAATACTTTTATTTGTGTAATTTAAATTCTAATCTTTTCACATGGATGAATGCATGTAAATATTAGTGCTTATAAAAACAGAAATCCAAAAGTATTTCCTGAATAATTCTTAGATAAATTTGATAAAAATTTCGACTTTCAGTTTAATGATGACAGCCATCAGTTTGGGTAAATATCCCATTACATTCACGTTGATTACCTCACAAAGCTTAACGTATTCCTTTTATTTCACTTGAACATGATTTTTGCAAATATATTGCTTCAAATTTTAACTAATCATAACTTTTAATGAAAGTGGGCCAGTGATGGTGGATGAGTAACTTTAAATTATGGATTTACTTAGTTATTCTTTTAATGAAGAAAGGAACGCGTGCCGTTTATCTTTATATAAGTAAATAATAATTCAGCGACGAAAATTTTTTGAAAGAATCATTTTCAGAAACTTTAAGTCTGTATCTACAACTACAAACAGAATATATGTCCATTAATGACTGAAGGAAGTAATAGAACAAGTGAGAACAGTTGGAGAGTTATATGCGAACAAACAACTACAAAATAATAATTTTGATAAAGAAAATGAAGATTGAATGTACCTCCTTTGAACGCATTGATCAAGCTTTAACCGATAAGTTTCCAAGGTTTCTGCTGTATTCAGGGAGCAAATCTGTACTCTCTTTCAAATATCTGAACAACAACAGCTGATTCGAGGGTGTGTAAAGCACAATCTACCGCTTCGATCCATCTCCACATTTGTTTGCCAAATCATCTGGTCTTGTGAATCTGGTTACATAGGGAGCATAAAGTGTGTTTTATCAAAAGACATCCCAAAACACTATCTTATATGACTGCCCAAAGAAAATTGCCAAGCGAATAGCAACCCCATTTCTGAGCATCTGGTTAACTATGGTGACTCTGTTCCACCAGAATATTCCTTAAAACTTATTTATAAAGATAAAACATTTGGAAGAGAGTGTAAACTTCACACCTGAACGTGGAAGAACGCTTAGCAGTTCATCAATTCAAGCCTGATCTCTCCAATGTCACTTCACTTCTTTGCTTATTACGTTTAGCTATTGAAACTTTATAAACAGTTTTGATGACCTAGTACTGATCTTCTAGACATAAACACCTTGTGACTTTACTGACAATTATTGATAACCTTACATTAACCTATTAGCTGTTGATGAGCTTATTTATTTTGCTGCAGCGTTTGTGATGATTCTCCCGAAAGTGAATCGTTTTTATGTAAACTCTTTTCCATCATTAGGAAAGATTGATGGCGTTTAAACAGAGTTTGGGAAGCTTAGCGTTTCCTATGACTGAACTGAATATTTGTCAATTTAAATTTTTAGTGATTCATAGTTTTTCATCCGTAATTCAGTACTTAATTCATTTTTGGTTAGATATAATGGTATAAGTAGGCATTTACAACTTAATAAAACAATCCAATATTTGATTTGTTTATTAGGTACATAGGATACAGTGATACAGCATTACAAAACTAGACGACGTTCCGAGCAAAAATTACTGCTCATAATTGGAATAAGGTAGTGATGCAACTTCTGATATATGTTTCTCATAGTTTCATCACTGCATGCCATATACCAAAAATAAGCCAACCCAGTATGAAGCTATATTCTACCACATTGCTGAAGTTTTACACATATCAATGAAGAAAACAAAGTACGCAACAGTCAAACAAGGCAAATCTAACATCCTAACTACATTGGACAATCTGGTTACCCTCTTCGTCTTCGTTTACACGAACACCAACTAGCTAATAAACATCACAACATTCCATCACTCATCTCAATTCACATGGATAGCTATTGCCATGAATTCAGTCTTGACAATGTAGAAATGTGGGAGAGAGGAAACACAAGGAATATCAGAGAATTCCTAGAAGCTTGGTATTCACGTCAGTCAGTCAGTGAGTCAGTCAACAACCAATAGATGTATAGATACAGACGCAATCTATCAAGCAATGAGAAGAATGATAGACGGTAGGAAGGTTAGAGGTTAAGCAGAGGCAAGAAGAGGCAACAGGAAGATCTATGCAGTCAGTGACACACCAATCAAAGGAAACAACCAATCACAGACCACTTCGTCAAGGCAAGCTACTGAATCACTCATGGAAATATATTGAAAGCTCATTTCCTATTGAATTTAGTGCTGATGATGTTGTCTAGAAAGGCGATGAAAGCTTCACAATTAGACAACCGAGCTCAGAAAGCACAATATAACCAGGAAGAAAACAATTCTTAGGGTTAATTTAGATTAGTAAATTATTATTACACTACGAAACAAATGTATGCTTACAAAGGGGTAATTTTTACATAACAGCCATTAGTTAGTATAGAGCAGTTAAAGAAATCTCTTCAGAAAAGATGCAGGGATCACCGTGTAAGAGTCAGATATTTGTGAAACTCTTATTCAAAATAATTTTATGAATGTTGTGTTTTATATGACAGTAAATTGTCTAGGAGTTTCATTAAAAGTGAACGATTTTGAAAAAGAGAGAATTGTATATAGTTAGGTGATCGTAGTTTGAATTTTGAAATAAGGTAGCATTCATCACAGATTGACAACCATTGAAATCCAGGAGTACTGGAAAGCTTTGACTCCTCCTCCCGGATTTCTCAGCACTACTCACTGACGACTTGAATTCAAGACCCTTAGTTTTCATGGCGAACAAGTTAACCATTGAGTCACTCAGTTGGAGTCCAATGTTCTCCAGTTTTCTATTTCTGTCAATTCACAATGCAGCGCAACTATTCAACAAGATCTTCAGTTGGCATCCGTTTCATTTCCGACTAATCAGCTGCGGAGGTAACCGCTTCTCATGAAATCTCTGGCATATCCAAGTCTCAACATATCACTAATGAGCAGTAGACAGTAATGTATCGCGCTATATATCGCTAACTGATAGAAGCAAGAGAATTTGGACTGCTGAAACCCGATAAGTGGCTTACTGCTAACCTTTTCGCCTCAAAACCTGAAAGTTTTAAGCTCCGTCTATGGCAGGGTCTTTAGATGGCGCAGCTGAGGAGTTCCACATTAAGACGAAACAAGTGCAAGTTGTCTCCATTCTTCAATAATTGTCCAAAGGATGTTAGTCCATGATGAATACTACTTTGAAAATAAAATCCCCATAAACCTTAAACTAAATTGTTTTCAGTCTGATTATGAACTTAAAAGAAACAGATGAAAAGAGTATTCAGTGAAGAGTTCAATGTGTGAGTGTTTTGTTTCATGGATGCAAGGTTGGATACTCTAAGATTGGATAAATAGTTAAGACTAAGAAGGGTTCGGACGATTTGAATAAATAACTCTGGCGTTGATAGTCGATAGAGTTTGACATTATAGATGAAATTTTGGATTCTAAAGCAAACCGAAATAGTAATGATTGCCCATTTTTATTCATTATAAGCACATCAGTCTGATTAGCCTGAAAGACTATGGCTTCGGTTAACTATAATATTTGATGATTTTACTTCTTGTTATTGGTTTGCTTCAACTAACCGAACTTACATGTTCGCTTAACTACATAGAGATATGTCAGAGTAAGAATAAACTTCAAATTCCTTCCTGTGCCAAAAACAACAATACAAAATAACTGGAAATGTTTAGGAATCTATCAGTAAAGTGTAATATTTTCTCTGCTAACATTAATATTATTCTTCGATAATCAGTCTTCAGGTAGTTAGTCTCCATGATTAATTGAAAGAGTTATGTGAAGGTTTAGGTTATCTATTGTATGTTGGGACAATACTTTATGAATATTTCAATTACAAATGAATTTTTCAAAATATTTATTTGAATAGTACAATACGTGTATTATACAGTCGTTGATTGGACAGAATTGATCGCTCTCTGCATCCAGCTGATGAGTCCCAAACGGGACGAAATATGCATCCTGTATTCCACTGCAGCCACTATCCATCATTACTAGGATTAGAACAAAGGTAATATTGAGGCATCCAGACAGGAGCCCATATGTCAATAGGAAGCAATCAATTCTGTCCAATCAACGGTTGTACAAAACAAGCAATTATACTAAAAACTACACCTGTCGCAAAAGAAGTGGATGTCCTGGCTCAGTGGTGTACTGGATAACGCTCTGGGGTTTGAAGCGATCGCTTCCTAGTCCGAATCCCGGTGGGAACAACATCACTCACTGAGAGCCAGATACATCTGACTGACGAGTCCCAAATAGGAAGAAATGCCCATCCTGGATCCCACTGCTAGTCACTATCCATCATTACTGTTTATTTAAATGTTGAAAAGAATCAAATAACTAAATAGGATACCTTGGAATAACTATAATCCTAGCATGTGTAGAAAATCAAAACAAGATTTTTTCTTAACGTTTCGGGGTTTAAACTACAGCTTTTTCACCAGAATATTCAAATCTGTATTCAAATCAAAATATAAAGCCACAGTGCACATAAAATAATTAGTGTATGTGGGTCATTGTCAACTTGTATCACCTCTGGCACCGACTGACGAGATATCCAACCACTTATCAGAGAACGAGCGTAATGCACTACAGTTTGTTCCGGGCTGTTATATGGGTGGGAAACGTGGCCTTTAAAAGTAGAACATATGAGGTGTATGCAGATGTTTGATCTAGATGTTTTCGTAACATTGCTCGCGTTCGGTGGGATCACACCACCATATGAGCAGTCGGGGAGTACTAGGTAAGACAGGCAATTTGACTGGTAACACTGTGAACCTTAGTCGACTGAGATGGCTTGGACGTATACTGTGCATACCAAGCCAGCCACCACCTACCTCAACGTGGAATGCTAAAGGAAGCTTAATTAAATTAGAAAAGGGTTCAGGATGGTCAGGTCAGGACTTGGAACCAGTCCATGAAGTCTCCTGCTGTAGGTCCAAGTTGTGTGCGGGTTATGTAGACTGCCTGGCTGGGGTCCCAGAGACAAAAAGAAGTGGTGGTTGGGAACTCTTAGTGATATGGCTGAAAGTTGGTCACAGTGTCGCAGGTGTATTTACTCCTTGAATATTTCCATTAACCTTTACCTTCAAATTGTTAATTCTCTCACATTATTTTGCCTACTTTGATTTCATTCTTTTACCATCCACCTATTCTTTTATGCTACCGTCAAGTGTGCCAACTTGAACCTATGCACTTATGTGCAAAACTCTATGTTGATTTTTTCTTGTGTAACGGTTAGGTGGTTTGTGGTTCACTATGAGCAATTGTGGTTAGTATACACCTCTCACTGCAGTAAACGTTCAAATTCATTTGAAAAGGCGTCGGTTAAAGTGAAGGATCTAATTCCTGAGATGATATAGAACAAATTTGTCAGCGAAATTGAATGTTTGAAACTCGAGGCTTATTATAATGGGGAAAGCTGTAGATTTTTCTTTAAACATTAGGGTGAATGAACTTAATTTATAAACGTCCGCTGAAGAATCAAGATGAATTAAAATTGTAGAAAAACGATTGGCAGTGGAAAATAGACATATGGTTGCCTATGATAGAGCTGATATATTGGGAAGGGACTTTGATTCGTATTAAAAAAGATCAACCCCAGAAGCTGTACATATTCTAACTACATTAAATGCCACAAGCAGAAGAAACGGAATAGTTTATTTACCTATTTGGCAAACGTTAATCAGACAAACCATTACTGATGACCTTTCCGGCTAAAACTTTAATGACAGTGCCGATTACTACTTGTTGTTACTTGTTATAGGAGCCTAAATGCAAGCAGAAATTGAGCAATTTGATCTAGGAAAGCAACGAGAAATCACAAGTTTTGCTGGATAACAGGTGATACCCACTGCACAAAAGGTGACTTTCATGTCTCAGTGGGTAAAGCTTCGACATTTGAAGCGATAGGTACTGGGCAAAGTAAGTAAACCATCACTCACTGCGTTGCAGGTACAGCCAAATGATGAGTCCCAAACAGAATGAAACGTGAGTCATAGATTTCGCTGCTAGTCACCAAGTAGACTACAACATAATGACACTTACTGATTGTTTATCAATAGACTGATATTTACATAAAAGTACAGGAAAATATACACATATACAACATTTACAAACATACTTTGACTGTCCTACATTTGTCATCGACAAATGACGATTAAAAAATGAACTTGTGTTGACTAGTCATAATTAAGAGTTTTAGAAATTCCCATCATGTAAATCAGAATAAGACATATAAATGAACAGTACTGTTTTCAATCAGATCGTCTTCAGGCTTTACTCTATTACAAATAGCTTAATATGTAGAAAATTAACCTATCAAGTAGATTTGTCGGTTGGTGTGATAAATGCTACCTTCTTGGTTCTTATCATCATTATCATCTGCATCTGTAGTCGACGTTATCACTCTTATCACTATTATTATTTGTATTATTATCAACATTGTTATTTTAAAACATTTATTACATCTTGTAAACTTCAGAATCAAAATTTGACCTGATAGAGTTGAATAGATTAAGCATTGGGTAATTGGATTATAAATGGGATTTTACAAAATATATTTTATTTATTACATCAACCGACAAATCTACATGATTGGTTTTATATATATATATATATATATATATATATATATATATATATATATATATATATATATATATATATACAAAGCCATTTATATTAGAGTACAGCCTGAAGGGGAACTAACTAAAAACAATGTTGTTCACTTATATGTCTTGTTCTAATCATAATTACTCAGTTTGAATAACCACCTACGTAACCAATGACCTACAAATACCAAATACTTGATGCTCCATTTGACCATATATTTCGGTGTTAATAAAAATCCAAGTACTGTGCAGAAGAAGCTGTGGCTGACTCAGCGAAACCTCCAGAAAATCTTACTTTTGATTATCTAAACACACTGGAATTATGTTTAAATATATTCTGATAATGATTATATCAGACTGGGTGCTCAACTACTTCCAGAACGTCTGTAATAACTATGGTCTGCATGTTTATAACCTTACATTGAAATAACAATGGAAATACGAGAAGTTAAATCAAAAATCTGGATTCATTGGTTATTGAAATGCAAGCAAAACAAGAAGTCATGAAAACCTTGTAAGAGTTTCATCTTCTTTAGTGGTATTCACTAGTTTACTTTTGAATTCCTTCGCATTTTCATTGTTTGAAAGAATATCATGCTGATATCATTGATCTTGACTTTAATAAAGAGGTTGATTTTAGGAATGTTTTATGCTCCTCTCTTATTATCCTGGTTTGTTTTGTGAAATGTTGAAACTTGTTAGCTTTTATTTAAATATTTTATGAGTTGGTATTCATCATGGACTTATATCAATTGGAAGAACATTGGATATCTGGCAGCACTGAACAGCTGCTTCCTCCCAGTGTGGGACTCCTCAGTAATGCGAACCCATGACCCCGCCACGCCAGAGATCAAACCCTGAACCTTAGGGTTCCGTGACCCCCACCTTACCACTGAGCCACTGGATCGAAATCCACTGCCCCATATTTCCAACTTCTGTCAGTTTACGACGAAGCACGACCGTCACTCAATGTAATGCACGAGTATTTTTCCTCACGTCCACTGGCTTTGCCCCACCGGTTACGACTTCTCATTCGAACCTCAGGAATCACCTCACGAAGCTAGTCACCAGTGAGCAATGTTCATGTCCGTCCACGATGAATACTAACTTGGAAAAATCTCTAAATCCCCACAAGCCCCAAATTCAACCGAACTAGTGCTCATTGGTGACTAGCTTCGCAATCTATCAAGCAATGAGAAGAATGATGGACGGTAGGAAGGTTAGAGGTTAAGCAGAGGCAAGAAGAGGCAACAGGAAGATCTATGCAGTCAGTGACACACCAATCAAAGGAAACAACCAATCACAGACCACTTCGTCAAGGCAAGCTACTGAATCACTCATGGAAATATATTGAAAGCTCATTTCCTATTGAATTTAGTGCTGATGATGTTGTCTAGAAAGGCGATGAAAGCTTCATGATTAAACAACTGAGCTGAGAGAATACAATACAACCGGGATCATCCAGGTGAGCTACATGTATTCTCCACTATTTCAAGATTATTATCACCACTATTCACTTATTGGTAACATATGCACTAATATCTAATTCCACTTACTATCACGAGCCACTGCTAAATTAATTAAGAGCACATGACAGATTTCACTGTCAATACACAAATCACTAGAATCTTTAACATGTGAATTATGCCTGACCCCCATTCACAGGCCATTTTAAATTCTGCGGTCAACAGAGGGTGATCAATCTCGTGTTATTCAAGCCTGAAAACTAATCGGGTTCACTGGATCAAATTAATATTATGCCCATCAAGGTAGAAAAGCTAACATCATGCTATGCACTGACCTATGTTAAACGATGATGGGGTTATGCATGGTAGAACTTGACGCTAGCTTTTATACTGTCAAGCACTCGTCAACAAGATTTGACCTAAACTTCTCGTCACATAATATTGGTCGGTATTCATCATTATAGTGAGTTGTTCGGCTTAGTAATTCTACTGCAATTGATTGACAGAACTGTGTTACCAATTGGAGCAACATCATATAACACTGGTTTTTTTACTATGAAAAGTCAATTTATCTGACCCAGTTGTTATTGAGTTAACGACACCACGAATAACCCTTAGATGATAACGTCTCTTATTGGAGCATAATATGACATAGATCAAGGTTTCTGATTACAGCATACTCTACGCTTCATTTATCCTATTCTAAAGAGAATTCTGTCGATTGATTTCAACTACCCAAGACTACTTTTACCACTCACAATAAAGATATATCAAACTAGTTGTAAACTTACCTTCAAAAATACTTTCGATCGACCTAGACGGTAATCTTTATTTGATAAAACAATAGAACAGATTGATTCAACTATTTTATTCATCTCTTTTCTATTAGTTGTATCTTTTATATACTTAATAATAAGTGGATGATAACGATCAATAAATTCATGAAATTTATGTCGAATTGGATAACCAGCACGACGTATACGAATTGTCTCCATCATACCAGAATATCTTAGTTGTCTTATACAAAGTTCTCTATCGAATATATTTGACTGTTTTATATCATTTGGTTTAATGCAACGTACAAAAAATGGCTGACACCTATTCAGTGTACGCATTAAATTGTCTAATGATTTTTTAAATTGAATAGCAAGAGTTGATGAACGTTTACGTGGATCTATTGTCTAAAATAACATAAGTAAAAAAAAGTAAGTGATTTTTACACAATCTCAACCTTAGAATCAATGTAATCAGTAAGGATACAGCACAGAATATAGGCTAAATCAAAAAATAAATGAAAATATGATCAAATTCTTTTGACCAGAGGTTTGTTTCTGAGCAAATTCTAAAAGATGTGAAACAATGGTGAAGAATATATGTAGCTCACCTGGATGATCCCGGTTGTATTGTATTCTCTCAGCTCAGTTGTTTAATCATGAAGCTTTCATCGCCTTTCTAGACAACATCATCAGCACTAAATTCAATAGGAAATGAGCTTCCAATATATTTCCATGAGTGATTCAGTAGCTTGCCTTGACGAAGTGGTCTGTGATTGGTTGTTTCCTTTGATTGGTGTGTCACTGACTGCATAGATCTTCCTGTTGCCTCTTCTTGCCTCTGCTTAACCTCTAACCTTCCTACCGTCTATCATTCTTCTCATTGCTTGACAGATTGTGTCTGTATCTATACATCTACTGGTTGTTTATTGACTGACTCACTGACTGATGTGAATACCAGACTTCTAGGAATTCTCTGATATTCCTTGTGTTTCCTCCCTCCCACATTTCTACATTGTCAAGACTGAATTCATGGCAATAGCTATCCATGTGAATTGAGATGAGTGATGAAATGTCGTGATGTTGAGTAGCTTGTTGGTGTTCATGTAGACGAAGATGAAGAGGGTGACAGATTGTTGAATGTAGTGTTGACTATAGTTATTGGAGTTGATTTTGTAAATGATATTCGGTTTGTGTTTGTTTGGTTGTTGCATTGTTTGATTTGGATGATAGTGTTTGCAGGGAATTTGTTAGTTTATTGGCCATACCAATTCCAGTGGTCTCAGTAATCTTGTCGTGATCCCTGATTTTATTCCAACGCACGTGGATGACTTTGAACATGCATTCAATTTTGACAAAGTAGAAATATTGAACAGATGAAACACAGAGAATATCATAGAATTCCTAATGCTTGGTATTCACATTATTCAGTCAGTCAGTATAAACACAGACCCAATCTATTAACCAATGCGAAAAATGATAAAATATGGGAAGGTCAGAGGTCAAGCAAGGAAGAGTCAACAAATAAATCTATCTATTCACTGACACACCAGTCAGAGGGAATAACTAATCACATGAGCAAGCTACTAAATCACCCATGGAAAGAAATTGAAAGCTCATTTAATACTGAATTTAGCATTGATGACTAGTCTAGAAAGATGATGAAAGCTTCACGATTAAACAATGCTATACAACCAAAAGCATGAAGCTATAGAATACTTCTTTATCTGTAGATAGTCTTATGATGAAGGCACTTATTTGCAATCTCTTTTACAACATCTCACTTTTATGAAATGAACTCAAGAAGACACATCGGCTGAAAAAACAATTTCGATAAACATCCTACTAATGTTATAACTTTAACATTTTTCCAGTGAATAACTTCAACCTCCTAGTGTGAGGTTATTTTAAATAGTAAAGTTTACTCTACCTTCAAGTCATATACTTGTGGAGTATATTTATCAACATATTTGAATTTACTTATGATATGAATAATTGGTAAGAAGATATAATGAAATGATCTTACATATTAATACATCTATTCAACTTCTAACAGTTTGAAACAGTATGGGAAGAGAACAAAAAAAAGTGGGAAGATATTCACGTAAACCGGAAGGATATGCATTAAAACTTAACAAGTGAATCATCGGACAACACATTCAATGTTTTTTCGTGGAATTAATGACTACATCTACAATATTACAAATAAAAGTAAGCTGAGTGATTAAACATCTTAAGCTGTAGATTTTTCAGACTTTTAGGAATTAAAAGTCTTAAGTTAAACGAAGACTTTGACAACAATCCATCCAGGAAGGTCAGTTTCCTGTAACCGGGTGGACAAACGTTTTTTTTGCAGGAAAACAGTAGTTAAATAGACTATGAAATAAAAATGAGATCTTAGCCTAAGGAATGATGTGCAGATATTCAGAAAGGCTGGTTTGAAAGAAATAAGTTCATGAACTTTTTTTATAGGTAACCACTTATTACAGCAGTAAGTGAAAGACCTAGAATCTGTTTGGTCTTTTACTTAGGTTTTGCGATTTAATTAGTAAATTTAACTTGAAACTGCTTTCCAGCCCCAGTGGAGTACTGAATAACATTTTGGCGTTCGAAGTCATGTGTACTGGGTTGAAGTCTCAGTGGAAACAACACTAAATGGAGTTCAGATCCATTTAGCTGACAAGTCCCGAATAAGACAAAACGCACAACCTGGATTCCGCTGCTAGTCACGAAGATGAACGTGACATTCTGAATGTCCGATAGTCTAGGGGCATCCGGAGAAAAGTTTATCTGTCAACAAAAATTAAGCAGTTCGCCCCTGTATTATTATTTTTCCCTTGGGTTCCTAGTGGAACGTAGGGCTTCAGTAGCACGCCTCCATTGCACTCTCTTCTCTGCAGGCTTTCCAACCTGGCTCCGCAACTGCCCAGAAGCTTTCATTTCTTCCTTACATGATCTCCTCCATATCACCCTCAGCTGGGACGCCCAACTCGTTGTTCCTCTTTGGATCCCACTAGAGGACCTGGCGCGTGATATCCCGAAATGGTCTTCCTAGTCTATGTCCAGTCCAATCTATCTCTACTTTCTTCTTCATATTTGTTGGGTGATAGCTTATTGGTTGGTTCGTTGCCAGAGTTCCTTGTTGCTTATTCTTTCTGGCCATCTGACCCTCAGCATCGAGTATAGGCAGCTGTTGATGAATGTCTTTAGTTTGTTGGAAATGCTTTTCGAAACGCGCCAAGTTTCTGAACCATATTCGCCCCTGTATAGCAATGCGAAACTACAAGTTTCAATGCAGACTGCATACCTACACATAACACAATGTACCAAATATCTCCTACCTAATGAATCCATTTTTTACTAAAACTTTTCTACTTTTATTTTTCCTACCCTAATAAACAAACAACCTCATTTTCGGTCACTATAACTTGTAAACAATTTCTACTAAGATAGATACATATACTGCAATTGCCTGAGACTGCTTGTGACGAAAGGCTTATAACTTCCAAAAAATTCAACGAATTCTGTAAAACTTGGTGTTCTTTCATTACAGAAATTGAGGAAGATATAAGACTGAATAAATCAGATATTGATAGAAGAGCAATAAGAAGTAGCCATAGGATGACATGGTATTCAGTCTTCAAATGAAAACTGGATGCTTGCACATCAGAGGCTATTAGAAGGAATTTGATTGCTGACAGGGGTATGAATGTGGCTGATAATACTCAGCTGCTCACATACAGCTGAAGACTACTTCTTTTTGAAGCACCTGAAAAATAAAGTGAGTGAATAATGGGGTCTTACAGACCTGGATATGAGACTGTAGAACCAAAGGGGTCTCTGCTTTTGGCTGGTTACATGTGGTCTTGTTTAGAATTAATCATAGTTTACATTTTTTTTAGTGAAAAAGTACTATTCTCAGAGGAATGAATAATTGGGAATCCTACCCACTCCTTCCATTTTACAATAACATAACAATGTACATCAGGAAGCTTACCTGATTTGTTTGTATCTAACCAAAAAATTCTAATATAAACCCCGTATTTTTCTAACCAGACAAAGGGAGAATGAGTCAGGTAGTCATATGTCTTTCAGTGTATTTCACCAAGGTATTGGGGTTTACTAAGGGCTAAATTACTGATATTACTAGATGTTACTCCAACTAAACTTCCTACTATGATTAAAAATTAAATATTCCTCACTGTTTTTACTTGAAACCACACCTCAATTTCTGGTATCAGCAGTCGATTAAGTTGGAAATATTTCGTAATAATTAGAGGCGACACTTTCTAACCTCCTTTCCGGCAAACTAAGGCAACGTCAACATAAAATGCTGGATATTAGCGGAAAACACCTGACTCCTGTCATACTCTGTACAGACACCAATACAACTTTGTCCTTAGACCCTTACTAATATGAATTTTTGCAGTTTAACTATCAGTGCTTTGGATTATATGGCTATCTATTGCACCTTTCCAGCATGATAGGAAACCAACAAATATTTGTTTGAGTCTTAAATCTTGATGTACTAATGTAGGGTTTGATAACTTGAAATATTGAGCAGTATTGTCATGTCTCATATTGATGGTATGTGTCTTGTCTGCCTGTGTAACCAACTGACTGACTGACTGACATCCACATCACCATCATCATAAACTCATAACAATGGAATATTAGGAAGATATACCGACAAAACGTAAACAGTTTTTTGTATTGTCTGTTTTTAGACGACGTTAACTTTTATAAACTTAAAACTTTTGTACTGTTTGTAACTTACCAACAGACCAGAGTTAGTGAAGAGTGAACGAAGAAATTCATTTTCAGATTGAATTATTAAATTAACTAAATTTGAACTGAAAGTATCACGATTTTTATCAAGAAATCCATCAACATAATAATATACAACACCAGTAAAGTGTTGAATTCCAAAACGCTAAGATAACAGAAAGAAAAAGGGTATAAAAGTATAAAAAGCATAATATGGACGTTCCACTTAATTTTAACATACTTTAAATAACTAAACATTATCGTCATAAGTATAGTTTGTCAAAAAAAATCATTTTCTGCGCTATCATATCTTTTTTACTGTGAACTTGAAAACCTAATTATTATACAAATAGATAGTTCATATCAGAACTTCACTTACTTTATTGATTACCACAAATGTATACCTTTATTAGTAGTGTCACCAGGCATGTTTAAGGAATATATATCATAAAACATATGACTTCAATAAATCATCTTCTTAGATGTGCTTTTATGACCTTCTGTTGATGAGATTAGGATAAACTGAATGATTGATGAAATTAGCTAATGCTTTAAGTAGATCTGAATGTAATTTAGAAAGTTTTTCTCGAATACTTTTGTTATTTAAGATTCTTAGGAAGTCATCTACATTATAAATAAGTCTACAGTTGTCACTACATATATACACTTTCAAGATTACTGCTCTAAGCTAACTTCCAAGTCATTTGAAAGTTTTAGCAGTAACGAGTAAAATTCCTTCCTGTGTTCTTTCAAGGGTTTAACCATGAACTAAACATTTTCCCCCTTACAAACGGAGTAGAATTTATGGTAAGATATCTGACAGCAAAATACATATTAATTTCTCTTATTAACCCAACACTTCATCTGAAACAGTCAACTGAAACTAACATATTCCAAAAGTGGAGAAACAGTTTTTCATAACCTACTCAACTTATGCGGTAACTGGTCATTAAATCACCTACTTCAAAAATTAACAATGACCTATACATAATGTATCCTATGATATGGTGTTTGAAAAGAGTGTAATACAGGCGAGCCTGCGAAGTCTTCATAGATGGGTAATTAAAAGGGTTCAACAAAATAAAGGTGAGTGATTAAAAATGTTTAGCATTAACTAAAGTATTAGAAACATCGTTAGGATCCAAGTGAAATACAGCGAATACAACAAGTAAATAATTCATATGTTTTGGGGTTAATGCGGATTTTATTTATTTCAGGGTCGCATTCGTAAGGGACTGACATCATCTGAGGTATCATTTAAAACCTGAGAGCACTGAACAGCAGTTTTGTCCTAACATGGCACTACTCAACAGTATGCACCTATAATGTTTCTCCAAGTAATATCAGTTCAGGATAATTACTACTTTAAAAACATAATCCTCATAAACCATAATATGTAGTGGTTATTAGTGATTTGCTTCGAGATGGAAATCATCAGGTTTGTTTGAGAAGCCATAACCTGTGCGGTTAGCCAATTGGAAGTGAAGTGGATGCCAACTAAAGAACTTGCTGGATAGCAGCGTGTATATCGCAAATTGATAGGAGCAGGAAACTATGAATCATTTGACACTGACCCAGAGGCTGAATGGTTAACACACTCACCGTGAAAATTAAAGGTCTTACGTTCTGTCTCTCGTGGAGTCATGGAAGCATGCTACTGAGGAGTCCTATACTAAAAAGAAACAGCTGTCCAGTGTTCCAGTATTTTCAATGGTTCTCCAACTGATATCAATCTCTGAAGAATAATGCCTTCAAAATAATTAATAGTTGAAGATCTAACTATATCATAGAGTTATAAGGTAAAATGCATTCGCATGTCTCACATTTCTTGGTCATCAAAATTATCATAATTGGAAACGTTCACTTGATCATTTCGCTGAAAATACTATGACCAGACTTTCATCTGAGACGTCATTATTTTACTTCAAACACTTTTAGGTTTATACAAATTTAACGTACATTTAATTCACTTCAACAATGCGACTACTTATAAATTTTAAATAGCCTTATTAAAAAGAAAACAATTCTATCCTTCTCCTTCATAATTTACCCTTTAAATTTTACCTTTATCAAAAAAATGATCTTAACATGATAGCATAGTGATTAGTATATGATCACATTCATGCAGTTGCACAATATGTGAACAGAGTACTTAGTGTGTCATCTCGTAAGACACTGAGTTATATGGCCTGACTGTCAAAACACTGAACAGTTAATCTTACAACCAGTATTAAGTGGAATCCAGGAAGTGTGTTTCGTCTTATATAGGCCTCATCAGCCTAGTGTACCTTCACCCAGTACTCACCGCTTCAAATGATTAAGTGTTACCCACCAAATTTTGCAACGTGTATCATTCGCTGTTGTTTGATACTTGCAATTTCCTGTCGCTATGTCAACAATAACATTTGGCAGCAGAGGTTGAGCAATTCATCTCTTCATAGCAACAAGTACTCAGTAACAACTTATCATCAGTAAAATAATTACAGGTCTAATTTTAGTTCATTGAAGGCACAAATGAAAGAAATGTAAAGTTCTATGAGCAAAGGTTGCCTAAATGTACAAGTGAATAAATTTCAACTTATAAATATTCACAAATTCAAAAAACTGTTCCTTCTCACTTTGTCTGTTTGAGATGTAGTTTGTACATATTGTATATTAGATGAATGTCTAGAATTTATTTTATTTAGAAAACTATTATCTGATCCTTGTGGAAATCTGCTTTCTTCATCTAATAATGCAAAAATATTCATTGGTTGAATAGCAATTAAATTCAGTGTATTCTGATTATCCACATAATCAATATATCTCCAACTTATGCATTCAGTTAAGTATTCTTCTTGTTCAAGTTTAAAAATATGTTGAACAAAAAATTGTTGAAAATATTCATTTGCATAATTTATACAAAATTGTTCAAAGCTGTAAAATAGAAAACAAAAGGTGTATTTCCTTTTTGTAATTTTTTTACAGAATGAATCATTTAACGGATGATTGTGTTGGGAGTAAGGAATTAAGTATGTGTCTTTTTTTTTCAAACGATCAAGCTATATGTTAATGATGAATAATGGCGAGCCGTGGAATCTAGGACGTATGTTTTGTCATATTCGGGACTCATCAGCTGGATTCACCTGTCTTCTAGTGAGTGTTGTTCCCACTAGAACTCGAACCAAGGATAGACCGCTCCAAGCTTCAGAGCGTGATTAACTACGCCACTACAGAGTCACAATAGCTACTTCTTGTGCGATGGGTAGAGTAGCTATAATATTGAGTTAAATTATGTAGTTTAAGAATCAAGTTATGCTTATGGTGGTAAGAAGATAGATGTTCGTTCATTTTAAGGCCTATTGGACAAGAGTATTATGCTATATATAATTAAGGTAACTTTTAAATCAGACTTAGCAACGTACATAAAATTAAGATGAGCGTTTAACATCTATAAAGGTACCCGCACGTTAAATACTCTTTTGAGGTGTTATGTTAGAAAAATATAACACACTCAACTGCTTAATTTATTTTGATAGTAATCTTGGTCACCATTAAGTCAACAGTCGATTACGAATCCGGTAAACGACTTCTTGACTACAGTACCCGATAATATCATATCCTATTAAGTACAACCTGAGAGAAAACAGGTCGAAATAGGGTGTCAGGGTGTGAGAAATTTATGTATGAACTAAAGGGTAAATTTGAAAACATATACATGGTTTTGTTTGAGTCAAAAATTCTACTCGTGAAAAAATTTTGTGGATATTTTACATGGTTTTCCTTGTGACAGACTTTTTCATCATAAATTAGGAGACATTTTCCACGACAAAGTAACAAACTAGTCAAAAATTTACAATAATTCAACTGATGACAAGTTGGTTTCCTGTAAAAAGAAAAATACTAGAATTTACTTAGCATCCGTACAATCGCTGTTTTATATGTATGTATAGTTTAACTTCAAGACACCAAGGCCCACCTTCCTACTCATAAAAAGAAACATGAATGAACTAAAAAATCTTAAGACCGAAAATATAAATAAACCAGTAGATGATTAGCTTGTATTGATAATTTTGAAAGGGATAAAACTGAAGCTAATTGATTTTCCGGGTATTTTCGAAGTCAATGAATATCTGTAAGTGATAGACTATTATAACCTTACATGGTGATCTTTATCGATAAACGGTACTATGAAAGTCATCGAAATCTATAATCGAAATTCCAACTAAAAGTCTTCTGTATATAAGAGAGAAAACCACTGTTTGACTAAATAGTTTTGCAGTGCTTCAACAAATGATGTATAGAGATAAATTTAAGCAACGTTATTATACAACTGCTCAGCAGAATCACCTATATAAGAACTGAAATCACCACTACCCATCATTTTCCTCTACATGTGTTAAAAAATTCCGTTTTAGCGCCAAATAATCTGACATATTCAGTACATTATGCACATTAGATATGAGAATAGACGAACCAAAAACGCTGTCTGATAAAAAGATATATAGATTTTTTTCTTGTCATTTGTCCAGCATAACATTCCTCCGATAAACTCTTGACAAAGTTTTCGTCGCTTTGATACAATCTAATACAGGCCTTCCTCCAACAAATAGTAACTTCTCCGTTCAATTTTAGCTGATTACCTCTTAAACTGGAATGATTAAAGTGATAACACCTTGCTTATTTACAAATATATAAAACTAGCAACGACTAATACAAAATGACCATTTAATTACAACACAGCTTCAGAACTACAATAACTCAGCAGGTCAACATAAATGTAGGTAACAACAAAGTGATTGAAATTTATCCAGCGCATCAAGATAAACTTTCTAGGACAAAGATACTCTGCTGATATACATATTTACAAACAAACGCTTAGAACTTCGAGGTTTTTCCATTCACTGACTAGTTATTTCTCAAAAATAACCTAACAGCACCTTACTAACGCCCACTCATATGCAAAAAATGTAGAAATCTTTAAAAATCATACCATACTCTGAGACATAGCTTTAGCTTGATAAGTATGATCAGTTGTAATCTTTTACCTATTTTAAAAGAAATTTCACTCACGACTTATTTTATCTACTGCTTACTTGTTTCCCTACAAGCAGGGGTATGAACTAACTGACTGTTACAGACACAGAGAAAGAAGATACAAAGACACTGAATACCAACCTTGTCTTCTATTGTAGCAAGGCTTGGTTAGGAAAGGAATTGAATGACTAATCCATGGACGAATCGGAATATAAGAGACTTTGCAATCATTCTATTAGTTACGTGCACAGTTGATGTTATAGGTGAAGTAGGAAATTATGTGATCAGAACTTGATCATACGTCTAACTAAATCTTGTTATGTTGTTGCCTATGGTGTATCATTCGATGTCAAGTATTTATTCTCACGTTGATTACGAGCAACTCATATTACATCTGACTAAAATAATACTACCAGGAACAAATCCCTAAAGGTACAAGGCACTGTATCTACTTTAGACATACATCTGAGTTAATTCCTGGCGGAATGTTTGGCTTGATGTATGACTTGAAGAGTTTCTAATATTGTGCTACAGTTTGAGAAGAGTAACAATAAAGTTCACCCATAGTTAAGCAATTCATATATTTTAATTAGTAATAAAAACTAACTTGAAACTGATGTGGTTATTTGTGTTAAACATTTGATAGGTTCATAAGACACAAACTGTAAACCGTGAATGATCAAAAGATGGAATGATGCAGTACCTTTATCACTACAGTTTTTTTGGAATCTAATCAAGACTATTTTAACCAGTGGACAGTTTAGAAATTAAACCGATTAATATCACTCTACAAAATGCTACTACACGGCGCTAACACAGTATTCGACAGGAGGAGTCAAACTGTATAATAGGTTATTTACTCTCGAAAATGTTAGTCACTGAAACTGTTTTATTTTATTTATACCTGACAGACAAGAAGGGGAACTTAGAGACTGATGGTTTGATTCGGATAAAAAATGGAACCTGACCATTAATCGAATCATTTCTAGATAGCTATCAAATACTCTCTTATTTCCAATAATTTTTTTTTCTTTGAGTTAGGAAATTTAACATGCATAATGTGACTAACCTATTCGTTGAAAAGTTTTCAAATCCAAAAATATCCAAGATTCCAATTGTATTACGTCCAGGTTCCACTAAACAAATTCGATGTTCTGAATTAGTTGAATGAACTGCTTTGTTAACATCCACCTCTATTCCTAATGATGATATCTGAATTGGAATATCACTCAAGTTATTATCACCAGGATTTATATTTAATACAAAGTATCCAGTTGCATTGGAATGGAATAATTTTCTTGGTGGGGGATTGTAAACGACTGTGTTGATTTTATTGACTATCCAAGTAAATAATTCATGATATACAGTTTTTACAAATGCATCACGAACAGAGACTGCAACACTTCTAGATAATGGTGCTGTAACACATTCACCACCAGTAAAAGTACTTTTACAGTCATAGCTGTCGATAAATCTTCAAGAGATACCTAGTAGAATAGATAACAACACTGAAATTGCATTTTCACATTGGGTATAGCATTTAAAATGCGAATTTTCATCATCCACTATTACTCATTGGTCAGCCATGAAAAGCTTAGGCGAACTGAATAACTGTTCTGTCCCTGTATGAGACTTTATATTGGCACACATGCCTGACTCTAAATAAAATTGAACTCATAGCATTCTGATCGGCCAGACAACACGGTATCAGTGGACGATAAGGTTGGAATCCAGCGGCTTGTAGCTTTTCGACTAGTTTCACCTTTAAGTATAGAACTTTAGTTATGAATATCGCAAAGTATTTGATAATGAATAGTCATTTCTTCATATAACTGGAAGATACAATTTTGACAGATAATCTTTCTCGGCCACTTCTCATCAGGCTTTACAAACACAACGACGAAAAAATGATGTCCTTTTTTATAAGTGCAATTTTCACGTCAATCAACCCAGATCTCACCAAAGAAATAATCATTAACCTCATAAATGACCAAAATCTTCAAAAGTATACGAAAACTACTGATAGAATGAATCGTCCTATGCCTCATGACATACTTTCAATTCAACGAGAAGATCTACAAACAAATTAAAGGAACTATTTTGGGCTCACCAGTGTCTGGATTGATCACTGAAGCGGTGGTGCGGAGATTAGAATCAATCGTCATCCCAACAATCAAATCAAAAATTTGGATTTTTTACGTCAAGGACACTTCTGTAATTATTAAATCAATGGAGCTAGAAAACACATTGAATCTCACCGACCAAGCCTTTGAAGGTATTCGGTTTGCAAAAGAGGAAGATTCACATCTAGGAACACGACTTTGTTATTAGAAGGAAATAAGATGAAACCTTACAGACTCAAACGTGCAGAAAGGTGATACGCGCAGATCAACTTTTGAACTTCAACAGTAACAACCCAAGGTCACATAAGAAGAGGTGCGTATGTGTACTGTTCGCACAAGCCAACATTGATTGTACCATTCAACAACTGCAGAAGTCAAAATGAAACAACATCCATAAAATGCTCAGAGCCAATGACTATCTAGTTAACCTCACCAAGAAATGCCTATCACCAGAACACGTATCAATACAGTTACGTTAACCTACAAGATGAACCTCATTACCATACCTTAAAGATGTCTCAGAAACTGTTAACCGATTACTTTGTCCACTTGGTATCATCGGGGTACACAAACCAACTAAATCCCTTCAGAATGACATATGCAAGTTGAAGGATCCATTACCCCATGAAGAAGGGATGAATATAAACTGCATAGTCAGTTGCAAATACTAAAAACACCACTGTGTTCATCAATCCAGTCCAGTCCAAAGAACTGATTAGTACTAACTTGCGGTCAAACGGCATTAGATACCCACATTGGTATCGATGCATGTAGATGGACACAGCCACAACTTTAGTCAGGACAAAGGGGAAATGTTACAAAAAGCAAGCTGAGAAACTGCAGATGAGTTTTTGGAAGCATAGTAATCCAAGAAAATGGTAATCAACGGACACGTGGACACTGATGCAATATACAGACTACTAAGAAGGGATCAGTCAACTGGTAACCAGTCAAGTAAATCAGTCACCAGAAATCAGGTCAGCGGCATAGGTCAAACGATAGTAACGACAGTTAAGAATGAGTGACAGGTTACTTTTTCTCACTGACAAATAACGCTAAAGGTTAGTAAGTATCCTTTGTAAACATTCATGCAACTTAAATATGCTTCATCTCTATACGATATGAATGCTAATTATTTATCCTAGCCTGATAGTGAAACGTTCAAGAAAAAACCTCAGAGCTCGCAGAACACTAAACAATTACCACACTTACAAACTATTTAAAATAGACCTTAATACTATTATGGTTGATAAAATTCAGGTTTCAGTACATGAATTAGGCGATAACATTGAAGGTGGCAATAATGATAACTAAATCTTGCAACAGTTTGTGTGATAACAGTAGTCTGTCATGGTGAATGTATGAGGAGATTAGGAACACATGTAGGGTTTGAGGAGAATATATTATTGTCGTATACAAATTAGAAAATAACATGCTTAAATTCTTAACAAATTATGAGACTAATGGAAAAATATAACATTTTCGACAGAGTATGATAACGATGAAAATGATAAGATCACATAATATTTACATAGATTTTATCTGACCAAAAAGGAGATTACTGCAATTGCATCAAAGTTGAAGGTAAAGGTCACGGAAGCAAAAGAGACTTGATAGACATCTTTCATATTCATACAGAAGTCTAGAAAATCTAAAATTGCTATGCTTAGTTATCTGAGTCATGAAAACTTTGAACGATCCGATGGCAATTCTTTCAAGTTGGTAAGGGCTGAGGTTTTATTAATATTATGCTCAGTATCCACCAGATAGATGACTGTAGAGTTTTTGATGGATTTTGCTGTTTGAAGGTATCCTGACCAACAGTGGGCTGGATAGTTTTAAAAAACTTGGGCACCGAGTTAGTACGATTCATCGTATAAGGTGTATGTTTATTTGTGTAATCCTGGCGTAGTATATTAGAGCAAATAACAAAATCAACAAAATATTTGTTTGTTCTGATATCCTACACCGGAACTACACAAGTAAAAATACACCTTATACGATGGATTCTACTGTATTTCTATCTAATCATGATGAGGACTATTAGATGAAGCGTCGATGCCCTTACTCAGTCATTCTACCTGTGTGACTATCTCCAAGAAGGCGGTTAAATTTATAGATCTGCAGTTGTAACCAAACTCAGCAGTTCATTCTTCAACTCCATTGACCCCATACATAGCTTATTGAACTTCAAATATAGTGTTCTAGTAAGAAAAGTTTCTTCTACCAGTTTATCTGCTTTCAGCGTCAGTGTTTCTCCATATGTACCTTATTTGAATGCCAAAGTGCCATATGAAGAAACTTTTTCAAAGCTGTTTTCAGCCACGCAAATCTTTCTAGCTCGGAACAGCAGTGTACGGATTTAATTTCTTATGTACTTAAAGAAAGCAAATGATCTAAAATGCGTGAACTAACCGATCCACAACTTCTTAAGAAGTATACTGAGCCTAAAACTACCATTCATTCGTCCTCATAGTTAAACGTTTAGAAATGACAGACAAATATCTTTCTGTGTTTCATGGATGAACTCAGCCTCTGAGTGAACACTACTGACTGCGTCCAGAAGGATATCAGTACCGGTATTATTTTGTACAGAATAAACGTACCATTCAGATGTCTGCAATAAGAGGTTAATGCACTGATCTTGCCATGCAGTTGTCCAGTTCCTAGTTTCATCATTAACATATTGCCTGGAAAAGGACCTAAAGGTAAACCAATCTCCATAGCTTGCATTTGATGGTAAATTTTGTCGTTTTACCGAAAGTATAGATTTATTGTCCAACTAAGAGGCCGCTCTTTTGGGATTTAAAGTAGTATTCCTACCTCCATGTTCTTAGACAACAATGATTCACCGCTGAACTAGATTATTATAGCGGAGGAACACTTGTGATCAGAGAAGTAGCATCTATAGAAATCACCATTTTTCTACTTTAGTTCTGTCTTCGATTCTTGGAATAAATTTAGAAATGTTCTTTAGGCTATATACTACCACCTTATGTTGTAATGACTTCAGGATATCTTGTTACTTTATGATACTGTGAACTGAATATATTGAAGATACGGGGCACCATAGTAAGTTAGGTTTATGAATTTTGGGCATGCCACTTAGATGCATTTGTACGTATGTGAGTACAATTAAGTTCGTTCATAAGTATCAGGCAAGATTATGCTACTAGTTGACACTGAAGCATTTGTTACGCAATTTAGGAATGAAAAATTCAGTTTGAGTTTAAAATATTTGATTTATGCAGATTAAACTCGATATGCAAAATAGTTATAATGGCGAGTACTTGTTTTCACCTAACCACTTATATATATGAAAGTTCTACACTATGGATTTTCTAGCCTCCTCAGTTTTGAATTATGATATCAACTACAGCATTTTATGAGCAAACTGTAACTCAATGTTTTATGAATAGGTTAATGTTTCAAATATGTCAAAAGCTCTGACACCATAATGCATTATTAATCTTGAGCCTGTTATTATTATTATTTGTCCCTTGGGTTCCTAGTCGAACATATGGCCTCGGTAGCACGCCTCCATGCCATTCTATTCTCTACAGTCATCTTAACGTGATTTCACGACTGCCCAGAAGCCTTCATTTCTTCCTCAATTGATCTCCCCCACGTCACCCTCAAGTGGGACGCCCAACTTGTCGTTATCCATCTGGGCTCCACTCGACACCCTGGCCTGGTGCGTGATGTCCGCGAATGGTGTTCTCAGTGTATGCCCAATCTAGTCCATCTGCACTTCCTTCTGCATATTTGCTGGGTGATAGCTTCTTCGTTGGTTCGTTGCCAGCCGGAGTGAGTTCCTTGTTACTTATTCTTTCTGACCATCCATCTGATCTTCAGTATCGAGCCAGTGTGGGCAGTTGTTGATGAATGTCTGTAGTTTATTGAAAATGCTTTCGTAAGGCACCAAGTCTCTCAACCATCACATACAAGCACTGATTTGACGTTGGTGTTGAAAATCTGGATCTTGTTCACGCTTTGTGCTGAGTGCAGATCTCCACACTGGTTTCAGGCTAATGAAAGCCTGTATTGCTGTCTTTCCTATCCTGGCTGCTTTGACGTCCTCGTGTGTGCCTGTGGCGCCTGTAGTTGAAACCGTGCTACCTAGATAGGTGAAAGAGACAACTTCCTTTAAGTTTCTCCCATTGATGGTGATTGGAGCTTGTTGTGGTTGTTGGTGGTGTTGGTTGGGTATCTTCATCACCTCTGTCTTCTCTATATTCACTTGAAGTCCCGTCTCCCTCGCTGTTCTGTCCTGCCTCTTCTGTCAACTTGTTAGTTTTCGCCTATAAGCCTTCAAGTTTGAGCGACATTAGACATAAATCACCATCGGTGAAATCCAGATCTAGGTTCTTTTCCCCGGTCCAGCTCATCACCCTCTTCTCCCTCCTCACTGTTGTCTGCTGCATGATCCAGTCCAGTCGAGTCGGCCACAATCAGGAATATCGTGGGTGATAGTAGGCAGCCTTGTTTTACTTCTGTCTTCACTTCAAAGGCATCACTGAGCCTCTCATTGTGAATTACTTGGCAGGTGCAGTCTTCATATAGATGTTGAATGAGGTTGACGGTGTATGGTATTCCGTTGTGTTGAAGCAGTTGCCTGTCAAATTACTCGTCGGTCGACGCTGTCGAAGGCTTTTTCAAAGTCGATAAAGTTGAGATAGAGTTGGGTTGACTGCCATTCTATACTCTATTCTATGATGACGCGTAGTGTAGCGTTGCAATTTGGTCAGCACATGATTTGAACTTTTTGAATCCAGCGCATCCTTTGCTCTCTACAGGATGATGCGGCATAATATTTTGCCTGGGGCCTACCTGAGCCTACTTGACCTTATTATTCGTGAATTGCCAACTTCAGTCAAAAAAACTTTTTATAGAAGTTAAAGGCAGTGTCTACTCAATTTTCTTGCTGAATTTCACGTCAATGTTATTTGTCAACTATTTTCAATTCGACATAAATTTGGTGGAATTTTGGATTTTCTGATTATCTTTAACATCAAAAGTAAAAATTGCGGGAAAACTTCTCAAAACATTTTATCTTATGCTGATAGATGTAATTGATATGAATTTCTAGTTGAAGACAATCGATAAGAAGCAATATGTTTGGTTTTGTACGCACAAGTAATCGTCAACAAGTGATATCCGCAACTTCGATCAGTACTTAATAATAGACAACATACAATTTGTTATTCTCCCCTGAATAACCTATGCATAATTTAAATTCAAATAAACTGAAATGTCACCACATGTAATCCGATATTCTACACCTTTAGCACTGTTACAACTGTTTTCAAGAATAAAATCACCTGAAGTAGACGTGATACCCATTCCAACTCCAAATCACTCTCTGAACAAACTTTACTTGCATCCACTCCATTCACTTGTTCATCTTTAAGGCGTACATTTCCCAAGTGTAGAATAACTGCTAGAAGTTTCCATATATTATCAATATCTTCCTTGGTAAAAGTCAATACTTTAAGAGCAGAGTTAACATTGGTAAAACCAGCTGAATCATGTCGACCATCTAGTTCGGTTACTCCACCCTGAGTAAAATAAAAATACTTTAACTATGTAACGTATTCATAAGTCATGCATAGAAACAAAAACTGTCATCTTTAAATAAATGGTAATGATTACAAGACTTATTCCAAGTTCATACTTTATATATGACTGCATCACCTTCATTTATATACACCTGTCTATCGTTAAACACTTTTTTTATGCACCAATAATTCATTTACAATCTGTTTAGCTTAAAGTGCATAGAATGATTATTTGAAAAACTTGCCCATAAGATATTTTAGAGGAAAACTGAAAAGTGTAATAAGTTTTGTTAGCATATATATTAACTTTGATTTGGCAGACTTGTATAGTGAGTGACCTTGTGTGATGATTAAAGATGAAATGAAAATCAAGGTCATGGCAGGATTCGAACCAGAGACTTCCAGATTAGCGGTTTGGTCAGTAGTTGGGTATTGTAGCTGAATTGATAGGATACAGGACCGATAACTGGTAGGCTACTGGTATAGGTGTAGTTCAGCTCACTATCAAATCTCGTTTCATTATGGTGGTTTTAAATATGATTATTAGTAGCTTACTGTGAATTGACATACACAATGTAAGAATGTAACCCGTTGTTTATTATACATAAATTTAAAATGAATGTGTTCACACACACTGGTTAAACTCTAAAGTGTTAGGTGATATTTCAAGCAAAATTATTGCCCGTGGTCATACCAAAACCTAAAAAATCTGTTGATTGAGGAGTCGCATACTAGGACAAAACGGCTGTCTAGTCCTCCCAGGTTATTAATGGTTCTTCAAATGATGTCAGTTCATGATGAATGCTACTTTAAAGATATCCGTTTCACTTTTACCGGTAAGTTAAAGGTTGAATGGAGTAGTATTTATTACTCACGGTCTTCAGTGTTTTTTGAACGCGAAAAAATAAGTAATGATAATAAAAGGACGTTGGTTTAATTCATAATATTTGTCTGTTGTAGATTATGGTGATAATGTAATTAATGATAATATGAATGTAAAAGAAATAAAACATTACCAATAATTTTTCTTTTCATTTCTCTTTATGTCTAATCAAAAGTTGCTGAGATACAGCATAATGTACTCCGTCTCATGCATTAAAGCTATTGAAATTCACTCATATATGCACGAATTCGACAGTCAGTCTTTCTTTGTATAACATAAAACCTTTATTGGAACTTCACTTTTATCAAGTTAACCTTGCATCTTGCTTCTATTGAATGTATTGTAGTCTATGATCTATTTTTCTAAATCTCTGAATATCTGAAGTAGATTCTGGAATTTTTTTTGAGACGTTTCCTAAACTTCCTAACTCTCATATTCACCTGCTAGGAGGCTTTCCCAAAATATACTACACCATAATTCAAGCACTTTATTCTGTAGACAAAATCCTGTTACTTTTCTGTCGGTATGACGTTTTCCGACTCGATAAAGATAGAAAGCATATTCTTCCTCTTGTGGAAATAAAGAGTCATGTTATGCTTATTTGATCAAGTTCCTTACAAACTACCTTATAGATAACATAAAATCTTGATTGAACTTATTTGAATAACATGGATCTCAAACTCTTTAAAATAGTTCTACTCTTATTTTAGATGTCTTCAGCCGACGAAAACTTGCAGTTTCAACAAACTTCGAACATAAGACTATGCTGCACGTTAAATGTAAAGTTTACTTCAAATAATGGTTTGCGGGAGTCAATTTCAAGATGATGTTCATCAAGGAATTACATCAGTTGGGGAACTCTTGAAAACTGGAGAGTACTTGACAGCTATTTCGTCCTCTTTCGAAGCTCCTCATCACTGTGCACCCATGACTCGAAAAACATCAAGCCCAGCCCTATCGACTCTCACGCATTACCAGTTAACCACCGGTTTAGGATTCAATAGTTCACATTCTGCTGCTTCTGTCAATTCGTAACACGGCGTAACTTCTGTCCACTCCCTAAAGCCAACATTATTGACTCTGCTAGTTATATCTTCTTATTAGAACTTCGTTAAATCCATTTCGAAGAAAGTCACTGGGCTCTGAACTGTAATTGAAACTGTATAAATACAGTTTATTTGTAGATCAAATGGGTATTTTACTTTTACGGAGAGATTAGAGTCCTTCGAATACCTATTTTCTTCCGAATCCTTGCATATACTATACAGCGAATCCCAGAATATAGAGTATACTCCACTTCTACCTGGTTATACATCCCAGTGTAATTTTTAAAGATTGAAACCTTCCTTTACAGACTTCTAAATTGAATAAAAAAAATTTCATGTTTAATATCTCTAATTCCTGTTATTTATCAAGAATCATGTTTACTTTAACACAGTTTATATGCTCCAGCTACAAGTTACAGTTGAATATGAAGCTAAATGCATTTTGATCACTTCTAATGGGATAGAAAATAAGGGGCTATATTCATGAGATAACGAACATTTCATCATATTCGTAAACTAGTAATTCCAAGGAGAAATATACCAATACGTTAGTGAAAACTATTTGCCAATAAGAAACAGAAATTTTCGCTGTGTGTAGAAATCACCTAAGCAATAATTTACTGATTCTTGGTTACTTTGAGGCCTAATGTTCAACATATATTCACATTTCGGTCTGCGTTGCATGAAATGACATCAGCTTGAGAATAAGTAAAATGTAAGAACTATTGGACAAGTTTATGTTATTGATATAAGGCAATGAGTAATATCGTTAGCTAAGTCAGGAATGAGAACATCTGCTAATAAAGCGAAATGATGATCATATCCCACTGATTGACCAAAATTAGTAAATATAGACCATTGATTTTAAGGCCAGTGGCTGAGCAGTAATTTGCTTCAGGAAATCTATGAGATACTAGCTGATTGTTAGAAGTACTCTACAACTAGCTGTTCATGAAAAAATAACCATAAATTGATTTTCATTTTTTTAAGAACAGTAAGTGGAAATTTGAATTATGATGTTACTTACCTGAATAAGATATTCATAGTCTTCTACTTTAGTCAATCCTAATAAATTTTTCATTTCATCTGACATTCCAGCTAACATATAATAGAATGCATGAAAATTACGTTCATATTTAGTTTGAGTAACAATACGTGATTTCTCTAGTAAGTATTGATCAATCTTTGCACTAACAATACTGCCAAGTTCACGGCTAAAATGAATTTCAATATATTTTCCAAATCGAGATGAATTATCATTACGAACAGTTTTAGCATTGCCAAAAGCTAAAAAGAAAATGTCAAAATCTCGGAATTAATTGAAAACATAAATTATTTGATAACCTAACCTCTTCAATAATTAAAGCCGACGAGATCTGTTTTCTTATTTGCATCATCAACCATCAAGTTATGAGGATATTGCAGGTTTATTGATCCGGATATGGTTCACAATAAATCTGTTAACCTTAATGTTATTCATAAATTACCTAAATATGTTTAACAGTCATTGAGCTCCCCATGCATTAGTCAGTGGCCTAATATACATCTGGAATACGTCTGTTAACTGTGATCAACTATTCATTTTGCGCAAAATTCAGTCTGGCGGGTTTCCTCTGGATGCTAACAATATGTTGTTGGGAGACGTTTTGTAGTACAGCTCAAAGTCTACCGTCACTGATGTTAGCTTATGAAAAATAATCAACAGGAACCGCTGATTCTGAGGTCTGGGCTTTTTTGTACTCATCAGTAAAGCAGATAAGCAACCTCCGGTAGACTAGTGTCCCATTTAAAACCTAACTGAAAGTGTTACACAGGTCTCGTAAACCTTGTGTGCATAAATAAACGACCAATAACCAACACATCCTAGAACATATCTTTGTCTGTGGACACAAATACTGACATAACGTTCCACTCCAATTAATTGACAGATATCTTTCACAGTCATCTAGAGACATTCAACAACTTTATCTTAAATGGATCACTAGTTTTTATAAGCTGAAAAATGACTATTGTGAGAAAAATATTCACATTTTTTTAAAGGTGGGCTATGGTTTCTGTTATATCAATTTTAGTTTTTCATATGATTTGAATGTCTCCCCATTTTTAATCCTACTGAATGACTTCACAGTTGCTATGTTTTATCTCTTCTTATCTCGCTCAAGTGTTTTTCGAAGTATCTACTTTTAGAACAGCTTAATTAAAGGGATAAGAGTTATCTGATTTTTCTTAGAATAAAAAACGGCCACATATCTTCAAACGTGTTGCTGCTACACTATGACAATATAGGCATTTCCGTCAACTTCCCCTGTATCATAGTTACCGGTCATGTATTACGAAATTATCGCCATTCACGTTCCGTAATTTTCCACTGGTTACTTTAATAAACCAAACTAAACTTTATTTGTCAGTATATGTGTAAATGCTTCCCTTGACATTACCGGGATTTTCACGTTTATGTGAATTGTTTTTTTGTGGCACCTAATCGTGAGATCTATGACATCTATTTCCTCTGATTTCGGTTCAGCAGAAAACTAAGAAAAAAAATCAGATTTTTAGACTATAACAGTGAATAAGTGTTGCTCAAAGCAAAAAATCTAGAACTCAGAAACCTTGTAGGTAGAGTTCTGTTGTTCTAGGTGAAGGACACTGTTGAGATCTCATGAGATACAGATGCATCCAGATGATGTGATCCAGCGTACCTGGAATTCCACTGACAAATATCACCAAGAAGTAATACTACAAGCTAGTTGTGATGAACACTGACTAAAAATACTTGAGTTTTGAAAATTTAGTTCGGCTAATTTTATGCTTTACATTTCACTTTTCCTACCTCATCTTTCTGATTGCTTCTTTGCCGCAACAACCAAAATAGGAATTTAATGCGAGAATCCAAATCATGTTAAACTTCACCTCATCGATAGTCGCCTCTAAATGGTAGAAATTTTGAAGTTTATCGGTATACACTCGGTTGAAAAGTAAATTAGAACAAATTGTGAACAGCGATTTCTTTCAGTCAGAAAGTTTTTACGTACACTTTTTATTCAGCTGTCTGTTCTTGTCAAACAGATAGACAGAAAAAATCAACGTAGGACCTCACACACAAGTGCATAGGTTCAAGTTGACACACTTCACAGTAGCATATAAAGAACAAGTAGATAGAAGAAGACTGATATTAAAGTAGAAAAAGTTGTATAAATGATTAAACAGTTTGAAGATAAGAGTTAGTGTAGATACTCGCTCTTTAGATGTAAAGGAATTAGTACATCTGCACCACTGTGACTGACTTCCTACCATGTCACAAGAGTCCTCAACCACTGATTCCGATCGTTTCGTGGACCCAAACCTGACAGTCTACATCTTTGCATACGCTGAAACTAACAGCAAGAGATTTGGTGAACTGGCGCCACGTCTTGATCTGGCCACCCTGAACCCTCTTCCAACCTAACCCAACTTCTCTCAGTATGGCACGTTGAGGTAGGCGGTGGTTCGGCATGCACAGTACATGTCCAAGCCATCTCAATCGATAAAGCTTCGGTGCTAACAGTTGCGGCCCAAATTACATGGATACCTAAAGTGAAATGTCCCTATATCTTCATCAAAAAAGTGCTAAACAGAATTAGACACTTGTACACCAAACCTCACAATTTTGATAACTGAATTCATCTCACAATCTTTAATGCTTCTTATGATGAATGGCTGTTGATACCAAATCATTCTCACCTTCCATTATTGGATTTGAATCGAGTATCTGTTGTTCTGTCCAAGAATGTTGACCACTAACAGCAGCTAAAAACTGTGAAAGTAATTTTGTGCTTTCCGTTTTACCAGCTCCACTTTCACCGCTTTAATGGCAATAAATTCAAAGAAAAATAACCTTTTAAATTTGTAGTCAGAATTGTTTACAAATGTTTCATTGGAAAATTAGTGAGCCACATGAATACATAACTGAATCACGAAGTAACAGTCAAAAGTCTTAGAATTTATTCAGAGTACATTTTTATTTCTTTTATGATCTTCTGAATTCTGAACATTGAATTGACCTTCATTTTCTTTTGTATGCAAGTTCAAACCTCTTTTTGCCTACTTTCCTGATTGTCTCTTTTATCTGTGCTATTGTACACTATATTAATACCAACTAATGCACTGACTTGAAAGGTTTTACATTGATTTTTTCGGCTTTTTCTCTACAAACAGCATTTACTACTCTCTGTATCACTAATTATGATCTGAAACAAATGTTTCTGAGATATCTAAGCATTTTTCTACATCTAAATTATAGACAGCCGGTGATGTAGACCAGACTGACAGAAAACTGACTTACCTTCCTAAGCACACAATTATTATTATTATTAGTCCCTTGGGTTCCTAATGGAACATAGGGCTTCACTAGCACGCCTCCAGTGACCTCTGTTCTCTGAGATCTTTCCAACCTGGTCCCACGACAGCCCAGAACCTCTCATTTCCTCCTCGCACGACCTCCTCCATGTCACCCTCGGACGTCCAACTCGTCGCTTCCCATGGGGATTCCACTCGAGGGCCTGACGCGTGATGTCCTCAGTCGGCCTTCTCAGTGTATGCCCAATCCATCTCCACTTCTTCCTGCATATTTGTTGAGTGATAGCTTCTTGGTTGGTTCGTTCCCAGAGTTCCTTGTTGCTTATTCTTTCTGGTCATCTCATCTTCAGTAGTGAGCGTAGGCACTTGTTGATGAATGTCTGTAGTTTATTGGAAATCCCTTTCGTCACGCGCCAAGTCTCTGAACCATACAGAAGCACTGACTTGACGTTGGTGTTGAAAATCTGGATCTTGTTCCACATGCTGAGTGCAGATCTCCACACTGGTTTCAGGCTAACGAACGCCTGTCTTCCTCTTTCCGATCCTGACTTTGACATCCTTGTCTGTGCCACCTGTAGTTGAAACCGTGCTGCCTAGATAGGTGGAAGAGACAAATTCCTTTAAGTTTCTCCCTTTGATGGTGATTGGAGTTTGTTGTTGTTGTTGGAGTTGTTGGTGCGGTATCTTCATCACCTCTGTCTTCTCTGTATTCACCTGGGGTCCCGTCTCCCCTCGCTGCCTCTTCTGCCAACTTATTAGTTTTCACCTGTAGGTCTTCAAGTTTGTGTGACATCAGGCACAAGTCATCGGCGAAATCCAGATCTTCTAGGTTTTTTTCCGCAGTCCAGCCAGCATATCCCCCTCTTCTCGCTGCTCACTGTCTGCTTCATGATCCAGTAGACCACAATCAGGACTATCATGGGGGATAGTAGACAACCTTGTCTCACTCCTGTCTTCACTTCACAAGCACCACTGAGCTTCCCATTGTGAATTACTTGGCCGGCATGTGGCATCTTCATATAGTTGTTGAATGAGGGTGATAAAGGTTTGCGGTATTCCGTAGTATTGAAGCAGCTTCCAAATTACCTCTCGGTCGACGCTGTCAAAGGCCTTTCAAAGTCGATAAAGTTGAGGTAGAGTTGGGTTGACTGCCATTCTATACTCTGTTCTATGATGATGCGAAGCGTTGCAATTTGGTCCGCACATGATTTGGACTTCCTGAAACCTGCCTGTTCCGGTCGTAATTTTGAATCCAGTGCATCCTTTGCTCTCTCCAAGATGATACGGCTTAATATTTTGCTTGGGGTGGACAGTAGGGTGATTCCGCGCCAGTTGTTGCAAACACTGAGGTCTCCCTTCTTCGGGAGTTTGACAAGGTAACCCTTCTTCCAAAAGCACACAATAGTATAGTGTATTTAATGTGAGCAGTAAACTCCCCATTAAAACGCAATTCGAAAGGCTGATACAACACTGACTGAAAAGGATAGTAGTGTTTACTAGTTTTTTTTACAGTGCAATCTTTCTTTGATTCATCTCCTACTGTTGACATTGTTGGCAACAACATTGCAAAGTTCGTATACAATCCAGTTTGTAAAAGTGACTTTCAACACTTTGTTCCGAAGACTTTAAAAGCCATACTTTCAGATTTATCGCCTATCAATTTAATGCCCAAGAAATTTGACTTCTTCGATGGAAATTTGGTTGAAATAGATTGAATAAATCCTAAATTCCTATCTTGTAACAGAGCTTATATGACAGAAGATTCGATGGAAAGTTGAAGGACTAAATCAAGAGTTTCGAGATTATTTTACACTTTCCAATAGATATTGGCGTATTAGACTGATTCTAAATGATGATAATAATCAGATCCTTACAAGGAACAAATGATTTGAAAAGCTTAGACGGAAATCCTTTAAAAAACCGTTCATTTCTCCAATTTAGCTGTTATACAAATGTTGCTATCATGTCATCTTGAAGAAGGCCCAAAGTTACCTTTGAAGCTATCAGTGGAGAATTTTAACAACTAACTAACTTATGACAATGTCCCACATTCATGCAGCATAATGACATGCGTAATGTGAAACGTTATGCAGTGAAACGGTTCTACCCTATCCACAAATTCTTCATCTGGTTCATCAGGTCACTTTGTAAAAGACTTGCGAAATAATCTCAAGACAATGTACTAGTATTGTAAGGTATGACATGATAATTCTTGCCCATTTAAGTGACACCAATGTCGTCAATGCGGTACTCAATATTATAAAACTGTTTGCAACCACGCAACAGCTGTCTCAGACAGAAGAAAAAGCACATCTTGATATCAACCGATGGAAAATTTATTTCATGTTAGCACTACGCTTGATATAAGTGACGTTGTAAAGCGAAAATATAAATGTCCACCTGCATCCGGATTATTTGGTACTACTTTGGAAACTGCAGTTATATTCTTCTACTTATTGTATATTTTTGGTTGTTCAACAGACTAGAAACGACACAGACAGTTACTAATGCATGTTAATGCAAACACTAACCTATAAGACGCTTCAAGCACTGTAATTGCTTCAGAGACAACATATTTGATGCAGTATACTACACTAGCAGTCTTCTTGGCCTTGAACGGTTTGAAAGCTCACATATCGCTAACCTTCCAGTCAATAATGCATGCAAGTGTTTACAGGGCTTTTCAGGGATTCAGAAGAAATCCAGTGACAAAGCCACAGAGTTTGACGAATATTTTTCGATCAGGTATTGATCACCGCAACATGACTAAAATGCTACTCAACCTAAGCCAAAAAGCGTCACAAATTTTTCAACCTGAGAGATCAGTCTCACTTGTACCATTATTTTTAGTTCAACAGTTAGACGGTTGGGGAAACAAGGCATCACTACACATATCTCTCATTCTGTTCAGACTGCTCCGAATGTTACCATCAAAGAAACGAATAGTTCTACAGAAATGAGCGTCAGTTTTCTTGCTGGGCTAAATAAATTTCGTGAACATTACCATTGTCCTTTGCCTATCCTACACCATCTAATTACAGTGCTTAATAACATCAAAGACTGATCCAGATGATGCAATATTTACTAGTAGAAATTCCACCGAAATGATGTGAAATAACGGCCATCAATACATATAGCAGACTGTTTCAGTATTACTGATTTTTGTTCGGCGTCAAAACTGTTCCGGCCATTTTTCAACATATCATGGGTATCATAATGGCCTTCATCTTCGGTGTATTAGCATACCTAGGTAATACCATAGCAGCACTTCACTGTCTTGTTACAACTGTCAGAATTCTTTCAGTAAATCCAACTGACGTCTAGAAAGTTATACTGAAAGATGAAATGTATCAACTGGTAGCTACCTTTATTCTTAACAGATAATTCACTAAGATCCTCACTGGTTGGTTACCGAGGTTTGGCAATGACTTTATTCCCTCTGTGTTGTGGATGACTCTCATATTTGGGGACTGCATTGTTGTGCGTCAGTTACTTTGAATTTGAATCCTACACCAACCTTATATAGGTCACTAAAAAATCGAACTCATAAAATTAACCACTGTTGGTTATTTTTACTAGCCACTAGTGTATTAGTTAATAGCCGACTCTATCGGTACATGCACTTAGTTTCAACTAGATGCCTAATGTTTACCGCATTTACTGTAGGTTTTCTTACCATATATAGAATGTTTACTATCGTGCATACATTTTGGTTTTTATGGGTTAGTTAATGGGAGTCTCCTTTTGGTTTTGATGTATGCATTTACTAATTGGTCAGAAATCATATCAATTAATCGGTAAATAACTATTTAAAGCTACAAACTGTCATAGTTTACTGGAAAACACCATTTATCAAGATATCTCTTGGTCTACACCACATTAGTTTTGAACGCTTACAGTCGTTATGTAGTCAGTCATACTTCTCCTCGACATCATCATATGCAGATAAATGTGGAAGTGGAACGCTGATTAGGCACAGTGAACAGGGATACACTCAAGACAAGGAAGTATGAGATATCTATGAGTATGCTTCTACTGTTCTTGTCTCAACATATAATACCAACGAAGCACTGCTAGATCTAAAAACCTTCACTACGATGCTTATCGAAGCAACTTAAAACACTACATGACATCATAATGCATGTAATCCTTCAGAAGGAGCAGGAGGGAAAAGTGACGAAGCAATGGAAGTATGAAAATACCCTCCAATTAGCATTGACTGCAGTACGATAGATAGCTCGTAGGCTTGATCATTTGTTAGTGCATAATGTAGTGTTTCATATAGTGAGGGAACCAGACAGATGAACAAGATATAAAAATTTCATACTAGATTTGTTTATTTGATTTATAACACACAGTGATCTAGTATTATTTACTTGATGACGTTTCGAGCACAAATTATCATTGCTCATAATCATAAATAATCCAATCTACCAAATATCATATAATGACTATGAGGCCAAGTACATAAGTCAGACTAGCCGGTCAGGGTCAGTTTGAATAGCCGACATAGGAATCAACTAAATGTTGAATGATAGACCCCATTAGGATCGATAATCTAGACGGCAACTCTGTTATTACAATGTGTGCATTAACATATATACTACCGTCTGCAGAAAACTGACACGTCACAACAGGTATCTAGACTTCAAGTCATCCCATCCCATGTTATTTAAGGCAGGATTAGTCAAATATCTAAGTAATAGAGCTAGAAAACTGACTAGTCAGTGCAAGGACCTAAACAAGGAGTTGAAACATGTAAAGGAAGCGCTAATAGTTAATTATTTTCCTCACCAGTTTATTCAGAAATTGTTACGGACACATAAGGAACGAAAAAATAACAGTCATACGAGTGCGACTATTAACGACAACACGAGTAAAAAGAAGTTCACAGCCTCCATTGTATTATCCTATAAGGAGGGTACCTCAGAAACTTTACGTAGAATCCTCAACAATGCTGGAATTAGGGTGTCATTTAAACCTACAAACTCACTCAGAGATAAACCTTGTCGGCTGACTTGAGGATCCGATAGAACCAATTAAGCAAAATAATATAATCTATCAAATACCATGTAATGACTGTGAGTCAGGTCAAGTATATAGATCAAACTAGTCGGTCGGTGTCAGTCGGAATAACCGAACATAGGAATTTAGCTAAATATAATAGAATGACAGACCTAAATAAGATAAATAATGTAGAAAAATCTCTCCTATTGCAATGCATGCATTGACACACAACCACACACAGGGTGGGTGGGATAAAGCCACTGTACTTAAGTCTAATATAATAAGGAGGAGAGAAAGAGATCGATTACTGAATCTTTGTTCGTCGAATCAACCAACACTCAACACATGGAGTAGAAATGACGCAACACCCATATCAGAGATATGGAGGATATTACTACCAAAAAAACAACTCACATAAGGTGACATAACTATGGAAGTCAAATGTCGAAAGTGGTGTGATTACACACTGATATGATTATGAGTACTGATAATTTGTGCTCCAAACGTCATCAAGTAAATAATACTAGATCACTGTCTGTTATAAATCAAATAAACAAATCTAGTGTGAAATTAAATCCTACCACACAGCCCATGTTTTACACATATATTAAAGATGTAAAAATCACTTGGGTCCAAGAGAATCATGGGTACACGAATCATCATCCAATACTATGCCTCTCAAAATGTTTCTGAATGGTTTCCAGACATTACTAAGAAACAAATTCGATCACCAGTAAAATTGGAAAAATGCTTCTTCAATAGAGAGATAGCTACTTGACTGAAGATAAAATCAGAAATAGCGGAAGTTGTTTGGTCTTCGAATTAACATAAAAGGAAGGTAATGACAATATTTTAAAAAAGGGGATAGGTAAGGAAGCTTCAGTATTTGCCTTAATAGTTTATTCTACTTTTATTTAGTCTAAACAAGATATCTTCACATCTTCCCCTCAATCACGGTTATTCTGTCACCCCCTGCATTTCTCCAGGTTAATTCTCTATTGGTTGAGCCTTTTTTCAATACACCAGCGTTCGCAATTTCAGGTATGATCGAAATTTATACTTTACATAACTAAGTGATCCTACTTATTTTATCACTTCTTAGTGAGACAGCATAAACTCTCCTTTCATAATTCTTGCTTCCGTACTAAAAAATATCTTATAAGCTGAGTTAGAAGTCTTATCTTTATCTGGTATCACAACATATATCAGATTACGTGGCCAAACATAAAACGTTCCTTTCACTATTTCACTACTAATCTGCTACTACCTTTGTTGGTCATAAAATACCTCAGTGATAACACGACAGTTGCACATCTATTTTGTTTATCATTTGACTACGTGAGATAGCCGTAGTTTAGCAGACTTGTATTTATACTAGGGTGATGATTGAAGGTGAAATGAAAATTTGGACGATGGTAGGATTTCAACCACTGAACACCGGCTTTCCGGTCCAATGCTCTACCAACTCACCTAAGAGGTTCGACTGCTGATTAGATTTTTATTTCACTTCAGTCACCATCGGTTTTTCCCGACCACCATGTGAATTCGTAATGCGTTACTACCGCTTGTTTCTATTCACACTGGCTACCTGGTCAAAACTTCTCATCTCAATCTAAATCTAACTGAACTAGAGAGAGGATCATATTGATTATCATTCGACTATCTGAGATAGCCGTAGTTTGGTAGACTAGCATTTATACTGGCTGGCTACGCTGTCAGTGTGAATAGAAACAAGCGGTAGTATCACGTTACGAATTCACATGGTAATCGGGCAAAATCTATGGTGACTGAAGTGAAATAAAAATCTGATCGGCAGTCGAACCTCTTAGGAGAGTTGGTAGAGCATTAGGCCGGAAACCCGGTGATCGGTGGTTGAAATTATGCCGTCGTTTAAATTTTCATTTCACCTTCAATCATCACCCCATTATAAATCTATCTGGGCCAAGAATTACTGTTAATTCAGTTGTCCTAAGCTAAAGTAGAAAAAAGGGGCTAAATAAAATAACCTTAATGGAACCCTGTAAGTAAATCTTGGGTATAGCGATAATCATTGATGATTGGGTAGTTTATTTAGCTTTTCTGAGGAATTATTTGTTTAATTTCACTCCTATGTCTTCATATGTTTACCTGATAGATGACAATTTTGTGCAATTTCAGAGTCGTCTTTATTATCCTCCAACTAAGTATACATCTTTACAGTATCATTTAGAATCTTTGAAAATTGTAAAAGATGAAGACTATTTATCAATTAAACTGTGAACACCATCTTGCCTTTTTGATAAGAATTTTCATCGAATGAGTTTCCTTTGACACACTGCGTTAAGTTTTAAAGTTTTACTTAGCGTAGGGTGAATAGATAACAAATAAGGGATAATGGAGGCTTATTTCAGCCTATCTAAGGACCCTTCAAAAGTGACAACTTTTGACCTTTTACCCTACTGAAATTAGAACCTTCAGTTCTTCAAGTGAGCACTTCAGACTAATTGATTGCCAACATTAATGAAGAACATTATGTTTCTAACCTGATTATTATGCATTGATCCATACCATATTTCCGCATGTTACAATATGCGTTATCCCCTATGGCAAATAAATGAGGTGGAAGTTCACCAATTTTGCGTTTTCGATACATTTTTATATAATCTGCATTGTAAATAGGCAAAATTTGATAGGGATTAAGAGCCACCAGTATCGATCCTGTGTATGTCTAAAAGAAAACATTAAATTACATTATTATCAACTATACTTATCTGGAATTTAGATCTTATTTTTTTGAAATAAAGTACGAATATTTAAACGGTTGATGAATCACAGAAAGACTGATTCCTAGAAAGAATTTCTTACTTCAATTTATTTATTCTTATACCAAATTAATAGAGATGAATAACTGGAGAGACTGAAGAGTAAGTTATCGAGGAAAGGACTTTTTTACTGGTATAACTATGTTTTAGCTTTTAATGAGGACTTCCAAGACTCCTTTAGAGTTTCAACGTACACATAGTCATGATTATCCACTGTGTATTATTTTTACTTAAGAAATTATTTATATCAGAAAAATGAACTATGGACGAAAGAGTAATACATCACGAATTCACACAGCAATCAGGTGAAAAAAACCCTTAGTGATTGGAGTAAAATTAAGATATGATCAGCAGTTGGCTTTCGTAGCCTATTTGGTAGAGCATCGGGCTGAATCATAACCTCGTATTGCTTAATGTTGAATGGAATTTGTGATTTAGAATGAAATTATTATCACTATCGTTATTTAACTTCAAGGTGTTAATTTCTGAATAATGACGCATCACTGAATTCTAAAATCATCAGACTTCTTGTATTCAATACACTTTCACAATAAGCGGGCATTCGTGTTTTAGTGAAGTTATTTATCCGCTGTAAAATCTTATAAGAAATAAATGAATTTTTTTCCGATCTTTTGCCATAGGTGACTTTAAAGGTCACTCTAGCAACAACTGAAATAACCAATCAAGTCTCTCTATTTTATGAAAATTTACCTTCCCAGCCGAAGCAAAGAAACCTAATTGGTTGTTTCGATCGTTGTTATGGTAGCCTTTGAAATAGCCCTTTTTCCACTCCTTTATTTACTCCTGAATTGTATCATGCATATTACTACTAGCAATCATAAATGGAAATCATTTTTAATAGACTTTCAGCATTTTCCCTTAAATACAAAAATCATGTATCCATCGAACAACACCCCTTAACTGGAAAAATATTTGGTCAACATAGAGAAGTGAAAAATCTTTTTATTCTCTATGCACTTTAACATCGTTAACATGCTGGTACATGAAATAGGTATCTATAGATCAGAATGTTCTTAAGGGACTTTTTTGGGTCAAGATTTTGGACAAAGTAATTAGAAGACATAGTTTATCTGAATAATATGATGTATTTGCGTTTTACATTTCGAATAATCTAATCACACATTTACTTGTTAAGGCAGTTTATATGAAAACTGGAAATGGAAGAAGAAAAAATATGACACAAAGGAATTTAATATTAAGAAGGCAATGTAGGTAGAACGATGACATTTGAAGACGAGCTTGGAAATACGATTATATGAGCATTACCGGGATGGATTCAATGTAAAGAAAGTGTTTTGAACACAATGGGGGGGTGGGGGGCTTCAATATGTGTAAGGCTACCGTTTCAATAAACCTCAGTATACGCTCTTAACATTTTCAATACAAAACTGTAAAGGCTGTTTTAATATCAATCCCATAACCTTTCTCGACAACATGTTTTTCAATGTATAAAGCCAGCTACTTATGTAACCATTTTGCTACATGATCTCCTAACCTCAAGTCAAGATTCTTGTTGAATGATGTCTTCGTGAAATTCTTCTCATTATCAACTTTGCCAATTTAAATAAATAAACAAATAATTCATGTAACTTTTTTGAAAACTATATGAATCTCTCACTAACAGCATCACTACAGTCGTAGTTATTAATATGAAGAAATGATAATTTGGTTCTCAAACGAGTATGTACATTGAAAGAAGATTTTTATAAAAAAGTATCATTTGTTTATCCAATGTAGCTCATAACAAACATTTATTCTCCGTATAAAATAAAACAATGGACAAGGCAAACTGTATAGCTTTTTACCAAGTACATTAATAGAGGCCGGAGTTAACAAATTAAAGAATGGCACCGATTACACATGTTCTTATGTGTGTAAGTTTCAGAGTTTTGAGGTTGATAAGAATTTGAACTGTCTCATCATTTGCGCATAAGTGATAGGTGGATATTGATAAATATACTCATACTCACTTCCATTGTTTTATTATTATTTATTTTTCCCTTGGATTCCTAGTGGAACACAGGACTTCGGTAGCATACCTCCATTCCACTGTCTTCTCTGCAGTCTTTTCAACCTGGCTTCACCACTGCCCACAAGCTTTCATATCTTCATCACATGATCTCCATGTCACTCTCGCCTTGGACGCCCAACTCATCAATTCTCCCTTGGATTCCACTCGAGGGCCTGGCCCGGCTCATGATGTCCCCAGTTGGCCTTCTCAGTGAATGCCCAATCCAATCCACCTCCACTTCCTTCCGCATACTTGTTGGGTGATAGGTTCTTGCTACATTGGTTCGCTCCCAGAGTTTCTTGTTGCTTATTCTTTCTAACCATCCGATTTTCAGTATCATGTTGCCCATTAGAATTTCGATGTCCCCAACTGGAGTCTTGTCTAGTACCGTTTGTAGTTGTCTTCAGAATTTCTCCTTCTGCTCTTGATCCGCATTATTTGTTGACGCGTAGCATTGAATGGTTGTAACTTTCCTTCCTTTTTAGTTGAACCTTGCCGTCGTGATCCTGGAGAAGATTGGTTCCCACTGCATAAGAGTGAGCCCTCGATGATCTTGGAGACATCATGATAGCCACTCCATAACTCAGTGTGTTCGTGGTTGTCGTCGAGGTGACAATATCGGAGTAGATTATTAACTCTCCAGTTGACAGTTGAGAGTCCACTTCCATTCCATCTGCTTTCGCAGATTCCAAGCACTTCTAAGTCATATCTTCTCATCTCGTTTGCAATCTGGGCAGCCTTGGTAGGTTCATACATGGTGTAGACATTCCTTGTCCCCATTCTTACTTTTGCTTTCATCGAGAGATAGGGGACACATCATCCAGTCGGCTTCCCGAAGGCTTTCATCAGCCGGCATCACTTCGTCTCCCTGATTCTAGAGAGGAATACGTTTATTTTCTATATTTTTTTCTCTGCTTTGAAGTTTTTTTAGATATTGGATTGGTTTTCCGGGATAGGGTTGGTACTCCTATGCCCAACCTTCTCTGTTTACCCGGGCATAGGACCGGCTAGTAACTAGCGAACTAGTAAACTAGGTGAGGTTTGGTTTTGGAACACAGAAACGAACTGGGGATATTTAGACGTCCCCGGTTTGTCCAAACTGATGAGTTTCAACCAGACGTTCAAGAATACAGCCGTTGATAGATTTACACCATGCTATAGATAACTATATGCGATGGCATTCTGAAATTAGTTTTGAAAGAAAACGGTTTGTGAAGTCTGTGTAACCAGCTTCACAAGAGCAGAAGAGCTGGTAGACTCAAGCGGAGATGACCAAAAGTGGTTATTTTTTTCACACGCTCATAAATCAGTTGTTGGCTGCAGAAGAAAACTCAAATCTTTAGCGACAAAGGTTTTCCTCACCGCTTAACATCATCGATTCTTGAGCACTTCTGAGCTTTTATCTTCTTCAAATTCAGTGGTTATAAACAGTGTAACCTTCGGAACTCTAAGAGCTTGTTCCTAATGTTTTTCAGGCTGAATGAATTTTGAAGAATGACCGTTTTTGATGAGCACTTACTGGAGTACTTTCAGCTCCTCATTTACTGCGTCATATATATGCACTCTTCTGATCTCTTTGCACAGTGACTGGATTAGATTTCGCTCCTATGTGGGTGGAACAGAACTTCAAAAACTGGTATGTTGTCACCTCCATGTTTGTTCCCTGTGAATCGATGTTCCCAGAGGACCATCCCTTTCCCTACCACCTTTATTACTTTGCAGATTATTATGCAATCACCTTTGAATTCAAGAAACAAGTTCCTAATACAGTCTAAAACAATTTTTTAATCAGTTCGTATTAAGTTTACAACCACTGATTGTCATGTTTTCTCTTTGAAACCATTAATAAGAATGTAAGGTTTCTGAGAATGACATGATGAAAGGAAAATCTTTGCTGTTACCTTTTGTTAAAATAAACCTTATAGCATCTTGATACTACTTCTAAGAGACAGCTTACAAATACTCACCTCCAATATACTGATTGTAGCAACACTACAATTAACCTAGTAACCAAAGTGGAAATCAGAATACCAGAAACTTATCAATACTTAGAAATGCATGACAGAAATTCGAAAAGTATTTCTTCAGAGCAGCGATCCCCCAAGATTTATCGCCAAAAGCAGTGACTAGAACAAGTTCTTACTGTTCTTAAGAAGATCCTACTCGTGTATAGTGAACTCAAAGGGGACAGCGCAGCAGGAAGGTTAAAGAATAGTCTTTCTAAAACATGCGAAAAAAAGTTTCACGTAACTGAACTGCGAAAAACGGTCTTTTTTAGCCAGTAGTATATTGAAGGAAGCGTGAAGGAGAAACAGACGCTAAGGGTCACATCTATGTGCGTCTATCAGTATCCTTGCTCATGTCGAGCTTGGTATGAAGGTTGCACAAGGCTCAATCTTTCCAAACGCATCGACGAGCACCCAACTAGTTGGCTATACATAGGAGAATGCAAGTCAAGCAACAGTTCCATTTTGAACCATTCAGTCAACTTTAATAATGTCACTTTCCAGAAGATCTTTCAAATTTCTATACAAAGTCAAGCAGAACGGCTCACAAGTAGCTCAGATTCGGTACTTATGTGTAGCAGAGGCGTTGGCAACCCAACAGTTAAAGCTGGAGCTCTGAGTATGGAAGAAGTACGTTCATTCTCTTGGTCTGCCATGTTCATAACTCTTCTTTGAGGTTCCTTATCGCTTCATTAGTCATCCTAATCTTTTCAAGTGATTATTTTTGTTTTCGCTTTATGGATTACTTTTCTACATCTTAGTATGTTAATTCCAATTTCTCAAAAAGTTCTCATAATATTTTACTCTGTTTGTTAATTGATGTTAGTATTATTATTTTTTAACCTATTAGTCGTCATCATGATCTACCGAATACTGAACAGGTCTAAATACTGTTACTAAATTTCCACACTTATTCTATATCATTGTTGGCATGAAAAACATAGTTTCATCATCCTTTGTATCATTTAAGAAAGTGTAATCTATCTTACTAAAAAAGCATTTTATTACACAATATTTATATGGGGTTGGAAAGTAGCTGCGGAAAATGATATATTGTCCTGTCACAGCCACCTTCTTTCATATCGAATTTCTGTTTAAACCATCCTCTTGTCGACTAAGTAGTATGTTCGGAAACTGCTGCTGACTGTTCGTTTTCTGTTCACACTTGAAGATGATATGATTGTGAGTTATATTAATCTTTGCCTACAGATGCATTACATCAGCAGACTTGTCATATATAACAGCTATGTTGTAGAAATAAATCTTTTGAAGAGAAACACTTCCATTGAGATCAGTAGCCAAATTTTCAATAAATGATATGCACATATGGGCTAGCTAGGATCCCAGTGGCAATGTCATTAATTTTTATAAAGTATTTATTCTCGAATGTTAATTGAACTTAGCCAGCACACAATAATAATAAATCTTTCAAAAAAAGTAAGGGCGATACGGAATAGAAGGTTTTACTTAGTTGGAACTAGTAGAAGAATCCAGGACATGCGTTTCATTTTATTTGGGACTCTTCGGCTGGACGTACTTGCACCCCAGTGAGTAATATTCTCACTAAGACTCCAACCTCGTACCCATTGCTTCAAACGCCAAGTCGTTATCCACTAGACCACTGAGGCATGGTAGCAACCTCTTATACAACAGATATTAGATATTGCTATTTGTTAATATGCTTGTAATTCTCCATTGTTTTACCGGATCGAAGTGTCTGACCTCTACTGGCATGTGGGTTCCCATGCGGATGCCTCGATATTGCCTGAACGATTTGATCCAGTAAAACAACGGAGAATTACAAGCATATGGACAAATAATAAGAATAAAAGACTGTTAGAAAAAGTATAGCCAAAAAGAATATCAGTCATCTTTATAAGTAGTACATTAGTAAATAAAGGACTTTCATCGAAAGAGTACAGAGTTTTATCCACTATATTATTAGTGTACTATTATTTTTAATACTATATTAATACCACTTAAGCAACCAATGAGATCATATGTATCTTTTAATAAATACTTACATAAATGGCTTCTAACAGGATTCAAGAACTTACTATCCATTTACCTGGATTATGTATGAGTGATTGACACAGAAAATGCTGAAGGTAACAGATTAGCAGATTTATCGGTTTTAAGTAAACCATATGAATTTGAATGTTCAAACCCTTTAAGTTTCAGAAAGTTAAATTTATCTTCACCAGTGTACAGTTAACTGTTTCTTCCTACCTCCATGTTGCTTCAGAGGGGATGTCTGACATTCATTTCATTTCATCAGTAGGAATGGATGATTCCTGATTTTGTAAACCCTGATCACATTTAATAATAATAATTTCAATTAAATAATTCAATAAGTTTATGCATGATCACACTGTTCGAAATGTGTAGTGCTAAAATATCAGTTGTTTCAGTCAATCTTCGCCTTTTTTTTACTACGCTGTATAAATATTTAGTTATCACTTAGACCAATAAAATAAATTCATAACTTACCGATTTAAAAGTAATAAACTTACATAAATTTGATTCTGAGCATAACGTATACAAAGATTTCGAAGAATTCCACCTTCATTTAGTTCTCCCAAATCAATCATATCGTCTACCCCACTGACAGAAGATGGATGCATCAACTTCAAATCATAATCCTTAGAAATCTCAAGAACCTGAAAAGATATTATTCACTATTATTTTTAACATTTTTTTGTCAAAATACTCATTATAACGATTTATCAAGTAATGATATTATGAAGTTAATTTTACACAATAAATGATAATACAAAACTGAATACTTACTAGACAAATATGTTGAAGACTGGATTGGTTATTCTAAATTTTCGAAAGGCTTAGGCTAGGTATTAGAATACTGTATCTGTTTCGTGCATGAATCTTTTCTCTGAATACTAACAGATACTAAGTTGTTTAACATTTTGCTAAGTCAAGAGAAGCGTAAGCATTTGTTTATTCACCAATTATTTGCATGTATACTGCTATATGTCATATACTACTGATAGACATGATTAATTGCGGATCACTGATGCTAATTAGCAGTATTCTTTAAACAGATCTAAACAGTTTAAACACCCAACTATCATTTCTTTTCCATGCGGCTGAATCAACTCATATGTGCCTCACTATACTATACTAAGCTAAGGTATTTCGTTTATTGGAACTACTGAAATTATGGTTTACAATCACTGTTGACTGGAGTCGATAGTTGGTTTGCAATCACTTATGCCAGTCAAATGCATATGTTTTTACTGTTCTTATCCTCATAATCTTTCTTTCAATAATGGGGTGAAGAAGATTATGTATTGCTACCTGAAGAATTTACTTTTGAAAGGAAATCACAGGAAAAATTTACAGTTGAATCATATTTGATAGTGTCATTGTCACCTTGGATCATATACTCTGAAAACATTCGATCTAACCACACATTACAAACTTTAAAGACAATCTGTGTTACAAGTGCCACATACTCTTGAAAAGGATTTAAGCTTTCAATCAAAAAATGAATAAAAATCATTGCTAATCTCTTTCCTATTCAATTAAAAATTATTCAATGCTTTTCTTTCGATGTAATTTTGGACAGATGTCGTTTATTGAAATTTGTCAACTGATGACCACTCATTCGCTTAAGAGTTCTGGGAGATCAGTGATTTTGATAAATTTTTACTGAGTTGACAATGCCTTAGCGTATTCATCAATAATTGAGTAGTCCATACTTTGTGCACAAATGATTCCATTATTTCACAGTTAACAGTAAAATGAAACACTTACATTTCATGTTATTTAGAACGTATCAGCTAGATGCAGCCGTATCCGTGACTGAGTCCAGTCATCAAAAGACGGAGTGATTTTTACTAAACTATTGGGTTAAGATAGCTGCTTCTCATTTAACAGCTTTGAGCTTTTATTGGTGGGTGATCTTAACCGTCATGGAATCTACAGGAGATAATTGATTGTTCATCGATGACGGGGATCAGTTCTTTCCACGGATAAATTGGTCATACTTGTGATCATACCTTGATTAAACTTAGCACTGAATGGTAGTGAAATTTGCATTCAGGCCATTTTTGAGAACACCATTGTTAATTATGAGGCGCTTATACCCAGCCGATGTGTGTTCTTAATCCCCTTGAGAGCTACTATAGAGTATAAGTAAAGCATAATGAGATGACCGTTTCAGAGAACTATATGTTAACAAGGATTTCTCACTCTAGTCTTGTAAACCTAACACGAAAAGCAAGTAAACTTCAATAACTTTTAGTGAACATTGTAACCTATCTACTAGAACTATTAGTTTTGTGCTTAGTTAAAACTGCTGTGTCGTGATTAAGCTCATAGAGAATTAAGACTGGATGAAGACTATAATCCACTTTCACGAGCTTTACCTGTGATATTAAATCTTCTGGATGCTATGAATGTCATGACCTTCCGCTAAAACATGAAGGTGGTTCCTATCTTACATCTTAGCGAATGACTGCAGAAAAATTTGAAGCGGATAGACAAAAGCTTATAACAACACTGTAATCACAATGTAAAAAAGCAGCTTTAAATTATACTTGTAAGAACCTGTTTGTTACTCTATGTCTTTCGTATATTGCCTTAACCAAATAGTTTGTATTTAGGATATTGTTCCGAATCATCATTGAATATAATTATAGTCAGCTTATCAACAGTTCTGTCTTTGAATATTTAAAACAATTAGTTCCCTTTATAAACTTGGGCAACATAATCAGAAGATACAATTTGTTGCATCCGTGTAATGCATTCGCGTAACACATTTCAAACAGTTTGATCACATATGTACTTGCCATAGGCGTTCAAATGAAAGGTTAAAAATAGATAAGGGTTGAGAATATGAAAAGAGATCAAGTAGAAAGCTGAATTAAAGGCAAAAATGTATTTATGTCACCCTTCTGATGACAGTAAGTCAAAAAATTATTATTGTCTTATGTCAGATTACCGACTTTGACTTCTCATTTTAGTCTGCATTTAACTAGACAACAGTTGTTGGTGTTTGTGCCCGAAAAAGGTACTCTTACAAAAGCCTTATAATGAGTTATAAAGGGTTCCAGTATTAGTTGGAACAACATTACTCACTAGGAGGCAGGTACATCCAGCTGACAAATCCGGGATTCCATCGCTAGCCACTATACATCATTACTACCGAAATTAAACTTCAGCCAACTTCGAGGCATTTGCGCAGGAGCTTATATGTCAAAAGAGACCGATCAATTTGGTTCAGTTAAAAACGTGAAATTACAAGTAATAGCATCAGCTCTATAACAACTTTTCAATTATTCGTCAAGCTAAAGAATACTATCAATACTTATCGAAAATAACCGTTCCCTTTATAAGTTTCAATAAAACAATAAGATGTAAAAAGTCAAAATAGTGTAGAGCGTTTGTGCAACGCCTATAATTCACGTAAAGTAAACATATCAGTGTGTAAAACAATAACATCGTTGGACAAACGGTTTGTTGTATGTTACCCAAATGCATCACACGACTCAAATAAATAACATCTTGTCACTGTTTTTTGAATTTTCTTAGCGTTCTATCTTCCCTCTTCATCATCATCCTCTTACTTATTGCTTTCATTTGTAGATGGTGACATTCAGTTAACGTTGAAAGGTTATCCCTAGGTTGTCAGATGGTTGAAAAAACTGAATAATACACAAACACATCTTACCCGACCATCATCATCTTCAATAACGTAATGGCTTTGTTCCACCTTGCGAATAATACCACCAATTGGGACTGATAAATCAGCATCTTCAGATTTTGTAAGCCAAATATAATCATTCTGAAATGTAACGTAATACAACAAAAAGGAACGGCTATCCTAAGAGAATTGAACGGGAAGATTAAGTAATGTCTCTAGATTCGTTTATGCATTTCTGATCATTTAATTCTGATTATTTCCCTGAAGAAGCTAGGACCAGACATCCGTACTAAACGTTGGAATTACTTTATTTTAAACACACTGTGATTTACACAGCTACAAACTATACCTAGTGACTGACTGCCCGACTGACTGACAGATTGGTGATGATAAATTACATTCTTGTATACATCAACTAGTATTTATTCTTGCCTTGTTTCTGGAATGAGCTGTAAGAATCAAAATTACCTCTCTTTCCTCAATACTTTAACTTTTCAGAACAGAATGATCTGGATAGATCATGACTGCTCAGTTTATCTAATCAACTTATTTAAGTTTCAAGCGTTTAAAAAATAAACGAGGAAAAAGCAGATGTCTGACTCATTTCTTATTCTGATTTTTAGAAAAATCTTGTCTACAAACGTTCTTCATGTTGTGTGCTGTTTCTGTAAATTTTAAAATCTGTAAAAAATAATCAGTCTACTGATTTAAAATAAGTAGCATAAAAATAGTCTGATACTAATTATAGAAACCTTGAAAAATTGTAAAAAGCAGAGGCATATATTTATAGGACAAAAATCAGCATTGATTTTACTGAGCAAGTTTCTTTGAACATCCTATTTTCTCATTTACCATCAGTGTAAGAAATCTCTTGTCTACTTCCTAAAGACTCAACATGTAATCACAATGCCCTTTGTCTTCAGCTGCTGTCTAAATTCCTTTCTTAACTGTGAATTACTAAATGGATCTTTCTTTAAATGAAAAACAACATTATAAATACTATTTGTGGCCGGAGTTACTAAAACCTTATGATTCAAAATATGTAACACTTCCTCCTAACTGTAAACCAATAATTTTTTTGTCAGATTGATTACAGTATGCAAAAGCATTTTTTTTGGACTTTGATAAGAAAGTTGTTTAAAGTTGCGAAACCCTACTTCACTTGTCGTTGTTGCTTTGTTCAAATCCATTTTTCTTACTGGATCGCTAGGCAAAGTACTAAAACATAACTTCCAATAGACAGGACAGTATGATTACAGATATACTTTATACTTGATTCTTATGTAAGAACCGTAATATCTTCAGTTAAAGACAGTTTCTCCTTTTTTTACTATATTTCCATTAGGTTTCTCTTGTTTCTTCATCCAAACTGTAGAAAAGAAACTGTTGCTATCAGTAAAATCCAGCTTTAGAAATAAAACCATTTGATGGAAGGAAAATTAGTTTTTAAAATCGTATTCAGAAAAGGACTTTAAACACCTTGAAACTTGTAACTTCCCGTTGCTTTACAGGGTCGAATTGTTCAAACTGTGTTGGCAGATGAGCTCTTGTGTAAAGACCTCAATAGTGTCGGGTATTTTTGTTGTTGACTAGCAGTGGAAACTAAGACCTGCCTTCCATCCTATTTAAGAGTCGTCAGCTGGATGCACAGCAAAGGGAAATTACAAGTGTCAAACAACAACAAATGATATACATTACACAAGTGGTGTCTCTCGTTCCCCAGTGGTCTAGTAAATAATCCTTGACATTTCAAGCGCTAGGTACTGAGTTTGGGCCTCACTGGGAATAACGTCACCCAGTGAAGTTCAGAAACATTCGGCTGGATAGGATGAAACGCGTGTCCTGGGATCCACCGCCGGTCACCAAAATGAATCCAATACCTTAAACTTAGCATACCAACAACCATATCACTGGTTCTTGATTCATTTGGCTGAATAAATTAGTTAAGTACTTTATCTAGAACAAAAACCACCAATACTAATAAGGAAAACATAATCATGAAATAAAACCCTAGTTATTCTTCATGAGGCTCAACCCTACTTCTTAGACCTTCAAGAAGTTGGAACCCTTTTGAAATATCTTCCACCAGTCAACGTTCTTCAAACATCCCAGATATTTTTTTCAACATTGTTTGTGTAGGTATAGTTGGACAGCTCCTTATGTTCAATGAAATTTTCTGTAGGACATAGTAGAAATTCACAATCACCTGTAAATATACAATTCCAACTTGTATTTTGTACATATACAACATTAAAGCATAGCTTTTCTTTATCTAATTTTTGAATGGTGACTAGAATTATTGTGAACTGATGACTACTTCAAACTCTCTGTGCACTTTTAGCTTTCTACATCAGCTTATTGGTTACTTACCAGTCCTGATCATACCCAAGTAAATGAAGATCTTTGATTACAGTTTACTTATAAATATGTTGAAAATGGAGTTAGTGAATAACGTCTGTAATGTTTTTATTTGATGAGCAACAAAATATTTTACCAATTTGTTGATCAACAGTAACCTGCTCTCTACAAAATCCACCTATGTATATCAGTTCACCTGTGCTTGTCGAAGCAACTGCACAGAAAGGACAAAAAGAAGAGTGTCTACTTGATTTTTTTAAGTGTATTCCGAGAAATCTGTGTCTGAAAGACAACAAGTTCTTTCTTTACCAGCTCAATCACCAGGCACCTGATGCAAACAGGACATCAAAAAGGTATTTTTCAATTTTTCAGGATAGTCAACAAACAAAGAACGTCATGTTTATTACGGTATGAGGAAGCTCTCGCTACCAAGCATTTTCAACCTAACCTATGTACTCAAAAGGAGACTGTAGTTAACCTTCCTTCACCCTGATAACATTATTTAACTTTTTTCATACGAATGTATATAGTCTTGTCCTTTTTATTTCATCATCTCTTCATTAATTAATTGCTGACTGCTGATCACTCAACCTAACTTTTTTCAGTTTTTTCACGTAATTAAGTAACTTACTGGCTCTTTAATAACCCCTTCTTTTACACTCCTGTTTGTTTATTGCCTCCCCCCTCCTTTCAACAGTTCCAGAATCTCCCGTCCAATCACATATAAATTGCTTTGATCTTGTCTAAGGTTTGTGATCATCAATTCTGCTCCCTCGGCTCACTATCTAATTCTTAATTCTGCATTTCAACTCCTCATTTATTTCTACATATTTGAAGTATTTTATGTCATTACTATCACGAATACTTCTTATCAAGTGTAGGCTGTTTGCAGCTAATGAAAAGTCATGAAATAAAATAAGCCCATTTTATTCTGCTATAAATGTCTTCGTCCTTGTATTGTTCAAAACCCTATTTATCCAAGTATTCTTTGATGAAATTTGGTGATGAAGAGTCACAATTCCAGCAAAACAAATGACCAATGCCTTCAAACTACCTTTAGTCCTTCAACTACTAACAGCTTTCGGTGAAAACAACCTCCATGGTATCATGTTTATTTTTTACAGTGGTGCGTTGTATTAGTTTAGACATAAGATGTAATGACTGAAATGCTGGAAACTGTCTATGTACATTATTTCTTCAGCTATTTTTGATTGAAATAATTAGAAGGCTCTATTAGTTATCTGCAGGAAAATTTCAACTACTTATCAAATTTAGGAATTTTTACGGTAAAAGCGGACGAAATAGACGTCTTTAAATATTTTTGAAAAAAAACTCAAAAGGACTTCTGAATCATAAAAGTAGATAAACTTACCACATTTAAAACAACCATTATTTCCTGTCACCTAAAAAGAATTCGAAACGAACTCCACGTTAGACTATTCAACGTGGCACAAAGTGTATTAGTTCAGCTTACCACATTCAGCAGCAGCGGTAGCGGTAATAGACACACGTGAAATGAAGAAAAGATTTTTACTGCAATAGAAAAATTGCTTATGAGAGTAGAGATAACCAAATTGAGTTTAATGAAGGAATGTCATAAATTTCAAAGATGATATAGAGTGTCTATATCTCTACCATTTTCCCTGATATCGAGTTATATCACTGATAATCACCAATTATTGAGTCCTCACATCATGGCCTACATTTCCCTACAAAGTTCAAATTATCAATAAGAGATCTATGCGAAGGTTTGATCCGGTCACCTTTAGTTAATTCAATTTACTTCGGCGAACATCGGATGTCGAGATAAGTGGTGGCTTGACATCAACAACATCCCTCCAAGCCATTTCAATAATTAAAAGTGAATGCATATTAGTGGTCAAAATTTATGACTTGTGAGGACAGTCTTTGAAAAGAAAAATCTTTATCAATAAGCAAACGGAAATTATCCATTATCATACTACCTATTTTTCACTGCTGGTGGAATTCCAACTATCGAGTTCGCCGCATAGTCAGTAATCTGTCTACACTATATGACAACACACAGTTTCTGTTACCTGACTCAGTTCAATTCGAAGAAAATTCTCCTGTGTCTGATGTTATCAGGCTTACATTAACAAGGCGAACTTCGGACTTCCAAAACACAATGATCAGGTAAATATTCGAATTGACACTAATAGTCGATGTAGTCAAATATAGCATACCTTTGATATTCTAGCAAAGCTTAGATCGCCTTAAAATGACTTAGGCAGACTAGTCGTCGACCTGAAACTATTCGGTGTTGTTGCACAATCGAGTTGTATTGATTAGGACTTCGAAACTACTGGTAAGATAAATGGTCAGATATCGAGGATTTCAAATCATTTAAAATATCAAGTATTTAGACAAGGTAGTTTGTCTCATTGGTCTGTTTCTGCCATGAAAATTTCTAAGTGAACGATGGTTTGAGCAAGATGAAAATGAGTTGCTAGATATTGTAAAACGCCCCGAATCATAGGTCTTTCACAAACCGTGACAGATGACGTCACGAAACATTCATAACGTGGAGAAATTAAAATTTGACGCCATTAGAGATTATTATTTACACTCCTATTTTAGAAATCAGTTAGAAAAACAAGAATTACGTGGTACCCTTTTAAAGACAAAAATGTTTGGTAATCTTTGGAGAAATCCTACCTCTTTTATTAATCTTAAACCATTCCTGAAAACCCTGTTACAAGTTTGGTAACTACTATAAGTACTATAGGAACTATATGGAAAACTGAAGTCATAGAAACAACTAAATTATGTTAAACATGTGGGTGTAAACAGTGAACAAGATAGTTATAGCGTCAGACCAACAAAATTAAAGTGTGAGACTTCCAGTAACAGTCCTAACTTAGATTGAAGTGAAAATGTTCCAAGCCATGGCAAGCAAAATAGTTCTGTATGCATTTTTCTGAATACATGGATAAGTTTTTTACTGAATCTTACAGCTTCTGTCTTGATTTTTGTAGACTGCATTTAATTTAATACTGATTCATCCGTTTTTTCAACATGATGCTCAGTGTTCACTAGTTGGGATATTGCGTTACTACCAAACTTATTTTCTGCTCATTATACTTTCTTTCACATTGATCCATTGGTATGATTGTTTTAGGCCGCCTGAGTAGATTTTACATAACTACTATCATAGACCCTACAGTAAATATCCGAAACATTGCTCATTTATCTATAGCTAAAGATCATCTAGAGTAAGTTACTGAGAACAGATTCCTGTTCACTATTAATTGTTACTAAGTGAAAGCTGTTTATGAAGACACTAAGCAACGTGCATAAGGCGAATGCGATTACACATGGGGTTTAAACATAACTAGCGTTGAAAAGAAAATTTTGGTGATCCACAGATCAAATCATTCAGTATATATTAACTGTGCGTACTATTCAACAGCCATCCATAAGTTTCACAGGATTAAAGTGGTTTGTGCCAGTTAACTTTCAGACTGCTTTAAAATTAGATAAAAATGAGGCCTTTAAAATCTCTGTGGATACAGATTTGTGGAACATATTCTCCAAGGCTTTTATAAATTATTAGCTTGGAGTAATATTGATCTACGGAGTGTAGCAAAATAACCAGAGGCGTCATTATTCGTTGAATATATTTCAATAAGTTGCAGCAGCTCATTTCGAAAGACAACATATTTAGTGCTTTATCGACCTCTCTATACTTCATCAGTCAAGCAAAGAAAGACAATGTGAAAGTTTGAGTTATGTGTGCTTATTTCATTTTCGATGACAGGCCACCCAGTTGCTCTTCCGAAGCACTGAGATTGCAGCAACTATTATTGTGGTAGGGGCAAAATCCATTAACATGAAGGGATACCGTTACGCCTACTCCTACTTGTTTCCTGTTGTCATATCAGCTGCCTTTAAGTTACCTAAGGTACGCATTTTTAGCTGATGCATTTCTTAAGGCAACATATGTAGTTCTGTAAACAAAACGCTATGGTTACACTACACTAAAAGTATTGAGTTAGTAATCTACTGGAATTAGCCATAAAATGAAAGGAACAGTTGAACAGCAGTTTGACAATAATGCTTAATGTGTTAATACTGATCATTATTCTTCGAACTTCAAAAGACCTTCTACCCAATTTATCAGACTGTTAAACTCAAAATTGTGATACAGGAAATTCATTTTTATACAAATATAGGTGTAAAATTTGAACACTGCTGTAGAATGTAATGCCATATTATTTTTGTTTATTTGATGCATAACACACAGTATGATATAGTATTATTTGACTGATAAACAGCTAAAATTAAAATAAATAATAACAAACAATATTGTGTCACTGAGTTGTGAATCAAATAAACAGTTCATTTTCATACTTTCTCAAAAGTTCGCAAAGAATGGATCGGAACAAATCCTGTTTCATGTTACCACTACTCAAGTAATCCAATCCGGTGAAAGCGTAACATGTTCAAGTTTAAACTCATATAACAAGCTGATTGTAATTATTTTCATAAGTCTAGTTGTTTCTAGGTGTGTTCGACAATAACAATCATAACTGGGGCTTTGTTTATTCACATTTCAAAACACTCACTAGACTTTATGCAATTGTGACCATGGATATTTTCGCATGCATTAATCTAGGTCTTAAGCTAGCTAAACCTTTTAAAAAGTTTTGCATTCATGCTAATGTCTTTCCAATGAAGCCAACTGGTGTATTCTGACTGCAAGTAGAATTGACGTTTGGTTTCTTCAATAAGTCAGTCAATGTTAAGTGTGGAAGTACTTGTATTTTTTGTTGGCATTTATGAGACGTAGTTTGAGTGAAATATCCAGTAAAAAACAAATACTGTATTTAATCTCATGGGTACAACTTTGCTTAAATATCATAAAATACTTCTGACTTTCATTTACTTTCTAACCCACACACTTATTGCTAATCATTGTTTTGACTAAAGAATGATCGTGTTTTATCAAGGCGTATAAATACTCTCTCTTCTACCTTTGACAATGGAACTTTCATTTGAAGTACTTCTCATTTCAGATTTCATTTTCCTCCATGCAAATGCTCACTCTCACAATTTTATAGATAGCTGTAAAATGCTATTGTTTTTCACGAAACTGAAATTTTCAATTATGTGTCGGCTTGTTCGGTTCTAACGCTTTCCTATCCTCCGAAAAAGGAATGCTCTACCATAATTTATGTCGAACTGAAGCTATGCTTGTAAGTTCGAAACAAAATACTCCTTTTTAAAAGCCTGAATAAACTATTACCCAAGTTGTTCAGTAGTAAAACTTCCGGCTACTTCATGACACTTTTATGTCAAAGATCACACCTTATGATCTCGACTGAATAGGTCACAGTAAAAACCCTTTTGACATCACAATTGGACAGGTGAACAACTACTCAGCCTTGAGAGATGTTAATGTGGACTATACAATTCGTAAATCATTTGCATATTTTTCACTGTGAATAAACTGTGACAGTATTTAGATGAAATGTAATGGAATTAAGAAGAAATGGCCGCCTTATCTGTGAACAATTCGAAAGGATTTTGATAAAAATTCACAAGATTTGAAGGGTAACACTGTTTGGGAAATGGCTTTGTTGGCTGGCAGCAGCTCATGTGCTGGATCTTCAAGTCAGCTAATTCTCTTCTATTGACGTCGTTTTTCTTTCGTAAATATATTATATGCTAAATACCTAGGTCTAGGTCTTTGAAGAAGTGGACTTAGAAAGCTGAGATAATGCTGTTTCAGAGACGTCTCGAAGTTTTTAAGACCCAAATGGAGAACTTTCCCGCTTTTTAAACCTTAATACTGCATATATCTTCTGTCTCTGCTTTCTGAGCCCTGTTGTAACCATTCATCTTAACTAGACTTTGTACTGAGCATAAGATGTCAACAACAGCATCACTCAGTGTTCGTTTTCTTACCTACTGCAAGTTAGCTGATTTCCTCATGACCATTTCTAGGCCTAATGGAAATATCCCAAGTCTTTGGTGGCTTCTCACGCAGTGAAACTAGCCATCAGCTGCTTTGGCTCTGGTTGACCTGGTGGGCATTTGAGCGGTGAGTAACCTTGTCAAGATAGGTGTGAACTATCCTTGAGACGATAGACCTGATGAGACCTTTGGATGAAACTCACCAAATAGCCGCTCCTATTGGTCAAAAGGCAGAAGAAGATTTGTGAGGTAGCCAAAGAAGGCAAAGGAAAGAGGAGAAAATGAAACCGAAAGGAACTTTTAGAATAAATTTAGGAGAATAACTGTTGACAGACAAAAAGTCGGAGGGATGAAAAAAACTTGAAACAGCTAAAACAAACTAAATGAGAAACGGAGATAATGTTACGGATAATGAAAATTCTAGTAGTACTGATATTACTAATGAGAAAGTAG